GATCATCTACAATCCATTAATTCAAGTTATCCAGTTTTATCTCCAAATGTTCAATTACTACAGTAATTTTACTTCAATTATAATTTTATTTTTCACTATTATTCTTCAAATATTCAAATTTTCCTATTATTTTAAACAATTTTTTATTTTTATATTTTTATATAAAATTTTTAAAAATTTAAAAAAATAAAAATTAAATTTAAAAGTAAAATTTATAATTTTTTAAAAAAATAAAAATAAAACAAACACACCATAAATGGCGTTTGCTATAGTGCAACACCAAAAATAGTGTTGCAATTGGAGACCGTAAGCGGCATAAATGAGATTGCAACGTCAAAATTGAAGTTGCATTGGAGATGTACTTATTGAGTCATTTTATTATAACTCAGAATTTGAATTTGAAATTTCTCATTTAAATAGAATGTAGGATAAGCAAATTAATTTTTATTTATGAAAGTGAATATTGTGCATAATATATATATATATTTATTTGAAACTATATAAGAAAATTGTTGTACCATAAAATATAATAGCGTTGTACTTATGGTGTAATTCAACAAAACACAATGTTATGGTTTAGTAACATATAATGTACGAACTATTAAACATGATTAAACAAAAAGAAATATGATTAAACATGGTGAAATATGATTTTACTACGAGGTGATTAAACATGTATTCTATGAAGCCAAATTGACAAATTTATTAGTGGTGAACCAAAACCTTTGGAGAATTTAGTGTAAAAATCTTTACTCCTTCAAATATCACTGCTAGAAAAAATGTTGATAATTGCGGAAATTTGTCGTAAATTTATCCGTGATAATTAAAAGTCACGGAAAGTAATTTCGTGACAAATTTATGTCACAATTTTTTGTTTTGACTATTCCGTAAGTAATATTTGCAGAAAAAACTACAAACAACTTTCCGTAACTATTTAAAGTAGCGGTTTATGTAAAGAAAATATCCAAGATATTTCTATTCCGTATCTTTTGACTATTTTGTCACAAAAATTGTCATAAAATTTTTCCTTGACTATTTTAAGTTGCGGAAAAAATAACCAAAATATTTCCAATATTTTAAATTATTACAGATATTATTGTCATAGTATAATTTTCGTGACTTTTTAAAATTAAATGTCACAACATAAGTAACGAAAATAACTATAATTTTTTATTATTATTATTGTTCGTAGTTATTCAAAGTAATAAAAAAATAATAAAACCATCTTCAATATCTTTATTCAATATAGTTCGTAACTATTCAATTTTTTGTTAAAAATTCATGATGATATATTAAATAAATATGTATATATTTTTAAAAGATAAATTTATAATCAATAATATTTATATAGTTAAAATATAATAACAAATAAAAAATAATACTTTAGAGTAGACAGCTAATATGGCATGACAAAGTCGTTTAAGTCTTTAATAACTATAAGGTCACTAGTTCGAAACCCTCCGACTTGTAGAAAAAAATAATCGTGTGTGGTTGTATCGAACAAAAATTATATATATATATATTTTTTCAAAAATATAAAATCACGGAATTGTTACAGTTTTCGTTAATATAAAATCACAGAGGTGTAATGGTATTATTTTGTAACTTATTGTCACGAAAATGTCACAATTATAAAATATTCACGAAATTTTGTTGCAACTTCTGTTGCTATATAAAGTTGCGGACATATCATGGTATTATTCTATAACTTATTGTCACAGAAATGTCACCACTTAAAAAAGTCACCAACAAATTCCACGAAAATGGTTCCGTATATTTTTCCGTGATTTTTTATTAAAAAGTCACCAATTTGTATTAAAACCGCGACTTTTTTTTTACCGCAACTATAGCCTAATTTTCTTATAGTGATATGACTATTTTTTCGGTATTAATAGGATATTAGTAAGTCTGTTGTAGATAGTACATGAAATATAATTCGTTAACATATGAAGTATAGATAAACAACACATGGTATATGCTAACATAATTCACACATAACAAATAAATTAAAAACATATGACAATAATCTATACAATATATATTATAATTGAACTTAATACACAAAGTACATAAAAATAATACATATTTAAAATATAAAATGAAACTACATTGCAAGAATGAACACAATACATGTTATATTCATTCAAACCATATACTGACAACCTATAATCTATATGTTGCTAGCATAAAATTTACCACCCTGTCATTCAAATCTATGTTCACTTTCTTTTTTGGGTTGTAATTGAAAAATATGCTCGTTACCTTTTTAAATAAAAAATTATTACATTTTTGTATATTTTTTCACTAAAAAAAAAAAAAAGTAACCATTATTACTCATTTTTATTAAAATTCGTGCCGGATCAAATGAGCACACATTTGTATGACGGAGGAAGTATTAATTTAAGTGAGTACTCACGCTTTTCAAATATAAGCGGAAGGTAATGAGTAACTCGGGATAATATCTTACTTAAAGTGATAGTAAAACCAAAGATGCTATAAACTAATGTCTAAAGTATATGAAAGGGTTTGGGAGCCCGTCGATATGAGTTTAATATAAGTTGGATCATTCACCGGTGTGGGTATTTTTGTATCGATATGTATGAAGATTGTATGTACCCAAAAAAACATAAAGCATATAAAAAACATGACAACCTTAACCATTTCAACGTCATTGAACTACAAGTTATAACAAACTATGTTCATTATAGAGGGTGGGCAATGGACACTATTGGAACATTCCATTCGGCATCGTGTATACATCATAATTTTTATTTAATATATATATAATGTATTATACATTACAAATACTCTCACATATATGTTTATTTCCATCAATATATTTATATCAGTGTTACACATCATATGGATAAAATTATTTTTATATATCAAAACTATTACCGACTATAATTAAAGTAGAATAATTATTAAATTTTGTATAAAAAGTAAATATGTACTTTTATAAGTGAACAAAATGAGTATTATTTTTTTTTTTTATAAAAATTGTCTGATTTTTTTTTTTTTTTTTTTTTTTTTTATTATTGAGATAAGCAAATCCATCACTTTGTTTAGATAGATATTTATAATTAATTTGTCAATATTTACCAATAATTGTTTTTTAAAAAAATATCATATTAACTTTTTTTTTTCTATCAGAAAATGTAATACTCCCTCCGTCCCGTGTAATATGGGTGTATTACTGTAGACACGAGAATTTAGGTAAAATATAATTAGTAAATAATTAAGAAGTGTGTTAGTAAAAATAATTATAGATTAAGATAAGTAAATAGTTTAATTAAAATTAAGAAAATTATAAAATTTTAAATTTAAAATGCGATTAAAGTACATAATTATATTTCCAAAAATAAAAATGACAAGTTACGTTGGACAGAAGAAAATAGAAAATAGGGACAAATTATGTGGGACGGAGAGGGAGTAGAAAATATTCATTGATTAATATTTTCGAAATTTTAAAAACTTTACATAAATGGAGCGTTATAACCGGAGGTGAAAAGAAGAAATTAATTCGGTAGGGCCCAGAGAGGCTAACCCGGCACCTGGACCACGAATAAGCTGTGATGAAAAGACACGTGTCACCGTGACATTGGATTGCTGGTTCGACTCTTCCTGATATGATCATTTGCTAATGATACAATTGTAATAATCATAATTTATTATTACTGATATCATTACATATGACATAATAATAATTATATTAGTACTTACTAATAATTGGGTCATATCATATATCAGATCATTTCTTTCACGAATTACACAGAACATCATTACCTGCTCACCAAACCAAAATCTCCCAAAAAAGAATGTATAAAATATACTCTATCCGTTCCGACTCAAAATATATCTTTAATTATTTTTCGTCTGTCTAATTTCAAAATATTCTTTCCGTTTCATAATTAGATATTCATTTACTTTTTATACGTAGTTTCAAAAAAATATTAGTATTATATTGGGATGTAGTAGGAATAAAGTAAAAATGACTAAAATAACCTTATTAGTATTTGTTATATAAAGATAATGATATTTGTGTAATATATTGTAAGTTGTAAGAGTATTTATAATGTTAGACAGATAGTACAGTTATTAAAAAAAGAAATTGATACTTTGTTATAGGACATACTAATATGGAAAAATAGATACTTTGTTTGGGACGAAAGAAGTATTTATTTCCTATTTTAGTAAACGTAATTATACACCAATACTCAAATACTTTTAATTTTTACCTAAATTACAAACATATTATTACACATACAGTTATTTTTTACATAAAGTTATAGGACAAAAATGTCAAAATATTTTACACACTTTCATTAAATAATAAAATACTACTACCTCGTTCTACGGGTCCCATTTATTTTTTGAGTGTTGATATTTTAATATTAATTATTATATCAAAATATAGTACAAATTAAGAAAAAATTGCAAATATACTTTCATTGGTATCTTATAATACTAATAAAAAGATATTTGTACAAAAAAATTATACAAATATAAAAATATTTTTAATATTAAGTAAAATAATAAAAAAAATAAATATGAACTTTGAGGACAAACGTAAAAAGTATCATTTCTTAATTTATTACAAATTCCAAAATACCCCTTTGAACGATTTATGCTATGAATGAATGTGAAGCACAACTGCCCAATAAAGACATGCCACGTGTCGGAATGACACGGCTGTCCCCCGGACGGTGGGCCCCATTCCTCCAGCAGTCATTTAACGTCATCACGTGGATGTGTACCAGACGGACCTGCATCTCAGCTGTACGCTGGCTGTGAAATCTGGACCGTCCATCTTTCTGCCTCATTAAATTAATTAATTTATTAAATCTTTAAATTAATCGTAATTATTTAATTTAATAAATTGATATATTTATATTTTAATTATATAAATAAAATAAAAAAAGAAAATAGGCGGTTGTGGTGGACCTCGGCCTTCCTCGTTTCCCGACGCTGGGCTCGCGCTCACACCGACAATAACAGTGTCCTTTGGAAGGAGCGTCAACCGTGTGATGAGGATAATGGACGGTGGAGATTTCGACTTCCGAAATCGCCGTCTTTTTGCGAGACGTGTTTTGCGGAAGATCACTGTTGTTCTGATAGCTGCCCACAAATAACTCGTCGCTCAGTCCAGTCCAGTGCCAGACAGCAATTCCAGGCGGCCGAGGGTAAAATGTTTTCACTCTTTCTTTCTCTCTCTCTCTCACGCAGATACACGCACTGTTAATTAAGAAGATGGAATCAGGCAAGGATTTGGTTATGGCGATTCATTCGTATGCGTATGCGCTATTAATTGTAAGTCACATGATTCTGTTAGCCACATTTACTGCTGCTTTTTAATGAATGAGTATAGATCTATCTGGATCTGGTGGTGGAGAAGTTGCGTTTCTGTTGTTTTTTTATGAAACCTAATTTTAATGAGACTTATTCCTTTATTTATCTAATTGTTCTTCTATCTATCTATCTATCTATCTATCTATCTCTGTTTTTGAGCAATTAAGTTTGATGAGATGAAACTTGAATCAGTTTCATGTTTATTTAAGGAAACAAAAGAAGAAGATGGTGTAGCTGGTTAGGTTGCGAGCATTGAATTGAATTTGTTTAGTAATCTGAAGATAATAATAAGGTAATGATGAAACGACACTGTTGAACAATCGTTTCTGGCTGCTGTTGATATTGTTGTTGTTGTTGATGGAGAGAAAGAATCGAATCACATTTATGAGATTAGAGTCTTCTGTCTGGATCTGAACCTGAATTTCTGAATCTGAATCTGTATCTGAATCAGAATCAGTCTTCTCTTCTTTTCTTCTCTGCTTGCATACCTACCTGCCTGCCTAGCATCTCGTGTAAAGTGCTTCCTTCTTTAAATTTGAATGTATCATCATCGTCATCATCATCACCATCATCTTCATCACACAAACATAAAGAAATATCTATAATATTAATATATATATATGTATCTCACTGTGTTTGTTTGTCTTGTTGTGTGTACCTTTGATTTGACTCTGATGAAATTTAAGCATGTATAGGCCAGTTCTTTTTTCCTTTTTTTCCTTTTTTCTTAGGGTATTGGATTATATATATATATATTTATAGGGTTTGTGTTTGTCCAGTTGACTGGAAACAAGGGAGTAATGTTGGATGAGTGGTGAAGTCATAGCCTAGGAAATCAAAGAAATTGATGACATATAGTTAGGCAGATTTTGAGAATTTGTAGCCATATATCATCATCATCATCATCAAATATTATTAATTTATATATAAATTATGTTTGTCAGAAGAATTTTCACATTTATTTTCCTTTTTACTGCATGACATGGGATTTGGAATTTGGGATTTAGGTAGGTAATTAAGTCTTAAGAAAATATACATGAAACTTACATTTTGCAGTGACTCATTTAGGGCAGCATCCAAACCACTGTTGCTTTATTTGTGCCTCTCTCAACACATTTATGTTGTTAAGATACCCTCTCTCTCTCTCTCTCTCTCTATATATATATATATATATACACATTTGTCTGTGCAGTCCATTGAATCTGCTAAGGCCAAAGGGTGCATAGTTTGGGATGCATGTAATGAATATGCATTTATGTAGATTGTTATGCATTGAATTTTAACCTTGGAAGTAGTTAACAAATGTAAAGGTTGCTATATCGAAAACAGGGCAATGGGCTCCACATCTCATCAAATATATATACGTGTGTGTATATATATTTATAGAATTTTGAAATTTATTTAAATATCCTTTATAAACATTTGTTTTTTGTGTTTTTAGCATTACTATTTATTTAGGTAATAATTTTTAATTAAAAAATCACATTAACTATACATGTATTATATAAAACTTTGTTTCAAAACTCAATCAAAGAAATTAGTAAAGGCCAAGCTTGACGAGTAGGAAGATTCTATATAATGTAAGATTTAATTTTAATATATTGGTCAGTAATTGTATTGTAATTAGAAAATTTCTTCAATCGTTTTTTTTAATAGAAATCGTATTTATTATTATTACATTCTATAAAACATATGGGTCGATATTTTATATATAATGTCCAATGTAATGCATAGTTATAAAACACAATACTGTTGCAAAACACATAAAATAAGTTATCGATACATTGCTTCAATTAAAATGATCATATGGTATCTCTTAAGTCCAATTAAAATTTAATTACAAATCAGATTTGGGGTTAATATATTTAATTGTTTTTTGACATGTATTTTATGAGATATATAGGATATACTTTTGATTAGGCGTATGTCTTAAGTCCATATAATATTTAACTTAGGCGTAAAAATCAGATTTGGGGTCGATTAAAATTTATTGCATATGCTACATTGATTTATGAAATAATAACTTGGAAATGGTGTGACAAATACATCAAGGTGTACTTTGTTAATACTCTATTATATTAAATTAGAACATACAACCGATACAAAAATTTATATCATTGTTCTTTCATGTCTTGGCTCTCGATCGTATTTGACTATTTGTAATGATGGGATGTATTTTTTTTTTTTAAATTTATATATTAATCTCTCATAAAATATTATCTCTAACTATTATTTCTTCTATGTCTTTTTTTGTCCATAAAAATGTAATATATTAAAAAATGTACTTTCTATTTATAACAAATAACTTATATATTCATTAATTTATATAATTAAATATTACACTAATTTATAAATAACAAAGTATTTTTTTATATTAAATATAAAAAATCATATCAATAATATAAAAAATAATACCTTCTCAATCCTGTAAATTTAGTCCTATTCTTTTGTTGAATATATACTATTATACTTCATCATGCTACATTTGTGTACTCAAATATTTTGACATAATTTGAATATAAAATGGATGATAATTGTTATATTTGTACTTTTTCCTCCACAAACAATCAACCTTGTATAGTTCATAGCTTTATTATTACTTATTTTTACCATACGCAGCAATTTTTGTCATTTTAAATAAAAGCATCTTTAATGACCATATAAAATATCATATCCAACAATGATTTTATCTGAAAAAACAACAAAAAAATACAAACGAGACACCCTCTATAAGCCCAGAATCAAGAACTCAAACCAAAATGGCACTGTTCTTTTCTTCTCTCCCTCTATGCATTAAGAGACTCTTATAAATTGTTTAATGATAATGCCTAGTAATGTAAACAGTGGCTACAAATTCTAAATCAGTACCTCGATATCGCAAAGGGAACAAGACCAGTCATTTTCTGCTTGCAGATAGCCGGTTCTTGGCGCGCTCGCGTTCTTCCTCCTCTTCGATTCTTCTCCGTCTGGCAGCCTCTTCTTTTTGCCTTTGGATCATCTCCAACTCCCTCAGTCTTTCTTCTTCTTTTCTCTGAAGTTCAAGAGCTTCTCTCCTCTGCGCCTCCACTACCTTCCTTTGGTTCTCCGCAAGCATCTTGTCCAATTCTTCCTTCTCCCTCCGAGCTTGTTCCTGTTTCCATTCATTGGTTATCGGGGCAGTTTAGTTCAGTTTGCATCAAACATTATGGACAAGGTGAAAAGAATAGATTAAGAATATAAATGGTATTGGAAAGGAAATTCACAAGACCCTTAGAGATAACATACTGAATATTGTAGACACCTAAAAGGTGGATGACGTCCCAAACGAGGTCGTAAATATAATTTTATCATAGAAAATGTTTCAGAAGAATAGATTTTTGTTAAGCAAAGCAATTTACAATGCCAAAGTGATTGGGAACATATATGTATGACTTGTCTAAATAGCAGGCAAAAGTATGGGACTCACTTCTTTTGCCCTTGCTTCAGCAAGAGCAGCTTCCTTCTCCTTTTGAAGTTGAACTTCGACATCATTAAATAGTTTCTTCTGAGCTTCTTCTATTTGTCTTTCAATTTCTAATCTAATCTCTTCAGAACCCAACTTCTCCTCAACCCTCTTCCGAATTTCCTCCTCCAATCTCCTTGCAGTTTCTTCTTCTAGTTGTTTAAGCTCTGCCTCAAGCACCTGTCTAGAAGCACTCACACTCGTTTATGGTTACGGAATAATAGCTTGTAGCAGGTTAAACTTCAGAAATAAGTCAATGGAGCTTTGCCAAACTGCATAAAGATGCAATCAAACGAACAGATAAAGCAAAGAACTTCTAGGTTAGACATCTGAAACAGTACTTGATAAAATGGAACCTCAAATTGCATAAGTGAAACAAATTAATATCATCAAATGCACAGAAAGGAACTTATTTCCTGACCTCTGCTTTTCTTCTTCTTCCTTCTTTAACTTTTCATTGCCATGCTTGCGATCAGCCGATGTTGAACTGGGACTGCGAGATCTTGGTGAAGGGGAATCAGAGGAAGTTCGACTTCTTTGTCTCCTATGACCCCTGGGAGCAGGGGAAGGGCTCTTCCTATGCCTCAAAGCTGGAGAACGACTTCGTCTTCGATGAGGTGTACCTGAACGACTTCTTCTCCTGAATAATGATTATATTAACATTGTACACAGACCCAAAAGCTCTAATGATCAAACACCCAGGCAACTCCACAGGGCCTGCTTGATCAGTCTAGTCTCATTGTAGCCTATCAATATCATGGTTTTATAAGTTGGGAAATTTTTTTAATCTAAATTGATACTTTAGCCACCACCTTGGTTTATTTGAAAGTACAAAGCAACCTCAATAGGTAAAACAACATTCCCTAACAAAAAGTGTAATAGCCAAAACATATTTTCCGTGCGGCCATCTTTCTCACGTTTATGTAAGGAGGATCATTCGAAAGTTACATTATTTTGTTCCAAAGTAAATGCCATTTTCCCCACGGACTTGAGTACTAAACCAAACTCTAATCTTTTGGCAATTTTATCGACCATCCTTCACCATACAGCATAACAAAAACATCGAAAAAGTAAAAAATTTCAACTGAAGCTCAAGCAGTTTCGATGGATACCAACACAAAACAAAAACCTAAACTAATTCATTAGAGAGTAGGCACTTAGTTAAAATAAGTCAAATTAATCGGTCATATAGAAACGGATATAACTGCTGGTTCCTAAAGCAAAATTAGTATAAAATTCTGAACAACGCAACAAATTCCCCCGAGAAATCTAAACAGGCTAGTATTCAGAAGAACAACCAATCAACAACAATTAGGGCAATGCAGTGAAAACAACCTACTGTGAGGGGAGCGCGTACGATCCTGTAGGGAAGAGCGGCGACGGTGACTGATAGCAGGAGAACGAGACCGCGAGTGTCGCCTCCTCGAGTACGACGGAGACCTTGATATACTCCTCGCCATGGCTTCTCCGATAATGCAGCGAACGGATCCTTTGGGATGCTGGAAATGCAGAATAGGCTTGTCATGCCGACGCTTTTTTATTCATTAAGCCTAACTTCGGTATTTGTACGGTATTCCATCGATATGTTTTTACGACTTTAGTAGAAATTAAGTAGTCGCACTTTGGTATATGTGGGTATTTGGATTCCATATTATCTTTTGACGACTTTAGTAGAAACCATGTCACGTGACATCCACGTGGCGTCGTGCCCATATAAACCCCACAGGCTCTGGAAACTGGCGGGAATTTGACGCACGTCTCACAAGCCGCCGTGCCTCCGCAACCATGACGGCTACAGCCAACTCGCGGAAGCGCCCACAGCCTTCTCCGGCGGCAACGCCGTCTCCTCAATTGAAGCATCAGGCAGTGATGGAGGAGGAGGAGTTGGACGAGGATGTATTTCTTGAAGAAACCCTACTGCAGTATGAGGAGGAAGACTCTCAGCGCCGTATCCACGCGGAGCGCCTTGCCAAGTGGAAGCGTCCTGCACTTTCACCTTCCCTTGTGTCCCACGCTCAAAACATCGGTAAATTCTAGAATCCGAACTTAAAAGCAATGGTTGATTTGTAGTTTTTGCTCCAAATGCTGCACCTTTCCCCTGTTTTTCATTTTGTGCTTTGGAAATGTGTCATGTTTCTCGTATTTTTAATTAAAGGATGGGAATTTTCGTGTGATACTTCATCAAGATGCAGGTATTGTACAAGATGCATGGCACGCATCTTTCAAAGCATAGTTGATAATTGATTACTTTCTTTTCTGATAGTTTTATAGCATTATACGTAAGGTGCCAACAAATTTTAATGTTGCATATCAGCTCATCACTACGCAATAGATGCAAAAATATGAACTTTCTTAAGGGAGTTGTTGTTTTTATATTGGAACTGGTTTTTAATTGCCATTAATTATTCGTTTGCCATCAATTCTGTTTTGAAGTATTTCAGCAGCTAGAAATTGATTATATCATTGGAGATAGCCACAAGGAGCTTCTTCCAAGTTGGTCAGGTCCTGCTGCAATTATCAGGATTTTCGGGGTAACTAAAGAAGGTCGTTCCTCTCTCCCCTCTCTCTCGTGGAAAATTGTATTGTGGTGCTTTCTGTTGGTTCAAAATTTAAAATATTGTGAAATATAGTTATCTATTTCATTGTATTGTAATTGCTTCAACATAGTTAAAAATTGGAACTTAGCTTTGATTTGCCCTGATTTTGGCCTGCCATCAAGTTGAAAGCATTATCTCCAGACTTTTTTTGCAGTTGCCCTTAGATAATTGTGAATATGCTAGTGATGATTGGGTATGCGACAAAATCACGCAAATATTATAAAGCTTGATACTCAAAATTAATTGTTTCTTCAGTTTGTATGCTATGCTGGGTTTCCAGCTTTGCAAACTTTAGGCCGGGTGGCACTTGTACATGGGAGTTAAGCTGCTGGAAAGTAGTTGCTGTTGCATAATATTCATGCTTAGACATTTAATTATGAATGTTTCTTTGCAACTAAAGTGAGCAGTTTCACTGATGATTTTATTGAACTTCTCTTGACCAGGACACAGTGTTTGCTGTAAGGTACATGGTTTTGAACCATATTTTTACATCAACTGCCCTCCTGGAATGGGTCCTGACGATATCTCCCGTTTCCATCAAATACTTGAGGTAGATTTTTTTTTTCTCTTTAATTTGATTCTATTCAATTTATATAAGCACATGTATGAGGAAACTATTGTTACATCTGTTCTCATGCTTTATTGCATGATCATGCTATGTACAATTTCTTTTGGTTATCTTCTCAGTTATTGTGATTTGTGATTGCTACAGGCTAGGATGAGAGAATCAAACAGAAATAATCAGGTTCCCAAATTTGTTCGTCGCATGGAATTGGTTCAGAGAAGAAGCATAATGCATTACCAACAGCATGACTCTCAGCCATTCCTGAAAATAGTAGTAGCATTGCCTACAATGGTCACGAGTTGCCGTGGTATGATCTCTAATGCAAACAGATGAAGCTTCCATTAATTAGTAGATAGTATACATATGTGTATCGCTTTACACTACAAAAATTAGTACACACATATGTGAATTATATCACATCGTTATTATGCTTATTTCTATGGACATGTAATTGTTGAAACTATGTATTCACGAATACTGATGTGTATACCAGATTTTTTACCAACATTTGTCACTCTAATATAAATACTTAGGTAAATTGCAAATTTGGCAGGCATCCTTGATAAAGGAATACAAATTGAAGGACTGGGTATGAAGAGTTTTATGACATATGAGAGTAACATACTTTTTGCGCTCCGCTTCATGATTGACTGCAATGTTGTTGGGGGAAACTGGATAGAAATTCCTCAAGGAAAATATAAGAAGGGTGCAAGAAGTATCTCCTATTGTCAATTAGAGTTTGACTGCCAGTATCCTTTTGTACAGAAAAAAGTAGTCTTTCAAGGATGACATGTTATTAGCTGATTTAATCTTGCTCGTGATGTTTCCCTTAAACATGCCATCAGTTTTTCGGATTTGATCAGTCATGCTCCTGAAGGAGAATTCTCAAAGATGGCTCCATTTCGCATACTTAGTTTTGATATCGAATGTGCTGGGAGAAAAGGCCATTTCCCTGAGCCCACTCATGATCCTGTTATTCAGGTTTCTTCACAATTCCCTAGTATTTGACACATCAGAGTATGGCCTATGCTGCTTTACTATATTAAAGTTTCTATCTTTCTGATTTTTCTTTTTGATAATATTCCAGGTGGCCAATTTAGTAACGTTGCAGGGTGAGGATCAACCATTTGTTCGTAATGTGATGACCCTTAAATCTTGCTCACCTATTGTTGGTGTTGATGTCATGTCATATGATACGGAAAAAGAACTTCTATTGGCTTGGAGGGTAATGCACCTAGGCTCTCAGCATAAATACTAAACTATTGCTAGATTAGTTTTTGTTGCACACAAAAGGGTACCCATTTTGTTTCATATGCTATAAAGCTGCATGTTGTTATCCTACTTGATAGATACTCTCATTTGAGTTTTCCATATCTTGCATATATAACTTTATCCCTGAAATGGAAATGATTTACTTCTGTCTTGATTTAATTTTCTTGTGCTTGATCAGTAGCCTTCTGCACTACATTTGCTGATGGTACATTACTCAATTTCTATGGTTTCAGTTGACCCTTTGTTTTCATTCTATTTGTATTTTACTTTCTATTTCTCTGCTATTACAAAATTTCTTTCATCTGTCTAATCTTAAAACTACCCCCAGTGTCCTGGATTATTGTGATTTCATTTATTTATGGTTTACACTTACACATGGTTGACAAGGTCCACAGTTGAGGGGTCAGATCATATGTTGCTTTTACGGGTGTCCTGCTAATCAAATCACTCGTGTTCCATTAATTCTTCATGCATATGGATGGATTCTTATTTTGGAAAAAAAATTAAATGTATTTAGTAGAGACTCAAAACATATGATATGACATATTAACTTTACCAGGAGTCTTGTTTTTCAGTTATCATGCATATTGCCTTCTGACAACAGACTATTGCTTTTTTTAGTTGAAATTATCTTTTGGTTATTATATGCATGTAAAATTTTCCCTTTGTATAGCCTACTTGGAAGCCAGTTGAGCTGATATTTAAAAGCTCCATACACTACCTTTATTTCAATTGATCTTTCCTTCCAGGACCTTATCCGAGAAGTTGATCCAGATATCATAATTGGATATAACATCTGCAAATTTGATTTGCCATATCTCATTCAGGTTGGAAGCTTTTCTCTTCGTGTTCCTTGCCTTGTGCAGAGATAGAATTGGCAATCCTTTTTTCTTTTCTGTAAAAAATACCAAATTCTTTCTTTTCCTGGACAGAGAGCTGAAGTATTGGGGATAGCTGAATTTCCAATACTTGGGCGGATTCAAAATAGCAGAGTTCGTGTTAAAGATACAACATTTTCATCCAGGTCCAGAAATAATCTCTCTTCCTGCTGTTATGATCACTACAGACGAAGAATCATTAGTCTTTTTGCAAGTTTGCATTTACTTGTTGGCTATGTCCCTATTTCTCATCTCTTTGTCTACTCTACTATATTCAGTCATTAGGATTATATCTATCTTTATTATTTTACCAAACAATAGTATAGCTTAGAAGAATAACAGTAGATGGAATTCTTAATAAGGAAAACAGGCATTGGATGGAAAATGAATATAAATATACAGGCTTGTACAGAAGCTTCCATATATTTAGTACGTCAAGTATTTCAGTAAGTTGTCTTTTCTCGCTTATGATATGCTTTGTTTTGGCTGAGGAAGAATTGTTCTCTTTGTATTTTGATGTGAGCATGTCTTTCATATGCAATCAATATTGTGATCTCTGTTCCTTCAAAAAATTAACTTATTTCTTAAAGCACATCAACTGACTAAAGCTTCTGGAACTGCAGACAAATGGGAACAAGGGAAAGTAAAGAAGTTACAATTGAGGGGAGAGTTCAATTTGACCTGCTACAGGTGTTTCACACCAGATGGAACTGTTTCCTTTGATGCTTACTGTGTTTAAGCAACATCATAAATATTTTTCTAGAAGCCTTGTTATCACAAACACTAGCAACTGTATTAATTATGGCATCTGGTTTCACTTCTCAGGCTATGCAAAGGGACTACAAACTAAGTTCGTACTCACTAAATTCTGTTTCTGCGCACTTTCTTAATGAGCAGGTGAGTTTAAACTCTTTGAGGAAAATTCATTTTGATTTTCTTCCATACTTTGCTGTTTTAATATGATAATATTTTTTCACCTAACTAATTCTGTTGATATGAAGAGAGAGAGAGAGAGAGAGAGAGAGAGAGAGAGAGAGAGAGAGAGAGAGAGAGAGAGAGAGAGAGAGAGAGAAGAAAAGAGTGGGGAAAAATCCCTGCTGTATTAATTGTGTTTACATGATGATATTCTACATAGATTTCATATCTGATTATTTTCTTTAAACCCGATTTGTTTTAATATTTGGATTGCTTATCAAAAGTTATATCTTGCTTCTTGTGCCATAGTTTCTCCGAGGAATCCAGTACAATTGAAGTATAACTTTGACTGGCCATATTCATTTTTCTGGGTTCATGTGGACCTGAGTTATTACTTTTAGTCTACCTTTGATATAGCCTAATCATTGAATCAACATTAGATCATGGTTGATATTTTAGAGCAGGATGACTAACTCCCTATTAAGGTTAAAATGGGCATATGATTCTTAACCAGGGTAAATAAGACGGATATCTTCTCATTTGTAACAAGCTGGGAGCCATCTGGATAACATACTATGGACCTAGTAGTATATACATGTTCTAAGAAATATAAAGGTGCTTCTCTGAATGGTATTGCTGCAATGTATTGTTTGTTAAACTTCATATTGGAATTATGCTCTCCTTTAACTGGGTTTAACACCATTCAGGCTTTGTCTGATTTTCTTTTTGGTTTACTGTGTTATGTTTTTGATATTGTGAATTGTCTATGCTTGTGCAGAAAGAGGATGTCCATCATTCAATTATATCAGACCTTCAGAATGGAAATTCGGAAACCAGGAGACGTCTTGCTGTCTACTGTTTGAAGGTGAGTGCTATTTCTGAGTTCAAATGTATGGAAATTATTTATCCTGTATCACAATGAAGGCTTTCTGTATGGCAGTTTATGGTTTGTGTTCTAGCATTTGGTTAGGATATGCATATGACAAGATATTATGGTGGCCTTTATCTTGCAGAAACTGGCCTATTTTAAAAATCTCTATTTAAATTTGCATGTCATTGTCACCAAAAAAATAAAAATAAAAATAAAAATTGGTTCAGTATTCTGATGCCCTTTTTCCAATATTTAATTTCATAATCTTCATTGCCAAAATGCTCAGGATAAAAAAAATCATGACATGGGCAGAGTATCATAATCAATATACGTAGTTGATACAGGTTCATAGAAAAATAGGATGGAAGAAGATGGTGATTATTCATGAATTGAAGTTGATTTATTCTTTATAAAAAGAAATCATGCCAATTGCCGAATATGAAAAATGCATTTCCCTGACTTCAAAAATATTTTAGATAGAAAACTCTTTTTTTGGTCATAACATAATTAGTAATTAGTTAATAACATAAAGTTTTAGGATTAAATATTTTGGCTTTGTGTTGTAAATGCCTCATGTCTCAATTGGGATCAGAACGCTACTAAAATGTGTAAAATTTGTCCTTGTAATTGTGGAGTCCTCAAATCATTTACCCATGAGGCTCATCACTTCACTTCAGCAATATACTATAGAGATGCATCTTAGCTATTGCATTATGACTTGTGATGGTTGATGTGATGTACATATAAAGCACCCGGAAATCGGAATGCTGTAGTCTTATCCTTAACCCTACTCTAATATTACAGACAATCTCATCCTTACTAGTTGTTGATATGTTTTCTATTCTGGTCTTATTTTCTCAAAGCTTGTGGTGCAACAATAGCACTTTAGCTGTAAACTGTGTATAAAACTGATGTTTTCTGTATTACACTGCATGACATTTGTCACTGTGGCAGATAGCTATGTACATTTATATGACCTATCATTGATATATGAGAAAAAAGAAACTACATGGTTCTTGTTGAGAATAGAAGTGCAAGTATGTGCCGGTGACTAATGCTTTTTAGATATTTCGTCTTGAGTAATGATATCATAATGTAAAATATTTCTGAAAGATACAAATGTTGTAGGATGCTTACCTTCCGCAGCGCCTTTTGGACAAGTTGATGTTCATTTATAACTATGTGGAGATGGCTCGAGTAACTGGTGTTCCTATCTCATTTTTGCTCTCCAGAGGGCAAAGTATTAAGGTCATTTCAGAGCTCTATAGATTATAGACTAGATTTCTGAGTAGTTAAGCTTTCAAACTAGGCTGAAAAAATGAGACCTGCAGCTAATTTTAATCTTTTTTTCAGGTATTGTCACAGCTTCTGAGGAAAGCAAAACAAAAAAATCTGGTTATTCCAAATGTCAAACAGGCTGGATCAGAACAGGGAACTTTTGAGGGTGCAACTGTAAGTGACTCAGTTTTGTTTCTGGATATGCAGTTGTATGTATTTATTAAACACATTCATTTGAATATTTACTCCATTTATTCTAGTGCATCTCCGCTCTTTACTGGAATTGTTGATAAACTTCGTTTCCAAGCTTACTCAGTACACTTCTATGTTGACTTTAAAAGGTCAACAACTTGTGGTGTTTAGCAACCACTTTATCTCAATCTTATAGCACATACAATTAAAAAATAAGAAATCCCTGGAGAAGAAATACAGGTTGTAATCATATATGCGGGTGTTCGTATCCTCTGAGCTTATGAGTGACATCACTTCTTATTTAGCCCTTCTCAAGGATGGATTATTCTCATATTTTTGGTGGATTCATATGTAGGTCTTGGAAGCCAGAGCAGGGTTCTATGAAAAGCCTATTGCAACGCTGGATTTTGCATCTTTATATCCTTCAATTATGATGGCATATAATTTATGTTATTGTACCCTGGTAAATATGTTATACTTTTCCTGGCCAACCTTTTCATTTTTAAGTTGCAAGTTAAATAACTATAATAGTTGATAATAACAAAGTCAAACTAATGATATTTACTAAGTTTTCATGGTTGTTATATAGGTAACACCAGAAGATGCAAAAAAATTCAATCTGCCTCCAGAATGTATCAACAAAACTCCAACTGGGGAAACATTTGTCAAGTCAAATTTGCAGAAGGTTAATGCTTACATCTGAAACAGTTTTTTTGTATTTTCATGGTTCAACAGATTGAAAGTCATATTTTGTATTTGCATATCCTGATGATTTGAAGTTTTATTCAGGGAATACTACCTGAAATTCTTGAAGAACTTTTGACTGCGCGTAAGAGGGCTAAAGCAGATTTGAAGGTTTGTATTATTCATTCTGATCTATGTACTTTTGTATTTGTGCTTTCTTTTTATCCTGAATTTGTTTGGTTGTGAAGCAAACAAATCACCATTTTTTGAAACTCACATACTAGTTTTCCTCTTAAACCAGTTATGTATCTTAGCTATACTTGAAACTGATTTAACTTGATGAGAATAGAAGATTTGAAATTTGAACTGCTGGCAGAATTCATCTAAATCACTGCATACTGCAGCAGAATAAACTTATGAAGCCACCAATGTTCAAGATCACACAAACAAACATATTATATGGTTATGAGTGCGTAAAGTCCTGTTTGTCATCTTTGAACATCTATCAATGGAAAGCTCCAACATTAATACACTTTTCCTGGGTAGCCTTAATCTTGTTGCTGAGGGATGGGTTTCCATCACAATTTACTTTGTATGGCCATTCATTTTCTTCTATCTATTTCTTCAGAGTTCAAACTGAACTTTTATTATAAAAAACCAACTGTATGGTTTGGCTTTAGGAAGCAAAGGATCCTCTTGTAAGGGCGGTGTTAGACGGCAGACAACTTGCTTTGAAGGTAAACCACATCATTTTCGATTCTTATATATGTGTATATATATAGATATATTTTAGTTGTTTGGTATAATATGTTGCTCCTTTGGCTTCATATGAAAAAATAATAATAATAAATAAATAAATAAATTATAATGTGGGAGTGACTGGTTCTCATGCATTTCCAGATTAGTGCAAATTCTGTGTATGGATTTACTGGAGCTACAATTGGTCAATTACCTTGTTTAGAGATATCTTCAAGTGTTACCAGCTATGGTAATTTTTGTATTTTGTGTGTGTGTGTGTGTTTTTTTCCTTCTCTCTATACATACAGTAGATATATTCTTGAAATATTATTGGACTATGATTTGTAACTTTTGAAGGTCGACAAATGATTGATCACACCAAAAAATTGGTGGAAGATAAATTCACTGTTCTTGGGGGATATGAGCACAATGCTGAGGTACATCTTCCGTAATCATTATCTTAATGAGGCATTTACTCTTCTGACAAGAAGCTTGCTTTCTTGGAATGGGCACCTTTAAGTTAGTTATGTTTTATGATAATGTGCTCATTAAACAAGACCCCAGTATAAAATCACAATTTTTTCTCCTAAAAAACCCGTCCTACTTATTGGATAGGAAGGCTAAAGCAGAAGATGTACAACTCCCTCAAACAATAAAGCTTATTAACATAATTGTTTGAACTAATTAATTCAACAAAAAAAAAAAAAACACAATAATTTTGGTTTCAATATCATCCAACAAATTTATGACTACCAATTCATTAAGCATTAGTAAAGTAGATCTTTTTATGTAATATTAAATTATAACTTCAACGAGAAGGAAGAAAAAAATGATGTGGCTTGGATGTCTGGTGTCCATCCATTGGCAATTTCCTATGTGCAATGACATATATTTATTTTTTAATTTGCTACACAACTGTAGGTGAATCAATATGAAGGGCCAGATATACCATTCAATCAAAATCAAAGATGCTGAGACACTTGCATAAGATTAAGATTACATAGTCATGCTTGACATGATGAAGGATAAACCAAGTTTACCTGTGTGAATGAATTAATTCAAAATATTAAAGCACAACTTTTACTTTTTATCATGTGTGGGTGTGTGTATATTCTTCTATTGCGTAAAAAAGTTCACATAGAGGAGTTATTGTTTGAGGTGTAAAATCTCTTGCTTTATTGTTTTGTTAGTTGAAATAGGAACAGGATAGTAAGCCAAGTTCACTTTTGTTTCTTCTCTCATCACATACAGTCTGGTTCCCTTTATAGCTGTATTTCTGAAAGATATTTCTTATATCAGGTCATATATGGAGATACAGATTCAGTTATGGTTCAATTTGGCGTGTCCTCTGTTGAGGAAGCAATGAAATTAGGTAGGGAAGCTGCTGATTATATTAGTGGCACTTTCAACAAGGTATGTTGGTTTGTAACCCTAGTTTGTTTCTTTGATCTTTCACTTTATGGCTTGTGGAAAAATTATCAAATGCCAAGTAGAGTTATGTGCTATGGCCTATGGTAATTTAGGTCAACGCGCGCCATCTAACAAGTGTTTGGCGTCACTTCTTTTCAACTCTTTATGCAGCCTTTTAAATACATGATGTGATGTGCCCTGATCTGACATTCTGGTGTGTTATGATCTGTGCCATGCATTCACACCGAAGAATTTAATCTGATATTTCCTTTAGTTGGGTCTATATGTACTACCCATCCTTTCTTCTCTTCTTACTGCCAATTTTTGTCTCAATTATAACTATTTGCATCTTTGTGGTTTTGCCTTGTTGTCAGCCTATAAAGCTGGAGTTTGAGAAGGTTTACTATCCATATCTACTAATCAGTAAGAAGAGATATGCTGGCCTTTACTGGACAAATCCAAATAAATTTGATAAGATGGATACTAAAGGTGGGTAAAATGGCTTATTCTTCTCTCTGTCACTTTTCTCTTATAAAATTCTTTACTCTGTTATTGTCATAATTGTCTCATTCTCATCATCTTGTCCCTACTTGTTAAATCCTTCATCTTCTTGTAGGTTTTCTGGCTAAATCATTACTTTTCTGTTTGCAGGGATTGAAACTGTTCGAAGGGATAATTGTTTGCTGGTAAAAAATCTGGTGACTGAATGCCTTAACAAGATACTGATTGACCGAGATATCCCTGGGGCAGTTCAGTATGTCAAGAACACAATCTCAGATCTTCTTATGAATCGCATGGATTTATCCCTTTTAGTCATCACTAAGGTGAATACTTAGCTGTGGAATCTATTTCAATGTTGTGTCTTTTAAGCTCTGTTCTCATCATTGCCCCTTCATTTAGTTCCCTTAAGGATTTTTTTAATTTTTTATTTGTATTAATGTTCCTGGTTTGATATATAGGGTCTTACGAAAACAGGAGATGACTATGAAGTCAAAGCTGCACATGTAGAACTCGCCGAACGGATGCGAAAGGTTGGAAATGTGTTCTACTGATTTTATTTTTTTAGTGTTTCATAATATTTTTATTGGCTAACCAGAGCAAGTTTGTGTTCTCACTTTTACATAATCTACTTAAGAACTTTTAGCACTTGTAATACTAGCTTGAACCTTGACTTGCAAAAGGAAAAATTCAGATAATAGATGTATATTGAATAGAGAGTAACATTTTATAATTGTAATTGTTAATTCTATCTTTGTTATGTCTTGTCTACTGACAAATAGAGAGATGCTGCTACTGCTCCAAATGTGGGGGATCGAGTACCATACGTCATTATTAAAGCAGCCAAAGGTGCCAAGGTAAGCACTAATTTCATATATGCTTCTATTTCTCGATGTGGAAAGACTGATGTGCAGAATTCAACAGGCATATGAAAGATCAGAGGATCCAATCTATGTGTTAGAGAATAACATTCCCATAGACACTCATTACTACCTTGAAAATCAAATTAGCAAGGTGCATGAAGCAACTTATGTAGTTTTTTTCTGTTTATCCAAGTGAGCTTTCAATGACATGACAATTTATTTATTTTCCAGCCACTGCTTAGGATCTTTGAACCCATCTTAAAGAATGCAAGCAAAGAGCTTCTTCAAGGAAATCATACAAGATCTATATCAATTTCTACCCCTTCAAATAGCGGAATTATGAAGTTTGCTAAAAAGCAATTAACATGCATTGGATGCAAGGCTTTGATCAGGTAAAGCACAAAGCACTCAATTAAATAAGTATTTCGTTAACTTCAAAATTTCTTATGCTTGACAAGAACTCTAGAATGGACAGCTCCTCCCGCTTACCTGCCTCCATTTAGCATATAGGAAGATACTATCAATAACTTTTAACAGTTCTAATTGCTAATCCAGCAACTCAGATCATACTCTGTGCTCACATTGCAAAGGAAGAGAATCCGAACTGTATTGCAAGACAGTGGCAAATGGTACGTTGATCTCTGCTTTCTTACTAATGTTCCATATCTTGTCAACTGGTATATTGTAACAACACGTTTTCCATATGAATAATAACAATGATTCTATGTTTCAGTTGCCGAATTAGAGGAGATTTTCGGTAGGCTATGGACACAATGCCAGGAGTGCCAAGGCTCACTTCACCAGGATGTTCTTTGCACTAGGTTAGATATATATATATATACACGTCTGCGGCTTGCCTTTTAGGATATTTATCCTCATTCTTTCATTTTCTCCAGTCACATCCTCTTTATTCCTTCCATGTATAACAGCTGCCATTTTGACTCTAATAATGTGCATATATTCCAGCCGAGATTGTCCAATATTTTACCGGAGGAAAAAAGCACAGAAGGACATGGCAGAAGCTAAGACACAATTGGATCGATGGAGCTTCTGATCTTCAAACATACATTTTGTACATTGTCAAAATGATTAGGCATGTCCATTTGTAAAAATGCGTAGGTACCTGGCTAGTCGACTAAACAGAAGAACCTGGCAATGGACTACTCGTATTGCATCAAATCCAGTGAAAAGGTTTGCAGTGACAATGAGATTGAGCAGTTACATATTTAGCTAGAGACTGCTTGATGGAAGCAAGCACAAGTTAAAAGATTTTATCTGATGATGGATGTCGGAAAAGTTTGTGGCATCAAGACTTACATGTCCCAAAAGCCATGTCGAGGATCTCAATGTTGATCCAGTTGGTCTGGTCTGAAACCAAAAAAAAGGTGTTGTTGGGAGACTTTGTTGTCTCTAATGTTTTTTTTTCCTTCCTCGTGGCTAAATACGACTTACCTATTCGTCGTGTCATGCGCTTGCGTGTTTCGATTTGCTATACTGATCACAGCCTTCTGTATTGCTGCTTTTTTAACTTTCTTGGTAGACATAAGAACAGCATATGATGAAGATATGGAAGCAAAAGAGATAAATTAAGTATAAAAATGATATATATGTAAAATGAAAGTGTCCTCAATACAGTTGAAATGGAAACTGTCTTAAGTGTGTATAACTTACTTCATAACAACTCATGTTGCTGGAAACAAATCTTCTGCAAGTCCTTGAAGCTGATACCATAAAGTGATCATGTATTTGGCCTCAAGATGAGCCATATCTTTCAACCATAGAGACGTAATCGAGTAGTAATTGGCTGCCGGCATAACGGGCATGAAGATAAAGAGGCCCCACAATCCTTGCAAGTCTGAATTTTCAGAAACAAAAGAAGGGAGCGAGGATGAAGTAAACTAAACATCAAAATGAAACACGGATATCTGCGTGTATATGGTGTGTGTGTCTACGCTTACCAGATGACCGCATCCGAATGCCATGTCCTTCGGATTTGTCAGGCAAATCGGACAAACCTTGACACACAAACTAAAAAGCTTAGAAACTAAAAAGGAAAAAAAAAAAAAAAATGCTCGATTAGGAAAGGCTATGTTGGGGTGGAACTTACTAACTCCGCCGATGGCCCTGATTCAGCCGGTTCTAAATTTGTCGATTTTGGGAGAGCTCTCATAGCATCATCGTGCTCAATAACTTCACGGGGAGGCGGAAGAGGCTTCCTCCTCGGACCTGAATTATATTTTCTTGGCAAAGGAAACGACAACAACTATCACAATGTAAGTCTCGTCCTCATTTACGTTTTCATACATTCTTACTGCCAATTAGCTTCGAAGGAATCGCACATTATGAAGAAGAGGAACAAACAATCTTTAGATTTACTTAGAAAAATTAGAAATGCATAAGGCTTCAGGCCTTACTCATTGAATTCCAGAGTCAGCGTTGCTCGATACTGAAGAGGTATTTCCATTAGAGCAGCTAAAGCAAAAGCCGATTCCTTTTTAGCTGTATCCGTGTGCTTCGACATAATTTCTGTGAAGTTGACAAACTATACAATGCGCCATTTTCGGAATATTAGACACTATACGATGAAAACATTAGACATTGTGCATTGCCATCTGCAATTATAACTACCTGGAAATTATCGAAAGCTCGTTGAGGAATATTATCGTCAAATTCTTTCATTGCATCCCACGGCCCATCCCCAACACCAACAAGAATGATCGATAAAGGATATTCACTGGAATATTCATCGACCACAGGTTACATAACCACCTAAACAATGTACACTTTAAAATTACTAAATCCAATTTACCTAGCGGCGACTATAGAGTCGATAGTTGCTTGTTCTTGAGGACTTAGCCTTCCCGGTAATGTGTTGGGACTTCTGGTGACCTAATATCATTACAAACAATCAAAATGTAAGAATTCAACCAATTTCTAATGACTCGGGATGAAAAGCTGACCTGTCCATCGGCAATAATGACGAGGACATGATACTGAAAGTTGCTCTTTTCCACTATATCGACCGCAGCATCAATTACCGGCGCAAATGAGGTTGGCCCTATACATAAATAGCAAGAAAACTAAAATAAAGAAACATAAACTATTATCATCAATATAAAGTTGTCCTAATATTACCTGATAAATGCAAAAATGGAAGAATCTCTTTATATCGAGCTAGAGCTTCCTCGAATCCATTACAAGGTCGATGGTCGGGGTAAAAGCTAAATACATTCTCAGCATGTGTCGTTGCTGGAAACAAAGAAAAATCTGTCATTTTCACTAGACGATAAATGAGAAACCTAAATAGTAATAGTAATAGAAAACAAACCATCGCCAAATCCGAAACATGGTATCAAATTATCCTCGTCGAATGGAGATAAAGTCCGTCCAATGATAGAGATAGCTTGCTCATATGGATTACGTTGGTGGCCGATTGCATGGAGACTTTTCCTGTGGAAAGAAATCCTCCCTAAACGACGATCATGTTAGTCGATAAATCCTCTCCACTTAACTTGCCGTAAAAAATATTATCAAAAATTTATCACCTGTCCATTCATTACTCTTGGTAAAATCAATGCCAAGGATCAAATTCGACGATTCCAGGCCTGCTTCCCTTAATCCATTTATCACCTTAAAACCATGATGCAGAATTAGATGCTTTGCAATTAGTTGTTAGCTAATTCAATTAGCTGATTTGATATATATATATATTTTCAAAAATTGAAACTTTTAAGATTCAATAAACTCTTTCAATAAGCTAGTTTACCAGACACTCAAGGGTTTGTGTCTTCAACAAAAATTTTCTGACATATTTTTTCCCGAAAAATTAATATACTACCGCTTGAAATTTCTTTCACACCAAAACACAAAACAAACACACCCTAAAACTATCTACTTAAAATCTATTCGATAAACTAGAAGCTCTTGAATAAACTTTTCCCAAACACCCTCTTAGTGAAACTAAATTATTGCTATGAGACATCAAAGTTCCATTATCCAACAAAAAAAGTCTGCATATTCAAGATTCGATAGAAGTGATGTATCGCACAATCATCGCCAAATAACCATAAATCTATGAAATGATACCTCATCCAAAGAGTTGAAGTTATCGGCTATATGGGCAGACTGCCGTCTCTTCCTATATTTAGTGTTTGCAGAAGTTCCGGGCTCCGGCTGGGGATCATGATACTGATGAGTCATTTGTCTTGAAATTCTAGTATGCTCTGGAGATTGAGGTCGATGTCCTGAATCAATTGAGTAGCCTGTGTGTACACCAGGTTGATGCGAAAAACTTTCATGGCTGTCTTCAGGTGAAGATTCAGAATTTCCCATTGCACCAAAGGGACAATGTTTGATTGAAAGAACAGAAATGTCTGTCTGCACAAATGAAATCCAGCGCTGAAATTACAAAAGAATAAACAAATTCCAGATTTTTTAAATGAATCCTTTATGCTAACTTTAGTTTATTCCTTGAAGCAAATTAATGAATCTGCTAAAATCCAACTGTAGGATTGAGTTATGGATTATAGGCAAGAATTTAAAAAAAAAAAAAAAAAAGTTAGGTCAATGAAATCATAAAAAGCTTACTGCCTAATCTCCCTTCACTTTTCTCATCTGCTTTTTTCTCTCTGCCTAACTATCAAACACTGTTTTTAACCAAAAAAAAAGAAAAGAAATGGAATCAAAGTTGTTTCTGCAAAATAGAACAATAATCTAAGAAGCCCTAATCACTTTCCCAATTCACTTGTCATGAATCATAAGAACAAGAAAGCGATATCGAAAGGAACAATAAATCCAGGAAGTCAAACTTTATTCGAGATTCCAAACCTTTAATCCATTCAACAGTTGCAGCAGAAAATTATTACAAGCAGAAGAATAGAGAGAGAGAGAGAGAGAGAGAGAGAGAGAGAGGCACCTGCTTCTGGTTGGGAAATGTATAAATTAACAATAGTGGGTGATCGTGGAACCCTGAGTTGAGTTTGACTTCCTTTCTTGATGGGCTTTTTCTGAGTTTGTTTACTCGCAAACGTTGTCTTTTTTATTTGTACCCGAAAACAATATGTCGAAACTGAACATATGCATAGAAACAAGAAAAAGAAAAGAGTCAGAGGTGACAGAGGAGATATGCACAGAGAGAGGTGATAAAGATCTATCTATCTATATATATATAATATAATCCATATTTCGTTGTCTTGTCTCCTGAATTTTTCTTATGGCGGCCGATACTTTTCTGTGTATATATATTTTCACCACAGAATATGATCTCCAGTAAAAAATATTTATCCAGTTAGTACATAGTCATTTTTTACTTTTGTTTTTACAGTATTGTATCTCTTTTTAATTTGCATTGAATACGAAAGTTTAGATGTTTTATTTAAACAATGTTTGATTCAAGAATTTTATTTGTTTATGTAGTTTAATATTAAAATCAGACCTTAAAAAAAACAACCAGAATGATAGAGCCTCCCAAATATGAATGGGTCGGAGAATGGAAGAATGTGCTGTGTCTGCGTGCACTTCTCCGGTCCCTTTGCTTGTACTGTACGATGGAAGAGTCTAGGCCACGTTGGATGTCTGCATTATATATATATATATATAAATATATTAAGGGAGTGTTTCTTATGGTTGAGTTTGAGAAATTTTGGTTTGAGTTTGGTATTAAAATAATGTTTGATGGAACATTTTGTGAGAGAAATTTTTTTTTTTTTTTTTTTTTTCGGTAAATGCAAAGTCCAAATAGTAAAATTTGAAAAATTTGGGGTAACTGGTATTTAAAAATAATGATAGTCTTTCTGTCCTCATCTATTTATCTATTTATTTTTTGGAATTGAAAGAGTATTTAATTAGTTAATAATAGTAATGAATTATAATAATATTTTATTATTTTTATATAATTGGATATTAATAGTTTTAAAATAAATTTTTATTATATATAACTAAAATAATTATAATATGTATTTAAATATTTTAAAAATTATACTGTAATAAAAAATATAATATGTAATATAGATATATTATTTTATAGATAATAAAACTTTTTATACTATAAATAAATAAAAAAATAATTTATTTATTTAATTAATATAAACTAATTTTATAAAAGAATTTGCGTTTTAAATATAAATAAAAATATTTATATTTCGTAAAGAAATAAAAATAAAGAGGTTTTGAGTAAGAGCTACCTGGTATGAATGTTATATATTATGTAATTAATTAAATTAATTTATATTCATTAAATATATTTTGATTTAGTAAATTTTAAAAAGGAATATGACAATTGTTACAAGACATACAAAAATTAAAAAAAAAAATCAATGGAGGAAGTACTTCATTTTCTTCTTTTTATTAAGAAAAGAGGATGGTTAGGACGATGAATTGAAATAATCAGAGTATGATGTTGATTTTTCAACCAAGCACACGTTATATGTATAAACAATAAATATTATTATGTACAACACATATTGTGTATAATAAAAATATGTATTTTTTATTTTTATATAATAACAAGTGTGTTGTATAAGAGTATGTCAGATGCTAAAATCAACTGTTGTTGTGTGTGTTGTATGTCATGTGTTAAAACCAACTGTTCTATGTGGTGTTACGAGACTATAATATGTGTTGTTAGTTTATGTATTGTATTTGCATTATATTAACCTATACAATGTATTGTCTGTAATAATACTTAGTAACATCTTCCATTCCGATTTCCAATTTCTATTCGATAATTGTGATTAACAATTGATGATTTGTTTGAATTTTTTGTTTTGCGGCGGTGGAAATTTGAATAGTAAAAATTTTGAATTTAAATAATTATATAATGTGATATAAATAGTTATTGATTTGATATTTTAAATATAAAATTAATTTTTTAGTATAATATAAAAAATAAAAAATAAATATTTAATTTGATATTTATTTTTTTAAAAAAAATGAAATGAATAATAGATTTAAAATCCAATCCCCTAAAAAACAAACATACTATGTTCGCTGTTTGTGTATTGTTAGGGTCAATCCGAGTGCATTGATTCTGGATCACACTGCCTTCACAAAAAACACAAAGCCTCTGTTCATCAAGGAATGAAACGCATTTGGGAAAACAAAAACTTCAAAGGCAAATATTCTGCTCTACTGCCAATACGCTCATAATCGACGACGAACCCACACACCTGCTACAAATATTATATTTAAAAGCAATATATTATATTTACAATAGTTATTTTATTTAAAATATTTGTAAAATTCTTTATCTTATTTAGACGATTTGCATATCATTATAAATATATACGAATTCTTATTATTGAAATAGAAAATTTCAGTTTTATATTCTAACATGTATCAAAGTCAAATTTTCTCCGGGTACCTCCATAACCCATTATATTTCATATATATTTTTTTATGACTTCTTAGATGACTTCGTGGTAGTGTGCTTGGAAGATAGGCAGATTCATACTTGGGAAGAATTGGAAGCAGCCTTTCATTTTATTAATATATTTGCTTATATCCACGATGATGCTGTTATTTTCATGTCGTTTCCATTTATAATACTCCATTGACATAATCTACTTTCGATTTTAACGTTGTTGAGAGTCCTATTTTCGACTTTAACTTTATTGAGAGCGAGGAGGTCCTGTTTCTTACTCTAGCTCTGTAGAGTGAGCGAGTCCTGTTTTCTTTTCTAGTTCCGTTGTAAGCGAGCGAGTCCTGTTTCCAACTCTAACTATGCTGAGAGTTCTGACTCTGATCCAATAGACGGCTACACCACTTTTGGTCAATCTTGGCAAATTCAAGTTCGTTCGTGGAAGATCTCGGCTATATCTTTTTCGGTCACTTTTGACAAACTCAAGTTTATTAGGTCATATTTTGAGTTTAAGGAGGAGTGTTAAAATATATTTAAAAGTAATATATTATATTTATGATATTGTATTATTTAAGATATTTGTAAGAATTCTTGACGATTTGTATAAATATGTATGAATTTTTATTATTGAAATAGAGAATGTTAGTTTTATATTCTAACCGATTTATATATATACATACGTTATCAAATCAACTGATTCACAATTCCAGCCAAACATGGCGATCTTCCCATCTCCACATAAGTGCCACAACGCTGACGACACATTTCTGAGTAAGCAGATCGCCATATCTCTTTTTAATTGATCTCTTGTTGTTTAAGCTCATTTACATAACTAACATACCATTTTAGAGTGTGTTCGTTGGTAGGATTTTGTCAAAATTCTACTATTCATTCAAAAAAATTTTCTAAAAAAATCAAATTAAACACTTATTTTTTATTTTTTTTTATATTATACTAAAAATCAATTTTACATTCAAAACATCATACCAACACCTATTTATATCATATCATACAACTATTCAAATTCAAAATTTTTACTATTCAAAATCTAAAACCCAAACCCCCGAACAAACACACCCAATTTATTAATATAACTTTGTATGGATTATAAGGTCCGAATGGGGAGCTGACAAATTACCTCGATGCCCTTGTGGAATCAAAGGATGTTCCGAGCTACGTGAAGAAACATTCCATTGGGCAGGCCGCCATTACTGCGACCACTCTGATTGGAGTTTTTATAAAAATGTTATTAGGGATCTCAAAGGCGGGTTAAACACAAGGTTTTGCACGTTCCGGAATCCGCCACACTATAAAATATTAGGCTCAGGATCCGCCCCATCACGCTTAAGTTCACCATCAGGATCCGTCCCACCGAATCCTCTTGGTTCCGGGCCAATTCGAAAATTTTATTTTTTAAAATAAAATATAATTTATTTTAATAAATTTATATTAAAAATATAAGTGTTAAAACACTAAAAATATTTTAATTCTAAAAACAAGAACAATCACATATTTGTGATGGTACGCAGTGATGGCGGTCAGGGCAGAGGAGACAAAATTTTACAATAACAATCAAATATTGGCAATTGTCCGCACTCCGTAGTGATGGCAGTTGGCGGCAGACGAGGAGACGACAATAATCCTGGTTTCATTTACTGTGTTATATTTGAATATTATTATTATATTAGAATTTGTGTAAAAAATTATAAAAATATAAGACTATTTTTAATATTAAGTACAAAAGGTAAATAAGACTCTTAGACTGGACGAAGAAAGTATAATTTATATTATATGAATATATATTAATTCTAATAATTATTAAAATATTCGGATTCGAGTCTAAGTCCAAGATGGGACGGGTTTTTCATAAAACCCGTAACCCGCCCTGAACCCCACCGGGTTTAAAATTTAAAAGTCACAACTCGCCTTGAAGTATATTTTATAGACCCAAATTCGCCCCAACCAAAGTGAGTCCGGGGCTAACCCGCACACCCGTACATAACTAAATGTTATTGCTACTTGACAGTTATTCTGACTGACTGACTGACTAGAATCTTGCCTCCTCTTTTTTATTACTGCCTCCATGTTTATTTTTTCATTTTGGTTTGTCTATTTATTTTGTCACTTTTTTTTTTAAAAAAAAGAATTATACATCTTATTTTAAAAAATTTTAATTTGTGACTTTTTAAATTTTAATTATATATTGTTTTAATCTTAATATATAATTATTTTTATTAATATATTTTTTATTATTTACTAATTATACCCCTCTTAAATTCCCGTATCTACAGAAAAACGGACCTAGTTATAATTTTATTTTGCATCCTGTTTTATTTTTTTTTTAATTTTTGAGAAACTGGTTATAATTTTATTTTGCATCCTATATTTTGGAGTAATATTATATAATACTATGAAAATATATTATTATGTACTATTGAACACATACCTCTGAGCCGCAAAGGAGTTCATAATAAGAAAAATCTGAATATTCATTCAATTATTTATTTATATATTTTTAAATTGAATCGAATGGGTAAGTTAACAGAGCTTGAAGCGTAGGTTTTTCTCTTTTATATATAAAATTCACGTTTTACTATTTTCTCTTTTAATATAAGATTAAGATATTTTTATATATAAAATTTGAGATATTTGGATAGGTAACTAAAGAATTCTACTATTATTATTATTATTATTATTTTTTTTTTTTCATGAAAATCCGCGGTCTCTACCCGAAAAATTTTATTATTTTTTTTTATGCCGTGGAACTCGCAGCCGCTACATGAAAAATTCTATTATTATTCTTTCAATAAAATATTTCAATTTAATATTTTTACTATTCAAATTACAATATAAAATTCAAATCTTTAAATAAACATGTGTATAAATTACATATGATATACTTGGTATGAATATGTATGTATTATATTTTTTAAATATTAATATAATATTAATTTTTTTATTAAAATACATCTATTTTCATAAAAATATAAATAAAATTTTAAAAAAGAATAAATGTACAAATTTAATTTATTATAATAAATTAAATTCTTGAAAAAAAAGAAGATAGTTATGTCATTTAAAATAAAAAAAAATCTAAATCATTCATTCAATTTGCAAAAAAATTTGGAAAATCTAAATATGATTAATTTTATCAACCAAATCTCAAATCCCATATAAAAAAAATAAATAAAATGTCCGCGAGTATAAAAGGAGGCGGAGGCAGCCAGTGTCACCAAAACGAAACAAGCAGCTAGCCAAAACTCTTCGATATATTCTGAGAGGCGAATCCACCAAAACCCTCTCCTCGCCGATTACCGCCGGCGGGTTTAGCAGCGCCTCTCGAACTTTTCAGGTAACGCTTTTCTCCTCGACACTTACGTCTCGTTACCTCTCTTCCTATATGATTCCGACTTCCTGTTTGATATTTTATTTCTTTTTTTAATAATTTTAATTTTAATCTGAGATTTATAAATATCTATAAAACTGGGGCAACTTGGTGAGCTCTAACTAGTGAATCGGAATTAGGCCAATGTTAGATTTAGAGAGGGGTCCAATTGGGAGAGAGAGAGAATGGTAATCGAAAATATTCCTGGTTTGCTAACGCATACGCTTCGGAAGAAGGATTCCATTTTTAGTATAGCGCATGCATGGTAGAGTTGATGATCAGACGCTAGAGTACTGCTTTCTGTAGTTTTAGAGGATGCTCGTCGATAACATGCACAATTGTTTACCATCGGTATATGCGGTGTTTTAAAATTCTGCGGAAAAATTATCCTAGGGTTTTTTTATTTCCCTCGAGAAATTTACCTGCACAGTTTGATTGAGTTTTTCATATCTTTTGTTTGTTTCTTTGTTTTTCTTCGAGCCATGACACTTGGGGGTGTAAATTTGGATCTTAAGATGTTTGAGAAGACCAAAAAAAAGGGGGGGGGGGGGGGGTGTTTGGTTAAGTGATTTTTTCTTATTTTGGATCACATGTGATGAAGAACTATGTGGAAATTTTGTTTTGATTCCTTCCAATTCCTCATCGTGAGAACTGTGAACTGTATATAACACATGTAGTTTGATTCGTCTTAGTTTGGAGATATTTTCCTTTATCAAGAGATTATGGGATAGATCTGATGTTCGTTGTCTTTTCCAATATAAACAAAACATACTATTGAGATTTAGCCAAAATGTTTTTCTATGGAAGCACCTAACAAGAGAAAAGGATAATTTGATTGAAACCAAGTACCCCTTGTCTTATTGTAATGAAGAATGGATTAGATTGGTCTTTGTGACTTTTTGACATAAATTATTTCGCATAAGTAGTATTTATGGTAAAATTGAATTTGGATATTTCCTATGAAAGGGGGCATTGGTGTGGCAAAGTAACATGTCATGTCTATTAACAAAAAATAAAACTTGTAGATAAATCACATGGTTTTTGGCACACTATTAGGAAATGCAAATGTGAGCTATTAGAACAATGCTATCACATTTTTTGTTTCTTTATTTGCATGTGAATTGATAAAATATGTCCCTGTTGTTGTCTTGTATGGTGGTTAATGATCTCAACAGCGAGCTGCGATGGTGCAACACAACAAGTCTTTGTAGTCACATATTTACGCTCTTAAGTCAGTTTTGTAGTGTTGATGTATTAGTTTGATATCATATTCAAGATCGTACCAAAAGCTAACATTTCTAAGCTATGTGTGTGTGCTGACACGAATGAGTATCATTATTTTAGAAGCTTCTCCAAAGTAAATAGATCACTTCGAATATGTGCCCCAGAACAATTTGAAGGGTAATAATGCATTCCCATGCAAAACATCACCCGTTGAAAGTAATCATGCTGTGATGTGATGAATGAATGTTTAGGCTGGCTTTAGTGCTGTTGCATGTCTGAGCTTTTTTGCTAACTTGAAAGTGGGTTGTTTTCTCTCTCACTCTTCGTTGATAGTTTAGCTTTCACTTTTGACCAGGGTTGTGTGCTTTAACTCCATTTATGGTTTACAATGTACATACACATTAATTATACAGTTCAATTTGTTATCTGCAAGACGTATAACTGAGAAACAATGGTTTTTCTACAAGCTAATATGATGAAAGTTGTTTGTTCTTTTGTATGTGGTGCAGCTCAACCTCCTCCTTGCTTTATTACTTCAGTTCTGTTAGTATCTCCATGTTAATAATGTAGTGAATGCAAAATGTGCCACCGTATTGTCTTAGCAGCTAAAACAGCTTCGCTCTTGAGAGGCTTTGATGCTTCATTTTTCATTTCATCTATGATAGATCAAATCTTCAATTATGAATTCCGTGAAAGATATGGTCACATATGAGGAATAAGTTCAAAAGCTAGCAAAATGAGTAGACATTAGATAATCTACCAAAATCAGCATGTTATTTTGCAGTGATAGATAATAAATGTCCAATAGAAAGAAAAGAAAAGAAGAAAAAACTCCTCCCCTCTCTCTTTCGGCATTGCCTGATGGGTTCCACACATTTATTAGGAAATTCAAGTTAGTTATTAGGAAGAGGAGAGCATGTTGGAAATATGCATTTGAACTCATCTATTGGATTTTAGTGTGCTTTTTGTTAAATTTTAAGAAAGATGGATATCCAAATGATTTGGGTGACGTACCCAAGATGTTTGTTTAAGGATTTCAGCCAGAACCAATTTTGATACACGTGTTGTCCCTAGTATGCCTCGTTCAAATACAATTAAGACAATAAAGGATAATCTTGTAGGAGACTTTGTGTTTTGTTGTTAGTTCTCATAAAGTATGCATTCATGACTCCAGAGGTAGGTATTGCACCAAAAATTAATTGCAAAAGACACGTGTAAAAGAAATACAAGTTGATTGCCACTAATCCACTGGTGAATCATGCATTATTACTTGTCAAGCATTAACTCTTTTCCCCTTTTTACTGATCAAGCCGAATCATTGTTAAATAACAGCTGAGTTAATTGATAGTTAATATAATTTTTCACAAGCAGGAACTTCCTAAAGCTCAACACGACTAAGGGAAAAACATTTGCTAGATTTTCTGAGTAACTTTATCGAACTCCATAGCAGATTACATGTAATTTATGAAACTTCGAATACTGGAATATCAAACATTTTCCTGGCTATGAAATATTTTGTTGCCCAATTCTTAGTATGTGTTTTCATTATTTGTTTATTTATTTATTTTTTTAGTAGTCTTAACGCCCCTTGTTTATTTGAGACAAGTAAGAAATTTTAACTGTCATTGAATGCCATATATGCGGATGTGTGAAATCATGTCTTTGGCTCATAAAATTTAAGTAGAGTGGTTTCCAAAGTTAGAAGTATTAAATAAATGTTGAACTCTGTATTGGAAATTGGGATCAATGTTCTCTTGTGGATCATAACTTGTTCATTTTCCGAAAGAAGTAATACGGACAATATCTTGAAACCTGGAAATAATATATGTAGTTTTTCGGTGGCATGTGTGGTCAATGTTAGAACAGTCTTTGTCACAAAGTGGTGAAGGTCTTCTCATTCTTGTTTTCCAGTTTGATTTACCTTAAACTTGTTTTATCATGAGCAGGAAAATGGATATGGGTGGTAATTCTTTGCCATCTGGAGCTGATGGAGTGAAAAGAAAAGTTTGCTACTTCTATGATGCAGAGGTGGGAAATTACTATTATGGCCAAGGTCATCCAATGAAGCCGCATAGAATGCGGATGACTCATGCTCTCCTCTTGCGTTACGGATTGCTGCAGCAAATGAATGTTTTAAAGCCAAATCCTGCCCGAGAGAAAGATCTTTGCAGGTTTCATGCTGATGAGTACATCTCTTTCTTGAGAAGAATCACTCCAGAGACTCAACATGAACAGTTCAAGCACCTGAAGAAATTCAATGTTGGGGAAGATTGCCCTGTATTTGACGGTCTTTATTCCTTCTGTCAAACATATGCTGGTGGGTCTATTGGTGGGGCAGTGAAGTTAAATCATGGACACTGTGACATTGCTGTAAATTGGTCTGGTGGTTTGCACCATGCAAAGAAATGTGAGGCTTCTGGTTTCTGCTACGTCAATGACATAGTGCTGGCCATTTTGGAACTCCTCAAAAATCACCAGGTATGAAGCTTCTGTACCTCTTATCTTTTGGGAGATTTATATATGCTGGCATGGAAATCCATGTACTTGCTTAGACATTGGTATTCCACCATCTGATATGGTATAAAAATTCTGAAGCTAACTTCAAATGTAAAAAATACCTGAATGAATTTGAAAAGATAAATCCGATAGCATCTCTAACACAATGGCATGCTGAGTTTTTATCCCCATTGTCTTATTCCACTTGTTAATCCTTTATTCTTTTTCCTTTCCAATCTGATATTTGTTCATGGTCTAATTGCAGCGTGTTTTATATGTGGACATTGATATTCATCATGGCGATGGCGTTGAAGAGGCCTTTTATACCACTGACAGAGTCATGACAGTTTCCTTTCATAAATTTGGAGAATATTTCCCTGGTACTGGGCACATACATGACATTGGATATGGAACAGGGAAATATTATGCACTCAATGTTCCATTAGATGATGGAATCGATGATGAAAGTTATCATGCATTATTTAAGCCAATAATGAGGAAGGTGATGGAAGTATATAGACCCGGAGCAGTGGTCCTGCAATGTGGAGCAGACTCATTATCTGGGGACAGATTAGGCTGCTTCAATCTCTCTGTTAAAGGTCATGGTGAGTGTGTCAGGTTTATGAGATCTTTCAACGTGCCGCTTCTTTTACTGGGTGGAGGTGGCTACACAATACGCAATGTCGCTCGTTGCTGGTGTTATGAGGTACGCCACCACAGTCTTCCTTAATGTATAATTCATTTTCTGATTAGCGACAACATAGAACCCTGAGAAATGTCAAGCCTGTTCTCATTTTTATATTACATAACTAAACTGTTTTCCATTTTTTGAGTTGGCTTCATAGACACGACTATCCCAGCAGAGAGATTATTTTGACTGACTTGACAGATTGTACTTAAACATCAGTACCTTATTATTATCTTTCAACTGTAGCATTTTTAACAAGATAGCTTTGTTTGTGGAGCAGACAGGGGTGGCCCTGGGAGTCGAACTTGATGATAAAATGCCATTCAATGAATATATGGAGTATTTTGGTCCAGATTACAGTCTTCATGTTCCTCCAAGTAACATGGAGAACAAAAACACCCGGGAAATGTTGCAGAAAATAAGAGCAAAGCTCCTTGATAATCTCTCCAAGCTACAGCATGCTCCAAGTGTTGAATTCCATGAGCGGCCACCAGATACTGAAATGCCAGAGGTTTGTTCTTCTTCTTTGTTAATGAGAACCAATATCTTATAATTCACGGCTTTGGCTTGGTAGTAGGGAGAATTGGTTTTCCTCAGCAGGATTAAACCATCAAATCATTTCATTGTTTTTTTTTTAACCCTACGTTCTATCATCTTCCTTCACTTAGTTTCATTGATCTGCTTCCGTTGAACTTACAATATGATTTCTGCCTCTCAGCATTTCTTTGAAAAGTGAACATTTGGTGTTCACAAGTGCACATGCATACTCATCCTTCTGAATAAGGTTTTCGGTTTTTGGAAAATTTGATTAGTGGATCCATATCTTCTGTAACTGTTAACTCTTGTTAACATGTATAGGTTGCAGTTAAGTTTGTGCTTTAGTTGCTTTCTGTCGGAATCATCTTGTGGTCTTAATTTTCCTGAATTCTCATGTCGTTGCATGTATTCCTGAATCCTCTGCGAGTTTGGTTGTTAAATTCTTACGTTGCCCTTGGCCCCTTGCTTGAAATTGTTGAAACTATTTTTGGTTGCCATTAAAGTGCTTGACCAAGTTACTTCATATATAAAAGAAGCAACGAATGCACAGTGAACTAATTTCTCATAGAAGCTCAATGTGCAGCCAGAAGAAGAAGATGATGATAAAAGACAACCAGATCATTATGCTTATGCTGATATTGACCGGTACACTTATCTGCTCAATTCTCACATGAGGTTTCTATTTATTTTCATCAATCAAGCACCACATCATTCGTTGTTTCATCCATGCAGGCCTATGCCTAGAGGGGTGGTGAGGATGGACTTTGTTGAATCTGAAGCAACTAATAAGGTATTTTACCTATGACCTCTTAAATAACGAGTAAAAAGTACTCTGTTGTCATTGTTATCGAAACTTCAGTTTAAATTCAAGAGAATTTTTGCACATTTCCTGCAATGGTCATGTCCTGCTATTCATGTCTCTGTGTTTATATATATATATATATATATTTGCCAAACTTTTATAACTTGTGAACAACAAATGCACCCTTTTTCAACTCCACCTTTGCTTCAAATGCATTGGCCAACTACTACATAGCATTGCTTGTTAATCTTTGTAATCTTTCCAGACAATATTGCATTGAATGCACCGGCCGAAACAAAAGAAGAAAAAAAACTTACAGTGATTCCCTTTGTTCCTTCAGACCAACAATGCTGTAGATCCTCATGCCATGGACGTTGATTCGACAGTAATCAGTCCAGCCAACCTAAAGGTATAAAACATCAATGCCCATGCCTCCCAATGACCTGCCTGACGACTTCTTTGATGATGTTCTAATAATCTGAAGCTATTGTTGTGGTTGTGCTCTACTCTGTCAGGGTTCTTTGCTAACAGCTGAAGCAGGAGAACAAAGCTCGCAGAGCACAGATGGCGACGAGGAGGAAGAGGATGACGAAGACGAAGCCATTGACGGGATGGACTGATAATCAGTATTGGTCCACCCAATTCAAGAATGGCAGCAGCAGCAACTTGCTGTGTTCCTGGAAAGCTGTTTTCTATTCGATTTCAGGTCCAAGAACAGAACAGAACAGCAGCAGAAGCAGCAAATTTTTGGGATTCTCCATAAAAACATGACTGGTGAGATCCAATCTTGAAGTATTTATGGAGATTTTGGGGTTGGGAATTGGAGGATTAATTAATTCATTGACAAGAATGCATCCTAATTTTATTTATTTATACCGTTTATAGATTATTTTTGATCTTTTAATGTTAGTTTGTTGATGTGTTGCTATGATATAATTTTTTTTTTTTTTTTTTTTCATGATTTGATCAGTAACTTTGTATATTGTAGTGAGCTAGTAATGGAATTTATTTTTGGACAATCGTTATCTTTTTTTTTTTAATGACTTTGGAAATCGTTACTCTCTCTTTATATAAATAAGCATGACGATGCATTTTGTTTATTTTTTAAATTTTATTTTGCTAAATATGACGATTATGTTTTAATACTTTGTATAAGTTAAGTTATTTGCACAAACCTGAGCTCTTTACTCGTCATTCAAAATGATTTAAAACTTAGTTATTATTATAATTTGTCAAATGCTCAAATTAATAATAATAATAATAAAAAAACTCTGCTTTGAACTCTGTTTCAATGTTAGTATATATATATATATTTAATATACTCTTTCCGTCTCATTGAAAGAGGTTACCATTTTTTGTCCGTCTCAAAACAAACAAGGTTATCATTGTAATTGTACTTAACATAATAAATACATTTTCAATTTACAATTTACAATATATTATACAAATGCCATTACTTTTATATTACACCATACTAATAAGATATTTTTGTCCTTTTTTTTTTTTTTTTACTACAATCCAATATAATAAATATATTTTCAATTGACAATATATTACACAAATACCATTACTTTTATATTACACCATACTAATAAAATATTTTTGTTTTTTCTTTTTACTACAATTCAATATAACTAATATTCATTGGACTTTTATTTTTTATTAATAATTCATTTTTCAAACAAATTATTAATATCCCAAAATTTTTATTTACGTCATACTTCAATTTTTTTATTACCAAAAATCTCAAAAAATTCTCCAAAAACTCCAAACTAATTTCATCACACTTATTATATCTCTACCTCTTATAAATTAGACTTAAAAACAACTCCCTGCAAATCTAATTCCTTTCCCCCTCATATCATCAAATAATCACATCTCCATCTCCATCATCATCTTCCTGCAACCCTAGTTAATGGATCATCTTTCAGATCCCCCAATTCTCACTCCTACCAACAAGATGAAGTTGATCTTCGACGTCTCGGCAATCGAGCAGCAGCCGAGCTTGCCGCCACAATTTCTATGGCCAGGTCAGGACGACCAGGAGATATTCCAGGAGGAGCTCCGGCAGCCGCCGGTGGTGGACCTCCGGGGTTTCTTCAATGGCGATCAGGCGGCGACACAGTTGGCCGTCTCCCAAATCAGGGCGGCCTGCCTGAGCCAAGGGTTCTTCCAAATCAGCAATCATGGCGTGGATCCAGGCCTGATTCAGTCAGTGTACGATCACATGGATACCTTCTTCAGTCTCCCGATGAGCAGGAAAATGGCGGCGCTGAGAAAGCCCGGCGGCCTCTGCGGCTACTCCGGCGCCCATTCGCAGAGGTTCTCCGCCATGCTTCCATGGAAGGAGACCTTCTCCTTTTGCTACAGCCATGCACATGATAGTGGCGATGTCGTCCATTATGTTAAATCCTCCATTGGCCAAGATTTTCATGAAGCAGGGTGAGATATAAACAAATATATATACATATATATAGATATATTTCAAAAAAATTTGCAAATTTAGGCTATGTTTAATTTGAAATTCTTTGTTACCATGCATTACTTTCGGTTCAATATAAAAACACAGTGATTTTTTTTTAATATATAAAATATCACATCCAACAATTATTCAAATAGAGGAAAAAAAAATTAAAACTCCCTTTACATTTATACTTATGATTATTATTGATTTTGTCCTGTATATTATATATATTCAAATGTGATTTTGTTTATATAGATATTTCCAAAATTTTTATTGCTATTCATCAACATAATATTTTTATAAAAATTCAGTTACTTTTAAATATTTTCCGAAAATATCTCAATTATTTTTTATTGTTTTTCTATAAAATATCTAATTAAACACTAACTTTTTACTATTTTTAATTTTTTTTTTAAAATTCCAAAACTTCAAAAGTCCATGTCTAAAGAGAGCAAGATGATATAGAAAGAGCAATTTTTAACATGTGATGAAAACACAACTAAAAAAAATGGTGATGAAAAGTAGTTAAAGGTATGTTTGTTTAAAGGATTTGTACTAGTCTCACTAATTTTTCTTTCAAAAAAGTATTAAATTAAACACTTATTTTTTAATACTTATTTATATCGTATGATACAACTATTTGAATTCAATTTTTTTATTAAAATCCAATCCTCCAAACAAACACACTAATTTAATTTGTTGTGGATGGGATGGATGGATGGATGTTAAATAATAAATGAAAGGTTTGCATTTGCCAAATACTGCAAAGAGATGAAGCGATTGTCCCTATCAATAATGGAGCTGTTGGCAATGAGTTTGGGGGTGGAGAGGTTTCATTACAGAAAATATTTCGAAGATGGATATTCCATAATGAGGGGCAACAATTATCCACCATGTAAAGCCAAAGGAGCTTCTGGTCTCACCTTGGGGACAGGCCCTCATACTGATCCAAATTCTTTAACCATTCTTCACCAGGATCAGGTCGGGGGCCTCCAGATCTTGTCTGATTCCGACAACATAAAATACTGGCGAACTGTGCAACCTCGCCCCGACACCTTCGTTGTGAATATCTGCGACACATTCATGGTCATTCATTCGATCATTGAATCGTTCATTATCCAATTTAATTTCTTGCATCATTAATTGATTCGATATTTGTTTCTCAGGCATTGTGCAATGGGAAGTACAAGAGCTGTGTGCACCGAGCAGTGGTGAACAAGGAGAGGGTGAGGAGATCAGTGGTGTTCTTTGTGAATCCGAGAGAGGACAAACTGGTGAAGCCCCCGCCAGATCTGCTGCAGAATAATATTATCATTCACCATGAACAAGATGATGAAGATGAAAGATGTAATGATTTGGGGGAAGTTAGAAGAAAGTATGGAGACTTCACATGGTCCCAACTCAGAGAATTCACTCAGAACCATTACAGGGCTGACACTGCTACCCTCCCCAACTTTCTGCATTGGCTCTCTACCTCTACCTCTACCTCTACCTCTACTAATTAATTAATTATATCATCCTTTTATATATATATATATATATGTGTGTGTGTGTGTGTGTTTGTGCGTAGAATATAGTTAAGCTTGTCTTGTATCTGCTATAAGAACTACATCACAAATATTTTCTTTAATATCAAATGTATCGAATGCTCAGAATGATCGTATCACCTAAAAGTTTAAAATGTAAAGAAAACACAGAAAGCTTGATACGTGACATATCTAGCTATATATATATATATATATAATTGATGAAATTAATTACTAGTGTATGATTTTTCTAACACCAATTTGTATTGCATACGATTAATATCTTACACATATATTGGCCATTGCATATATAATTATAATTAACAGATAACTATTGCTTACATGTAATAATTAAACTATTGTGTAGGCTTTTACCTCGAAGCAAATTAAATAGATATACGATTCCATCTTTAGATTTTTAGCTAATGAATTGGATTTAGCTCAAATAAACTTGAATAATAATAATAATTTTTGTCTCTTTACTTTTTACATTTAAATTTTTTAATATCTGTATTTTACATATGTATGTAGTACGATAGAGGATAAATGAACAATTGTATTCCTAAAATATTAATACTAGTATTTTATACTTATGTCAATGATACTATTGTGATGATATGTAAAATATAAAAAGAATTTATTTATTCATATGGGAACCACAATTACTTAAAAAAAATAATATTAAATAAAATTAAAATAATTTAATTTTAAGCTGAGGGAGTATATAATAATAACCACAATTGATTTTACCCTAAACCATATATGGACCCTATATACTAATATTATTATCACATATATATATTAAATAATATATGTTGTACCATGGAACCTCAATCAAATTCGAGTGTGTTTATTTTGAATCTCCATACAATTTTTTTATTAATTAAACTCCAAAAAAAATTCTAACTTTTTTAAAAATATCATATTAAATATTATTTAAACTAAAAACTCAAACTGAAAATAAACTTTCCAATGTTCTCCATGACACACACAGATATATGTGAGGTGGCAAATGAATGTAGAAGATAAAAGTCTAGTCATGTGTTGTCTTTCATTCTCACTTATTACAATAAGGACACACATATTTTTGTAAGCACAGGATCTTTAAAAGATTTGCAAATAATATATATATATATATATGTGTGTGTGTTAAAGTGTCACTCACCACTATAATTGCACATAATTAGTATTTGTCGGCACTATATTGAATAATTTTATTTAGTCCACAAACTATCTAATTGTATGTGTGTATATAAATACATAAATGACCAAAACTTTTCCTCAGATGGAACACAATATGAAGAAATTAGAATTTAGGATTTTCTATAAGGGTTCAAACTAACAAGATCGAAATGTTGTAATAGTCGTGAATGATACATATATATATATATATTGGCCTAAAATTCGCTCCAACCCAAACAGCAACAATATCTCAACACCAAGAATACGCACATCAACAACAAAGACACTTTCACGATCAGATTGTAAATTCGGACCGGTTGTTTGTTGAACGATTGGACTGCGAATGCACATTCTGGTGACGACAAGAACATAAAGTACAAAATAATTGTTAATCCAGTTCGGTCATCAACTATCTACATTTGGGAAGTTCCAATCCAAGCGAGTTTCACTATCAAAACAGTTGAGACATGAAATTTCATGATTACAATTAGAATCACAACTCTCAAGAAATCACCATCCTATTTATTGAAATACTCCACCCCTAATCTATCATGCATCTTCATCACCACCTACAAACTATTTCATTCTTTCTTAAAGGAATTACATTCAAATTTTTCTATTCTCCTCAACTTTATCTTGCTTTACTCTATATTCTATGATAAAACTCTATCTCTATACATGAGAATATTTATCGCGTCTGTCCGTCACTGTTAGTCTATATGAGATGGTGATGTTAAGAAGAAATCCACTTCATTCTTATAAACCAAGGGAGGGAGAATTCAATTAAGATCAATACCCAATACGATCACCATAATTTTTACGAGAAGAGATCCGAACTTACAATTTAAAACCAATTGGTTATAAATGAAATGGTCATTCTTTCTTTATAAACCAAAGGAATTCCCACATTATTTTCAATGTGGGACATATTCAACAATAGACACGCGACATTATATATATATATATATATATATAGGAAGCAGCAGCGTGATGGAGATCACGAGGGGGGTGAGGTAGTCGTACAATATTAAACGATTCTTGTCCCCTTGTATCAACTATTTTAGGGCATCACTTGTGGTCTATAATATTAATATTAATTATTTTGAATTTGTGTGTTTGTTTGGTTGGGTTTAATTTGATCGATCTCATGTCTTTCTATTTTCGTCCAGTGGAAATGTGACGTGGATCTTTCATGACTAGAGACACCTGATCATCATTTGTATATACTGTGTATTAACTTGTCCCTCTCCCCTCAACTTGCACAATAATAATAATAATAATAATAATATGTAGTCTTCCAGATCAGATCATTGATGTTCCTGCTAATACTGTTAGCAAAAATTAAATGATATATGAGTATATGTCAATATGACACACATATATATATATATGTGTGTGTGATCATGAGGGGGCTGTATGTATCCCAAAGATATTTCCGCATGCACCACAACCATGCAAGCTGCCATAATAATAACAATAAAGATCGAATATTGTTCATAGAAGAAGAAAAAAAAAATTAAAGTAGAGAAGGATATAATATGCATGCATTTTATTTATTTATTTGTGCATGGAGGCCCTCGTTTTAGAGCATCCACTTATTTTATATCTCTCATTGCAACACAGTCGGATATCAATGATGTGATCATTTTCATTTTTTGTATGGCAAAATTGCCCATATGTGCGCAAATGGAGGGTCGGAAAAACTTGAATATGCATATGTGCGCCCACCGAATTCGAGACTTAGTCAGATTCTGCTCTTCAGGTGCGAAACTTGCATATGTATATGTGCGTAAATGGGAACGGTGGGACTCGAGATCTAGCCAAACTCTGATACCATGTCAGAAGTTGTATGACCGTCTTACCTAAAAGTTCAAATTTTTGGGAAAATGCAGCCATTAATCATATATCCGCAAACATAAATCCTAACAATCTTAAAAAAATAAAAAATAAAAAATAAAAAATAAAAAAATCTGAGAAAGGATTTGAGCTAGTATTTTAACTCTATTCAAAATTTATACTAAATACTCTTTTATTTCTACCACCTTACTTACTAGGTAGATAAAGACTCCGGTTACATAACCAACTTTTCACTAATTTGACACTATTATTTTTGGAAAAATATTGTATCAAATATATTTTCTCTCACAAAATGTCAAATTAAATATTAATTTTTTATTTTCCAAATTTTTAAAATTTCAAAATTTTCCAAAAACTTATATCTAAATAGAACTAAAATATTTGGATATAGTGTTATAGCCAGTAGTCAGAAAGTTCAAACAATATTAATACTCCTTTCGTCCCCTAAAAATGTATCCAATTTTTTTGGGCACGATGTTTAAAAAATATTAGCATTATATTTGTATCCAGTAGAAATAATGATAAAAAAATCCAAAATGCCCTTTTAGTACTTATAGTATGTAATAATATGATGTAACTTTATATATATATATTGTTCAATTAGAACAACCAATTAATATACTGTAATTAAAAAAATCTGTTAACACAATAATTACAATAATTAAATCACTATTTAAAACAATAATTAGCACTCTAAATACAACACAATTAACACGGATAATACTCCCAAACTCTGGTCAAATAACACAAACATCTCATAATTGAAATTAGTGTTCAATGAAGACAGATTATTACAGAAATTAGGCCACTAAACGTCATTAACATCAATAAAAGTAACACTAATCGATTTAACTAAACATCTGATCTTCGTAATAATCCCCCAAAACACTGCACAAAATAAATGAAAATCAGTTGTAAATTAGAATTTTCAACCACAAAAAAGAGTCTAATCAAAGAGTAAAAATTAGGTGGAGAATGTTTTCTTCAATTCCCTCCTAAAAATTTACCTAATCTCCCTGCAATTAAAGGCATTCCTTCCCCCTCTTTTCACCTATAAAAAGAGCAAATGTTAAGTCATTTTATGTGTATGCAATCGGATCATTCACTCTCAGAGTTTAATCTCATCACAGAGTGGGGGCAGCAATAGGGATAGTGCACACTTACTGCAAGCTGATGACATTATACGTAGTACAAGTCTCCAAAAACTCACATTCGCGAAACACATCACCGAACATGGGCAGCGTGCTAAACACTCTCATCCTAGAAAGATCATCGAGTGTTTGCATTCAATAAATTTCTAAAGAATATATTGAATGTATTAGGGACAGTGCACACTATTATGTGAGCGATAACATTATACGGTGTATATGTCTCCAAAACTCACATTCGGTGTAACACATATTGAGGAATTGAATCATCATCTCAGACTATTGAATCCAACTATCAACATGGTTTTGCCACATAAACATTTCCACACCTCAGAAATCATGTTCAATAAACTCATCCAACATAAAGAATCGAAAATATACCTCAAAGAATCATGTTCAATAAACAAAGCATACCTGCGAGTTCCAAAAATAAAGAAAACATAAGTAGTGAAATACTTAATGAAATGTGAATGAATAAATTTAACTTAAGCAACCAAATCTAAACTAAATGCATTAACCCTAAAACACATACCTCCCTTAAAGTTCGCCGGAGGTTCAACGACCAATGGACAATAAATTGGAATGAAATCTAATACAACATCACCAGTAGAAGAGCAACTCGGACGAGCCACTTCAATTCCACCGTGAGTTGTTGAAGATCTCACCCGAAAAAGAGAACTGCGGCCACGGACAGCCATCGAACATGCTCCGTCGACCGGCTCCGGATCCAATTCTGAATCTGGAATGATCTCACAGGTAGCAACCGAAACGGACTCCGGCGAAGTAGATCCAACCTCGTCGAAGTCCGATTTGAGAGACTCGAGCTTTGAATCGATTAATAGGTCGAAGCGATGACTGGAGTGAGTGAAACCCCGCCGTAGGGACGGAGAAGAACCTTCCATCGAAGCCGAAGTCGGAGGGTCGAAGGCCATCGACGGCGGATATGGCTGGAATCACCCCTGAAAATCATGAAGCGAACGAAGAAAACGGCGATCGAAGAGGAATATAGGGTGTGAAAACCCTAAACCGAGAAAGGATCGTTTGGGATGGGTTAAGTAGAATAGATTAGATTAATAATGGTTAATGTGTTAATTTTAGTTTTTATTATTGATATTTAGTTAAATTAGTATTGTAGCATTTTTGTAATATTCGTAGTATTATAAAGTTATCTTTTATAATATATAGGTAGATAGTATATTCCAAATATGTTTTACATATCTAACAATAATTAAATTATTCTAATAAATCTAACATGTTCAATCAAAACAATAAAGATTTCTTTTTTTTTTAATGTATTTCAAATTAAACACATTTCAATCCATCCAATTCAAAACCATATTTGAAATCAAACCCCTTGCCCAAAGAAATAAGAGAACATACAATTTTGAGGCAAGCATCATTTGAGACTACTGTATAGTAAACAATAAAATAAAAATTGAATTTTTAATTTTTTTTTGTTTAAAAAAAGAATGAGAATACGAAAACAATAAAAACATTTTAGAAAAAAAAATAGAGGTAAAGAGCATGGGTTTAAGATTTTTGAACCCATATTAGAATCCAATTCATTTGGGTTGTGCAAGCATAAATATGTGTGTGTGTATATATATATATGGGTGTTAAATCATACCAAGCACGTTCATATCATGTATAATATTCGATCTAAACTTAAATTAAATGGATTGGCTGTATTATGTTTCTAAATAATATGCCAAAAAAAACCTAGAAAAAGAAAAAGACAATATTTACTTACAATAGTATCAAAAGCATAAAAAAAAATGTAAAAATGTAGCTTTTTTTTTTTTTTTTTTTTTTTTTACCAATGATCGTCGAGATGATCTTGTTGAGGCAATGTCGGAGCCGGCAACGTCGTCGTTTGGATCGAATTCGACGAGAAAGGCAACGAAAAAGGAGGATCATTTGACACGAAAGATGGCTGTGGGATCAAATTAGGGTTAGGGTATACACTACTATAAGGCATGTTTATGTTTTGGTCGTGTTGCATATGTTGCTCGACGACGCGATGTTGGTGTTGGTGTTGTTGTTGATGTTGTTTGGGAATGTTCAGCTTCTCGCCTTCGATCTCCCGGTACTTTGTGAGGTATAGTTTGAGAGGATTTACGTAGTCTTCGAACCCTAAGGTCATAATGGCCCAAAGAATATCATCCCCATTGATCGTCTTTCTTTTTTCCCTTTGGCATTTGTCCGAGGCTTCGCCTGTGACGAAGCTTATGAACTCAGACACGCATTCTTGAACGGTCTCTTTGGCATCTTTGGAGATCTTCCCGTTTCCGGGGATGACCTTTTTCATGATACGTCCCACATTGGCGATTGGGAGGAACCGATCTTGTTCTTTATTACTTCCACCACCGCCGCCGCCGCCGCTACATCCAATGCCGCCTATGGTAGCTCCTCCGGCGTCGGGATTGGTGTTTTCTTTAGAATGGTGGTGGTGTTTGTAGGGATTATTGAGAGAGGGCATTCTATGATTAGGGTTAGGGTTACAAGAATGGATTTGATCAGGGGTGATTGTGAAGGCGGGTGGTGGTGGTCTATGGTGGTGGTGGTGGTGGTGATCGTCGTCATCGTCATCGTCATTGTCGTCGGAGTCGGGGATGGCGGTGGCGGCGGCGGCGTCTCTCTCTCTTTTCATGGTGGGATCGGAGGGATGAGATGAGAAGTGTTTTTAGATTTTATTACACGTGAAAAATGTGAAAAATAGGAATATTGAGGACAATAGGCATGGAAATAGGAATGGGACTCGCTCCTCTTGACAACAAATTAAAACCCACTTTATCCTTAAGCTTCCCTATTAATATCGTTACATTAATTCTTTATAAAAACATTATACTCATTTAATTATAGTGAAATAATATATATACATTTAATTAACTTATGCATGGGATTGCATGTTGAACTCAATAATTCAGCATGACTGAATTAAATTTGTATTATATATTGATTAAAAATACATCTAATTTTACTCTCTTATGTAATATAATAGTAATTAAGATCAAAATCTATTTTTGGTATGAACTGAGTTAATTATTTATGTTTGAACAGCTCGGCTTGTACCCATTCATTAAGTGACACGTGTAACCAAATTTTGTTGTTTGTGTGTTCAGCTGATTCGGCTTGTTAAGCCATTTTTATTTTATTCAAACCAAAACATTAATAGATAAAAATAAAATTGTTATTATTTATATTGATTTTATTTTATAATTAATGCTATCCAATATTCATAAATAAACTCTCGAGTTCATAACATAGTGAATTAAACTTTGTGAGTTTTTTTTTTTTTTTGTTTGTCTAGCTTAGCGAATAAGGCTAAATTTAAAAAGTTCAAACGAGTTGAACCAATTAAGGTCGTAAGTCATTAGTTTGTTTATATTTAAAATTTTATCATACTTGATAACTTTACAAAATATAATAATGAATATCTTATCGACCAATTATTATTAGGTACTACTTATGAAATAAAAGTCCTTTTCACTTGTTATAATTTTATATTTTTATACTTCCTTCTCCTTCGTCTCATAATAATTTTTTTTTTTTTCATCAATCTTGAAGAAGTTTGTTTGAGGGCATACAAGAATTTGTCCAATTTACAAATATGTCCAAAAGAATGATTATACCTTTAAGGTGGTATCATATAAACTTATTCATCTAAATTAATGCTCATCGAGGAAGGCATTATCTATGTCTAATTGGATCATAGGCCAATGTTTAGAAGTTGCTATAGTAATTTTAATACCCCTACAATTACCATTTTTTCAACATGGGCAACAGAGTTAGTGTATTCCAATTCATATTGTTGAAGGAATTTTTTGGCTACCAAATAAGCCTTAAACTTGTTAATGGAACCATTGTTTTTTATTATTATTATTATTATTTTAATTTTGTTAATCCACTTACAGGAATAAGTTGTTTTTCAATAGGTAGATCAACTAGATATCAAGTTTGGTTTCTTTCAAAGAACATCAAATTCTTCTTGCATGGCTTGTCTCACAATCACTTTGTAAGAATGGGATTTTTGTAGTGTAACATCTAGTGCATCATGTCAAATAGTATAATTAGTGTCATGAATGGTGGGACAAACATAATCTTTAAGATATCTTGTTCTGGTTCTAGTAGGTCTAAGAGATGGTGTATTTGAGAAATGGGGGGATGGAGGAGTAGGAGAGACCGACGAAGAAGAAAAATGATTAGAATAATCAAGAGGTAGGGAGGGTTCCGATCCTAAAATTGCGTGTTGATCGAGTTTTTTGTGTGGTGGAATGTGCATTAGCATTAGGTAAAGCATGAATATTATAAAAAAGAATTACGAAATAAGGAGAAGGATTACCTGATCAAGATGAGAAGACAAAATCCCATTGATGTTATCGTGGTTACTTTGCAAAAAGAAATACATCTCAGTTCATCAATCAATTTCTCCGATTTAGAGTAATACTCCCTCCGTACTATAACAAAGTATCCATTTTTCTATTTTAGTTTAGTATCTATATTTTATTATTATTATTTTTTTAGTAATTGTACTATCTACCTAACATTACAAATACTCTTACAATTTACATATAATTGCGAAGCCAGGATCTAATCATTGCATCATAGGCTCGGTTCTCCGGTGATTAAATTCAAGTATTCCTTTTGTAGGCTTAATAAGTGTTCTATCTATGCATCCAACTTTTGATTTTCCCATCGGAGTTATTTTCTATATTAATACTCCATGAAAGGTAATTAGAATCCGTACGGATGCGAGAGCCATAGACTATTATAATTATCTTTTATATAGTTCACGATTTCCAGGTTCACTTTATTAGACGAGAAAGGAGAGTACTTTCTAATGTGCATTCTATTCATTTCACCACAGATAGATTTTATATTGAATTATTAAATTTAGCATTCTGAAATTTATCTTCATTCTTGATTAAAAATATATCGTAATTTAAGTCAAATGTATATGGGTTGACAACATTGACTCCACTAGCTATAAAGTGCACAAATTTAATGCTAGATTTGATTCTATTTCTTCAATATAACAAAAAAATAATCATTGGATTAAATGCATTTGAGAGTGGTTATGCAAATACGGACAAGCAATCAAAATCTATTGACTTTAATTCAGATTATTAAATGGTTTGCTTGGGGCAAAGATAATCGTGGTCTTATTTCACAATTTTAAATTAAAAATTGGTGTTTTGACATGGATTCAAAAGTATCTGAACATGAAGAGGTTCATAACAAAAAAAAAGAGTCGGACCTCTCAAACCGCGGAGCTGTCCAACAGCAAATGAGCTTCAGGCCGCGGAGCCACCCAACAACAATCTTAACTCCAAAAGCAATAAAGACATGGTTCAAGCCCATTTTTGGCAATCTGAGAAAATTGATAGAGTTATAAGGAGTTTGAAAGAATAACTACCACATTGCCACAGGTTCGACATTTACACTCTAGGTTCTCGGTTATAATCCGTCCCATGTATGCGAGCTCTTTATCCCGTATAGCTAATTGCACTAAGACACTATTCTTTCATATTGTATGGTATACTCCGGGCATATTGCGCCTCAACACAGGTGTGGCCTAGACGCTAAATCTGTCAGCTTCCAAACATGTTACAACACTTTCCCTAGAATTTAAGGGCGGTTGCTTATATTAAGATAAATATGGCAAAACAAAACATACACATACAACAAGATTTCTCCAATTATATCTTACTTTATATTGTGTTTTTATTAATTTAAATTTAGTTATGTTAATTTATATTTTCAGTAAATTTTAGCTTATATCCATCGAAATCATCAGCCTAGACTCGAAGCCATGCAAGCTCCACGGTCGGAGCTGTCTCAAATTCGATGACGAACAAACTCTTTGAAATATTTCCGAAATCCACACCAACGGAATTGACGATGTTGGAGCATCTGAATTTTAGTTTTCAACAATTTGATTGATGATATTACGTCAATATAACTGTTAAATACTGTCATTTTTTAAACAGAAATGACGAATGAAGAACATAATACAGAGAGAATGAGTATATATATATAGTAAATGCAGTATAGCAGAGTTATCTCCATCTTCGTTCTCAATTTAAGTAATTAGTTGCAGAGGCTCACTGCTCTTCAATGGCCACTAAACGGCTAATTTCACATCATCATCGTCGTCCACAGACAAAAAAAAAACACAACATCGGATCATCTAAGCAAGCAATTCAACTAACCTGTCCTTCGTCCCTGTCCGATTCACTTCAACTTCCCTGACAATCGATACTCAACCATGGCGGCACACTCATACAGACATACATCCATCACCCAAAAAAAACAGACTTCTTACCTAAACAAACGTCGGCCGCCACATCTTCTTCAAGCCAACGCATACGATAGCGTCTCCTGTTCCTCCGGCCGCCACATCGATTTCTGAGCGTACAGCAGCCCTTCCTTGTCCCGAGCGTACGTCATCCGAATATCCCACTGCATCGATCTGAATATCTCCTCCAGCTCCGTGATGATCTCGACTTTGTCCCTCACGATGATCTTCCCTTCCGGTCTCAGAATCCGGTCCGCCTCCACAACCAGCGCCATGAAGTTGCACCTGATAGAGAATTTCGAATTCGAATGAATAAATGAATTGCACACGTCGAACGCAGAAAGGTTCGTGTTTTTGTTTCAACTCACTTCGTTTTAATTTTCGAGAACAGATGGTCGGCGTGAAGAAGATCGTACGATCTCGGATAAGTACTGAACGATTCACACCAGTCGTGGTAAATTCCGAACAGGCCTCGCTCGTAGATGATTGGTAGTGTATCGGGCGCGTCAACGGAGACGATGTTCATGACCCATATGTTCAAGTCCTTCATGGCAGCAGCCAATCTGTTATGATCAGACGACAAACCGGAGGCATCAGTTAGTCAGTCGCTGCAGTAAAGAAAATAGAATCGAGTCGGGATTTAGTTTGAGGATCTTACCCTCCGTAGACAGCTCGCATATCCATAACGTTCCTCACCGACGACCAGTTTATGCCGAGACCGTTCAAATAAGAGTTTTCCACGACGCGTTTCCAGTGCTCGTAATCTGTCTGAAAATCTTCCGGAGCTGGCTTCCCGTAAACGCCGACCTCAGAGCTCGACAGCCAGTAAGGCGCTTTCCCTGCCCTCTCGGGCCATTGTTCCGGCCATTGCGATCCGCGGTCTGATTGAGCCACGGGGATTTTGTGCATGCACGCTTGTAACGGCACGTTCCTAAATAACATCGAAGACATAAATTCAAATTGACCAACCGAAACGATAAGCGTAAAGAACATTTAACGGTTGGAAGTCGAAAACAAGCGAATTAAGTGTACCAGGCTGCGTTTGGATCGTCAGAATCTTGGCACACGGGAGGTTCGTTTTTCTCCCTTTGTTCGTAGCATTCATTTGAAGCCGGCTTGCGGTATACGGCAATTCCTACTCCGTTTACCCTGTCCTTCGTTATCGAAACGACTTCCCAGCACATCGCTTCGGTTAATTTCTTCATGGCTGGCGACATTACAAGGAAAATTCAAAACCTATGTACATATATATATATATGTATATATCGATAGATAGATTAACTCTATCTGAAAGCAGACCTTGCCAAATCTCGATGTCTTCGGGGAGTTTTTGGTAGATGGGAGTCGCAGACCATACGAAGAAACCTCCAGGACGCAACAATCGATTCAGCTCCAGCAGAAGTTTCCCCCCTGATAATTAAAACAATGTAAGAACTTACATAAATACAGCCAATTGCGTTCAACAGCAAACAAGAAATGTGGCTTGAAAATGTACCTTCGATATGCCACGGTACCCTACAACGAGCACAATGAACAACATCAAAAACTCTCCCGGGATATGGGAGTCTCTTTGTACCCATAACCGCAGATATTGCTGGAATTCCTCTTTCGAGGGCGAACTGAACCTGAGCCTCATGTTCGTCTTTAGGGGCCAGCGACATTGTTAGAACATCCCTATCAAAGAGAAAACCCCCGAAGCTAGCTACTCCACAGCCAACATCCAAAACAACTCGGGAACGTTTCCCCCATGCAATATCGGGTACCGACTGCATAGCAGCAAAAATGCATAATTTTGATTATGTAACAATTTCTTTCAAGATGCAAATTAATACCAAATTCGATAAACAAGGAAGCCTGCAATTGTCTGCGATTGTCTTATGCATTTGCAGCCATCAAGGCAAGGAAAATGACGACACATTATCTAATCTAACAAATAGTTCCACAGAAGGATAAGATTTAAACATTTCTTACCTGTTGTATAAAATCAATGTAGTGAAGAGCGCCGTGCTTAAACTGTGTGCCACCGCCAGGGAAGGTAAGGAACTCGCCGGTAACTTTAACCCAATTTTGATGTCCTTTGATTTCAGCAAGCTTGGTGTGGGGAACATTATGGTACCATATCTATAAATATAAACAAAATAAGCGCGAGTTATAAATAAGTCCGACAACATTAATACAAACGAATCCAACGAAGCAAAGTTATAACACTTCCATTAAAGTTCAATACCTTTTCGCGGCTTGTAGGCCATTCGATAGATTTTTTATATCCCTCAGGGACGGGAACAAGGCAGGTTGGAGGATTTTCGGGACAGTGCCTCTCCCTGTGTTCGTAGTGCTTAGTCGATCTGAGATGAACAATTGCCTCAATGTTATCAAGGCACGGAATGTAATCGGGGCCAGCAGTGGTATTGCATATTTTCCAGGCGTATTTTTTCGGATTCTCTTGCGCAGGTGAAGTTTGAGCATCTTTTTCCTTGTTCGACTCTGCAGCTTGAGTTGAAAATGATCCGGTTTGGGTAGTAGATTCATTCGAGAGCTCAGATTGCGCCCCGGAAGGAAACACTTCGCCTTGTTTCTCCTTGTTCTCGGCGGAATCTTGATCCGGCTTCTCATCTTTTTTCTCGTCTGCCTGACCACCGTCTTGTTTATCTCCATCAGTCGTCCCTGAGCTCCCTTCGGAATTTTGGTTGCTTTCATTGCCATTATCTTCTTTAGTCGAGCCAGGTTCAGAGTCCTTATTCTCCGCCTGAAGTTCAGCTTTTTTTTGAGGGTCATTCTCATCATTCGAACTACCTTCCTTATCCCCTGTTACCTCGTCTTTTTTCTCATCCTCGGATTTTGATTCCTTATTATCCTCAGTTCCCGGCTGCGACTCTTCAGGCTTCTCATTTTTATCCTCCTGATTCGATTCCTCAGGCTTCTCATTTTTCTCCTCCTGATTCGAATCCCCATTGTTGTCCGACTTCATTGCATTCTCCGATAAGTCGCCCTGGTTGTCCTCGAACACTTTTTCTTGTCCATCTCGAGGGCGACTGTTTTCAGCTGGAGTGCCATCCTTCTTATTCTTGGCATTGATCTCGGTCGCCCCATTCTTGTTCTCCTCCGAAACGTCGCTTTTCTGAACAGGGAAGATCGATGAGGATGTCATCATCCAAACTCCGATCAAACAAAGTGCTATGAACACCACAACGGTAACGGTCGAACAATAACCCGACGATGACTTCCGGCCGTCGATTCTTGTGTACTTGCCAGTAGCCATGGCTTCAACTTCTTAACTCTTTAAACAATCCTCGATGCTTCTCCTACTGCACCTACACCATTAACAAAAACTAAACACTAAAATCTCTGCTTCAAACTCAATCAATCTAAAACAAGGCTGGAATAAATAAGAAACACATTTTTAATAAATGAGATTCAAAAGAATGAGATCATTAAGGATGATGAAAACACAGTAGCATTGATTGCAAAAATGTCTATCATTTAAAAACCCTAAAAAAGTAATCGAATTCAGGCAGCCATAATCAGATCAAATCATGATAGCATCCAGAGTGCCCCCACTTGTTTCAAATCAAACTACATTCGATTCCATTACAAAGATCTCTGCAGACACAAAACTTTCCAGAAGAAACACAGACAGACAAAACCCCCAAAAGCTCAAATCAAGAACTCTCGACTATATTAAGAAATCAAACCAAAACTGGTCAAGAACAAGATCTAGCCAAATGCACTAACATTTCCAAGATTTTTCAACACAGTTTACCAAAAACAAACACGAAAGAATCAGATGAACGAGCTTTTTTTTTTCTCGTACATAATAGTAATACCTTTTCTTCAGATCTGGAAGCACAGAGCATGAGCTCCGCTCATTGGCTTATCTTCCGCGTATAAGACACAGTGTCGGTGATTGGCTCTCGACAAGGCTTCCAGTGTGGAGAAGATGCATATGTCTACGTATAAATATATATATAAAAATATAAGCACACGCGCGCGTGGAATTACAGCTACAAAGGCTTCTTCTCCTTTTGGGGGTTGGGGTTTATTTAAATCCCCATTAATTGATGCTCACACTGCATCCCTTTCACACGCATTTGCGTAATTAAAAATGTGTAATCAACGCGAAGACGGTGAGATGAGATCTGACGCCTCTTTTTTATTCTTTCCCCTTCCACTCTTTTCTTAATACTTCTTTTTCACGTCTGAAATCGGATGAGCTGCGGCCTTCCGGGACCTCCTCCTCGCCCTTTTTCTTCAATTATAAGCAAGAAATTGGGAGCGAGAGGAAACCACTGGAACCGGAACTCCAAGAAATTCTGAACGTAAGGCGAGATGTATCTATCTATCTATCTATCTATCTATCGATCTGATCTTCGCACTGTGTTTGTTATTCAATTATTTGAAGTATGACTGTCCTCTCTCACTCTCTCTGCTCAGCTTTGGGCTTCACAGATAATCAATTATGGCTACCGTGGTGAAAAATGTCCCTTTTGCCCCCGCCACATTAACCAAAATTAACTTTTTATCGGTATTTTTTGTTTTGATATATATATTGATGATAAGATATGAATAGTTAATAGTTTCCGTCCCATAAGCATAGTTTTATTGTGTTGTACGATATTTAAAGAATATTAATATTAGTTGATAAAAAATAATGATAAATAATTTTTTTGTCTTTGCTAATATATTATTATAAAAAACAGTGACAATTGTATAATAATAATAAAAAAGTATGAATAATTTTATGGTGACATAGATTGTTTTCATTATTTTGAGACAGACAAAAATAATAAATAAGATTGTTGTATTAGGATAACCGGTATAAACGTGGAGGGAGTTGTTACGTAATGGAAGGAATGATATTTGCAATTATTGTTGTAGTTTTTATTTCTTGTTTATTTAATGATTACTATTAATATGATTAAAAATAAATATATAGTTGTTATAAAAAAGGAAGTGAAAAGGACGTGCAAAAAGGTAGGATGAACATGACAACTCTATGAGCTTTGCTTCAATGTGTATATCTGTAATTTTCTTTTTGTTTATATTTAATTAAAAATAAATATTTAAACAGAAAATTTAAGTACACTTTATCTGTGTGTGTGATTTTTTATTTTTTATTTTTGAAAAAAAAGGAAAATGGGTAGTTTTAATTCCTATATTTCTATTTTAATCATTTTGGAGATTAATTATTAATCAGTGAACGTTATGATTTATTTGGGATTAGCATTGACATATGTTAAAAGAGAAAAACTAGCTTCACTTAAAAAGATTTTTTTAAAAAAATAAAAATAAAAATTGACTATTTATGTAATATCAAAGGGTGTGTGTTTTTTTAGTTGAGAGTTTGGAAAAAATTGATTTTGATTTGATATTAAAATAATCTTTGAATAAAATATTTTATAAGAGAAATTTTTTATTTTTTTTTCCTAAAACTACAAAGTTTAAATAATAAAATTTAAAAAAATCGATAAAAGAAATATACCCAAATTTTCTAAAAGCATATATAAATAGAGTTGTCTTCTTTTTTTCCTCTTCAATAAATGATTATTAATGGAGAATTAAGTTTATGTTTGGTTCTAATTTGATATTAAGTTGGCATTATATTTCCAATATTTTCATCTCATCATTTTGCATTTTATCCCATTTATTCTTACTATAAATAAAAATGATCATTTAGGTGAAATAAATTACTTTTTTTGTTTTCTTTATTATGTTTTAATATCTCACTAGAAAATATCTTTTTCATGTTTTTAATAAAGATAATTATATTATATCAAAATATTTTTAATTTTTACTTAAATTATAATTATATTATTACATATATAATTAATTTATGTATAAAGTCAAAGAAAAAAAATGTAAAAACTTATTACATACTTCCACTAGTCAATAAAATATTATTATTTTTTTATCTATTACAAAATTTCAAAAAGGTAGGTGAGATGGATGAGGTATGATATTTTAGCAAATAAAAGTATTACTCCCTCCGTTAAGTTAGAAAGTTACATATTTTTATTTTCAAACGTCCAATTACAAAGTAAATATTTAATTAAATACCTCATTTTTTTTCACAAAATATCATTACTTTATATCATAATATTACTTTTACACAAAAAATGAATGACGAAAATATCATTACACTATATCTGTGGACAGAGGGAGTATTATTTTTTGTTCTATTATAAAATCGCAAGAAGGTACATTTGGTGAGATTGGGGCGGTATGATCTTTTATTATTAACAATATATATTACTCTCTTTTTCAGTCCAAAGTGTCTATTTTAAGTTTTATAATAAATTAAAAAATAATAATATTATATTAGATAGGTGAAGATGTGTATGATAGTATGATATATTTATAATTTATGTAAAAATTAATAATATTATGGTATTAATATATGATTATTTTTACGATAAGATGAAATTAATATTTTGAGTGAAATAAATGATATTTCAATTAAGACAAATTGATTATACTTTTATTATAAAAATTATATTATATTCCCTCGCAAAAATTAATCAATTTGAAATTTGTGCGGAGGTTAAGAAAAATAAATATTTTATTAAAAAATTGAAAAAATAAAATGATAGTTTGATGCATTTTTTAAAAAAATTTAATTAGTAATAAAAAAAAAAAGAATGAAAAGATAGTGTAATAAAAATAGTGATATATTTGTTGTAAATAAAAGTTGAATGAAGAGTAATAATTAAATTTTGACTTTTTTATTTTTTCAAATAGAATAATGGGATAAATTTAAGGGAATGATGAAAGCTGAACCGTGTGTGGCAGGTAGATCCGGAAGTGTCTGGGTTTGACCAATGATAGCGGTATTCTTAAATTAGTTTGTGTGGATATGAAAATTAAAAGATAAGTCAAACTATTTTTTATATTATTTTTTTATGTCTTATTTTAAAATATTAATTTTTTATTTAAAATAATCAAACACTAATATTAAAATAACATTTAATTTTTGTTTAAATTTCAAATATAACACGTAAAATTACCTTTTATACATAAATAAAGGATAAGAATGTCAAAGCAAAGATCCATTAGCAGTGTGACTTTCCCATCGAGCCTCATTCTTAGAGTATTAGGTTCAACCAATAATTTATCAGTGTACACTCTCGGCTAAAAGAAAGACCCGTTAAATCAAACCCGACAGAATCGGGTCGGACCCGAACGCTCGCGCTAGCTGAGGTCATTTGTGTAATTACAAACTGACAAAATATGCGGCGGTATGGCCGCCAATCACGCGTTATTCGTTTTATCTTAATTCAATTTAGGTCCATTAATTTATTATTATTACCATCGCCGGCCCAATTGACATTATTCTATTTTATTTTTAAAGTAGTAAATGCATAAAAATAGTTAATTTGTAAGCTATATTTTACTATTAGAAACTAATTTGTTTAGAAATAATTTTAAATTCATTTAAACGTATAAATTATTTAATTATCTTACTATATTAAAGCTTAGTAAAAATATTTATTTATAATAAATAAATATTGAAAAAAATTATAATTTCAATTCTTAGAATTTATATTATTAAAACATTTCAATTTTTTTTTATAGAACCTAAAAAAAAAAAAAAAAAAAAATCCGCTCAAATTGTTGGTTCGATCTGTCAGTTTCGCAATTCGAACCATTGGTTTGAGTCGGTTGAATTTAAAAATAATACTAATAAATAATAATAATAATTAATATAATAAAATTTACAGTTTGAATCGTGCATTGCCGACTTATGGTTCGATAAAAATATAAATTGAAAAATTAAACTGCCGGCATTACAATTTTGATTCAATTTATGAATGATTTCAATTCAAAAATGGTTTGGAACACAATCGACAAATCAAACTGAATTGTTGAATTGTCGTAAAAACGATTCAACTAATTAAAAACATTTAAGATATTTCTGAATTGAATTTTTAAGTAATTTTTTACTAATCTCATATGTATGCTCTAATTAAAAATATATTTTTTTTTATTAGTAAAAATAATCATATTAGTATCAAAATAATTTTTATTTATATTACAAATATACTCATTACACATATAAATATTTTTTTTTAACGATCAATAAGATACTATTTCCTCAGTTCTTAACAATCTATCAAGTTTTTTGTTTTGGTCCGTCCGTAGAAATACTCTTTCAATTTACAATATATTATACAAATGCTATTATGTTTATATCATACAATACAATAGGTTAATTTAATATTTTTACCTTTATTTCTACTTTATCAGTAATAATTATATAATGTAATATAAATAAATATTAATATTATATTTTAAATATAATATAAAAAATTAAAATTAATATTTAATTTAACATGTATAATTTTTTTAAATGTATAATAAAAATTATAAAAAAAAAAAAATTGATAAAAGAAGAGCTAATAATTTCACACCCATGTCAAATCAATTTAATCCGCAACCAAACAAAGCCTTAGATCCTCGTCTTCCTTGAAAAATTCCTCTTTCCTCTTTTGTACACAAACGCGAAAGCTGGAAACCCGACATAGCAGAACTGCAAGATTAAAGAAAAGAAAGTCGAGGTTCGGATAAAAAGAATGCAGCCTTTGTTCGGGAGAGTCATCGCTGAATCGTCGGCGCCACCGCAGGTTACTGCCACGCCGTCGGAATTTCTGTTTCAGGTGCATCTTGACCAAAACGACCTTTCTTCTTTCCGCTTCATTGCCACCGACTTCAAGTCCAACACTTTCCAAGCTGTCAAAAGCCGCCAGCAGATGGAAGACTTGGTCAGTAACTCCGCAATCCCTTGTTATTATTTTCAATTTCTAAATTCCAATTCTTCTGTTTACTTTTGGACGAAATATTTCTCTTTTCCAATTATTGCAGTGTGCATTTATTTACTTTTCACCTTCATTTTGTTCCCTCCCAACTGCGAATTACGGTAAAAGTTTAGAACGGTGAGTTTAGTGATTGTTGGGCAACGCCTACTTCGAGAATGGGTGTACGGAATGGAGTAAAAAACGAAGTTTTACTCAGCTGGGGAATTTTCAATTCGTACAGATGTTTTTGTATCTGCCATGTGACATAAGGTATGGTATAACACCAAATTTTAGTTTCAAACTCAAGAAAATGGAACCTCTTTAGCTGAGGAAATTTTCCACATTTTGTTAGGTCCTATGTAATGAAGCACAGAAGAGTCCATCAAACAACTTTCAAATTGTTCTTACTTGTTCTCAGCTGTTATCTTGTTTTACTGATTTGTCCCGAAACTTGGCTTTGACTACACTCACTTATCCTTCCTTGTCTATACATCTATTTATCTCTTGACTTAGATGTTTAACTCTGCTGTTGTTCCCTTTATCAACCTCTGTTGTTAGATTAATCATGGCTGTCGTTTTCACTATTGTATTCCTCAATAGATGGCTGCATGGATTTTTATTGCTTTCATTACATATGATCTTGTTTTATTAAAATTGATCCTTGCTTACATTGTTGATATTGTAGCTCTCGTTGTCTGCTTGAAATTGGTTAGTATGATTGATTCTTTGTCAGGAGGGGGACTAAGGGTGTGTTCGTTTGATGGATTTGGACAAAATCCCACTATTCATCCAAAATTTTCCCCCAAAAAACATCAAATCAAATACCTATTTTTTATTTTTTATATTATACTAAAAATTAATTTTACATTCAAAAACATCACATCATCACCTATTTATATCACATCATACAACTATTCAAATTCAAAATTTTTACTATTCAAATCCGAACTCAAAATCCAAACCCCCAAACAAACACGCTCCTATTATTCCGTAGAATTTCATTTGCTCTTCTGTGCACCCTAGAAAAGGTCAGCATGTTCCCCATATCGTTACCTTTTAGGGCCAACAATACGAATTTTGGTACATATTTTGTTTCATTAGAACTGTTTTGGTTCTTGAAGCCTGTGCAATCAGATTCGGTTGTTTAAGAATGAAATATTAGTTAGCACCTTTTGGCAGATTGTGGCGATCCCTATCAGCAGCCAACAAATGATGTTGACTGGGTTATTTGTCTCTTTCACTTGCATTATGATGAAATACACATTTAGCAATATTGTTTTGTTTCTGTGATGCAGAGGGATAACATTGGAATTGGTGGCTCATGGTCTGAATTTGTAGACTACATTGTAGCTTCCCTAAAATCTGGAGACGTGAAGCTAATTATTGAGGGTTCGTGACCTAATATTGCTTTTTGAATGATACTATATTATAGAATGTTCAATTCCTATTAAATAATCTGACCAAGAATGTGATGTTTTCATATTTCTCTCAGTTTTTGGTCTATGCAATATCAAGACTGCTTCATTATATTTGTTTATCAAGGAAAAAGAAAGAAAATTTAGATTATGCTAAAAACATTTAGAATATGCTCGCTATACTTTCTTCCCCTCTCCAGTGGCATATACATTATGTTTGTATATCTATAGGTTGTCAGCAGGTTTCCTGCTGATGAGATTAATGGTGAACTGCATCTGGGTGGTGGGAACTTTATGTTAATGATTTGCATTTCCCCCATCTTTTGCACTGATGAGTTCGTGTCTAGTTTTCATTTCTCCTTGTAGATATAGTCTCAAGCAATCTACTTCAACTATAATAACTTTAACAGCATCTGTATCTAAGCTTTTTGTATAAATACATCAATTGTCGATTGATTGTCCTTTGCGACTTTAGGTGCTTCTTCTGCAAAATTAATTGCCCAGAAAGCAAAAGGAATGCCAAGGATTTCGATACTCCTTGGTAAACTTGTCGATGGAGCTGCTGGTGAGGCTATGGCCAATATTTCACTGGAGCTTTATAAAGAATTCAAAGATATACAAAGTTCACTGGCAGAAGGTCTTCTACTAGTCAATGTGCTGTTAAGTATAATTTTCTTTGTATCTAGCCAGTGAATAATTGGCATCTGTCTGTGCTACCTTTATGTGAAAATCTCTGTTCTATCATCTATCAACTCCTTTTTCCTTTTTTTTTTAAAAAAAAAATATTGGCTCGTCCTTTTCTCTCTGGCATTGGTAAAAATTTCACTCCTTCCTATGTTCCTGCAGAGCAAGCGAATAAGTATCAGCTGAAAAATATTGTGGCTGCTGAACAGGTATTTCTGCCTTTTTGCTGGTATTTGACTAGCTGATGTTCCTCTTGCCTAAATGGTTAATTGTTTCATCTTTTGTTGGGTTTTAATATGATATGGTTTGTATCATTTGGTTGTTGGAGGTAGACTTGTATTATTTAGGGGGCATAGTAAAATGAAATGATTATGTTGAAAACTAAATACTGAATAAATTAAATTGAGACATTGAGTTGTGAGTTTTGTCTGGAAATTTATGTTTTAGTACACTTGTTTAATAGTTACATACAGCTGAATATTTGTGTTATTTTACAGACTTAACGTTATACTGATTTATTTGTGAACACTGTTATTGTATTAGTTTGTTTAACTGGCCTAATATAAAATTGATACAATATGAGTAAAAGCTTCTATCAGGCAAAATGTTAACAAAAAAATTACTCCCTCCGTTGCCAACATGGTGCCACATTTGTTTCTAGCACGGAAATTTAGGAGGTTAGTATTAAGTAGAATAATTTGGAAATTAAGTGATGTGATGAAAGAGAGAAGTGTATATTTATTTATTTTTATTTCGGTGATGTGATGGTATGAAGTGTGGTGGAGGAATTAAATATAATCAATTATTTCCTATTTTGAAAATGTTGTAAAGTGTTTAGGATAGACCGAAAGGAAAATATTGTAGGGTGCTTGGGACGGAGGTAGTAAAATATAATTTTGATTGTGCCTTTTTAATTAAGTGTTATGTGACAGTCTTCTTAATTATTAACTTTATATTGCCTAGTACGTTCAGAATTAATCCATTCTAAATTTATAAATGAGCTTAACAAGATTATGAACTGTACCATTAAGTTAAAGTGACAATTTACATACCCTTAGTTTTGTCAAAGTGCTAATTTTCTGTATGCTTGTTATTTGGTACATCGTTGATACGATTTCTTAATGTCTTGGTACAACTTAGTATACCCTCATAATTCAATTCCTATAGGTGAGCCAAGCATTGTTTTGTCACTTCTAAGAAGATTTTAGCAAATCCTTGTCAGGAGAAGAATGCCAATCTTCAGAAGCAATTAGACATGGTTCTGCTTCCAAGAAAGCACAAATCACAGAAGATAATTGACAGCAAAAATTCAGATTCTACATCTTCCATGGTTTCGCAAGATTCACCAGGTAGTCTCTTTCATAAGGTTAAGACTGCTTTCTAACTTCATCTTAAAGAAACAAATGTATAATAATTTGCATCTACAATCAATCAGCGCACTAACTACCTCCACATATAACATTAAAAGATATTTATGCTTTATAAGAATATACGTTATGCATCCTTGACTTAAATTTATGCTGGTCACTTGAATGGGCCATATTCTATTAGTTTGCCTGTGATCATTTTATTGACTAGAATCAGGGAGTAGAAGAACATATCTTCATGTACACATACAGACAAATAGCTATCTATAGACATGTATGTGCGTTGACTAACATAGTTGGTTGTTAATGCATTAATAGATTCATTGAGAATGGTCTGCCTTCCACTTATTAAAAAAATAGTCAAGCTTATGTTCCATTACTTTTTGCTTTCTCTTGACTGTGGTTTCTGCTTTTCTGCCAAGCTTGAAATAACAAATTGTTTATTCCTAATCCACTTGCAGACAAGCGCGCTACTTACAACCCAAGCTCAACTAAAGTTCCTAACCGTGTTGTACCAGTGCATCGCAGGTTATTATTATACCCTTGCTGTGTTGTTAACTTGGGGAAGTTTAGTTTGATGAAGAGGTTCTCTTTTGGCAGGTCTAAAGTAAGAGGAGCTATTTTAGACGACACTGAAGATGATCCATAGAATTAAGAAGGTTCTGGACTTCCCATGTCCGTGTCTGTAGCTCTCTTAGCTCATTGCCATTCTTGATCATGAAACAGTAATATTGCTGTGTTTCCACTAATGCTTTCTTGTTTCTGTGGAATGCCAACCACGTCTTACAGAGTTGATTGATTTCAGATTGGAAAAGGTATATTATTGAAGTGCTTGTCTGTCGTAAGTTCTTATACATGTTCGTCTGTCTTATAGTTAATTTGATGGTTTCTGAACAAATGTAAGATGAGCAAACTGGCATATCTAGAGTTTTGTGGTCTGAGGAAAAGAAGAAATTCATATCAGATTGCTGTCTTTTTATCCTAATCGAAATGCACGATTAGCTCCTCACATTTTTTCAAGATGTGATTTTACTGAGTTTTGGAAATATATCCACATTCTTGTTAACTATTAATAACTATGAACTATAAACAGCTGGTAATATCGTTTCTTGCTAGAAAACATTCCATTTGAGCTCTGCAGGCATTAATTTGTAGCTTAGATATCTCTTGTCAGGCTCAGGATCATTCCAATTTCTGGGTTCTTCTGCAACTCTGTCAAAGCCGATCAGAATAGGCAACCTTGTCGTCGTCTTGGTTTGGACAGCCTGTTGAAAGGAAACCAACAGATGTCAAGGTAATTCAAATTGAGTACAAAATGTTATTCAAAGTTTGTTCATATGAGATGTTATCATCTGCTAGAGGCTCTTGATCCTTTGATTGTGGTCTATTCGATGTGATGTGAATGATGAATATTTCTCGCATGTGTCTGGTAACCAACTACTCCACCTAATTTGAATTTCTAGTTAACTAGTTGAATTTAGATCTCTGCTAAAGTGACAAGAGTGACTTTAATCTTCCGATGCTCCGCCTTTTTCATATCTAAATTTAAATCCACACAAGTTGTTTTAAAAATTCACTCATGGATTATTGTTCTGACTTGGCTTTTGTAGGGCTTCTACACCTACGACCAACAAACAATGAACGTGCACATACCTGTTTACGCCATTGCTTTGGCTCCTGCTGGTTTCTGTGCTGGTCGGGTCACTTCTCAAAACAAGAGATGTTATCTTCCGCCAGTTTATAACAGCTCGTCGCTCAGGCACTTGCCCTGATGAAATCTTCGACTCTTTTCTTGCAGTGCTTTTCTTGCTGAAACTCAGAGATGTAGGTAGGAACATCCTCAGCAGGTAAGCCTCGCTGTCCATGCTCTCGGCCCGGCATACTTGATTGCCCTTCTTCTGCGAAGCTCTACTCTCTTCCTTCGGCCTTGCCTTCGTCTCCTCCACAAGTATCACTTCTTTCTCTTGCACATTATCTTCCTTATCCACTATGTCTTTCAGGGACAGCTCATACGATGATTCCGGCATGTCCTTGATCATCTCCATAAGCTCCTGTCTTCCATCTGCAATAGCCCTTGCCCGAGATGTCGGCGATTGGCAGCTATACTTGTGTTTATGTGCCTGATCTTCGCCTCCCGGCGCTGCCTCCCCACCCCAGAACTGGAAATCACTTGATGATTGTTCCATGATCTTACTTAGGTACATACTCATATATACATATATATGTGTATTTATATAGATAGATACATAGTGTAGAGGTAAGAGTCAAAGTGACACTTTTAACCCGCCAATACAATGCACGATTCAAAAGTCTTTGCCGTCTGTGAAGGGTGATTTTGAAACTCTGCATTGTCTTCTTGTTTTTCTTGGCACTTCTTGATTGGACAACTATCGTTGTCATTTTCACACAGTTTTGTCCAAGAAAATGGACAAAATTTTTCATACCTTAGTTGTTCTTTGAATAACCTTAAGAAACACAAGAGGTAGTTGAAGCTTCGCCGAAAAACGTCAAAGCGAAAGACTACTCGACGCGTCAAAAATCCTTCATATGGTTTCTAATAGTGATAAGCAGTTCTTGCATATCGTCTAGCTCGGATCCAACCAGCTCTTCGGCTACAAACACATATCTTGTGTTCTTCACCTCTATCCAGCTATGTCCCGCGTCCTTTTTCAGATTCTTGCTGTCTATAAGCATCCTGATTCGATGCGCGTCGCCCAATTTACCCGCTGCTGCATAAACATTCGCTAGCATTACGTACCTCCCCGTATTCTTGGGCTCAAGATCAAACAGAGCCATTGCAGCCCTTGTGCCGAGTTCTAAGTTTCCATGAACTCGACAAGCGGCTAGAAGGGCACCCCACATCCCGATATGATCGTAGCCTTTAGGAGCTTTCTCGATCATCTCCATGGCTTCTATGAGTCTGTTCTTCCGTCCCAGCATATCGATCAAGATAACGTAGTGATCTGTTTTTGGGACCAAACCGAACTTTTCCTGCATCATATTGAAAAATTTGAGCCCTTCGGATTCTAATCCGGAGTGGCTGCAGGCGGATAAAACACCGATGAATGTCACATCATTCGGCGTTTCCCTTGCTTTCAGCATCTTGTGGAAGACTGCTAGCGAAGCCTCTCCATGGCCACTCTGCGCGAGTCCAGTTATTATCGAATTCCAGGTGACGGTGTCTTTTATGTCGAGTCGCTTAAATAGCTTTGTCGCGGATGTCATGTCTCCGCACTTGCTGTACATGTCGATCAGCGTGTTGACTACAAACACGTTGTCGAAAATGCTACTGCTTCGAACTCTTAATGCTCGGCAATGGATCTGCTTACCCTTTCCGATCAGCGCTAAATCAGCGCAGGAGCTTAGAACGCCTACGTACGTGACGTCGTTCGCGACTAAGCCTTCGTTCAGCATGGCCTTGAATAGGGATAAGGCGCCTTCGCCCTCTCCGTGTTGCGCCATGCCCGTGATCAAAGCAGTCCATGATACTTCATTCCTAACCGGCATTCGATCAAATATTCGACAAGCGTCTTCCAATCTCGATGCTTTTGTATAAGCAACCACGACGGAAGTCCACGAGACGACATCCTTCGCCTCCATTTGACTAAAAATACTGTAACAACTGTCTGGATCGCCGCATTTCCCGTAAGCATCAATCAAAGCGTTGCAAACTACTGCGTCGAATACGAACCCCATCACGGTGGCAACTCCGTGCACCTGGCGCAGCATCTCAGCCGCCGCCAATTTCGCCGATGCATTCGCCACAGCCACGGCCGTAAACTCATCCATCAACAATGTATTCCGGTGATGCTTCTGCATTCCTCTATACGCCTTAATCGCATCTTTGTAAAGCCCGCTTTTGACATAGCCAGAAACGATTGAATTAAATGTGACTAAATTTGGTTCAGGCATTTCGTCGAGCATGTGGTGGGCTTTCATGAACCACCCCATTTGGGAGCACGCGGAGATCATGGTGTTCCAGGAGCGGACGTTCTTGAACGGGAGATCGTCAAATGCTTTCTGGGCAGAGTCTATGGAGCCACATTTGGAGTAGATATGGATAAGGCGGTTGGTGCAGAATGCATCGAGAATTAAAGCTGTCTTGATGAGGTGGGAATGTAGAGCTCTCCCCAGGTTGAGATTCTTGCTCTTGATGCAATTCGATAACAGAGATGCGTACTGATTCGAGGAATCTTTTATCGACATTGCTGTTATTCAAATTGCACCCTTACTCTCTAATTGGCCAGAACATATATATATATATATATATAAAGACTCGTCGTTGAAACGTTTCACTAAAATGAATTATACCCTTTTTCACTTTTACTTGTTTGAGCTCGGTTTTCACGGTTTCCTCTATGGTGTTCATAAATCCGGAGACTTTAATCAGGAAACAGGATACTGAAATCGTTATTTAATCTCCTAGTAATGGAATGGCCAGAATTGCATTCTTCGGTGGCTGTAAATTCTCACTCAGTCACTCATCTTCACCATTTGCTAAGCTCCTGGAAACCTGCACGAAATCTAGGTCATCAACAGACGTCCGGGCTGTCCATGCTTCCATTGTCAAGTCTCAGTTCATTCATGAAGTGTTCATCAACAATAGGCTGATCGATGTGTACGGAAAATGTGGGTATTTTAAATACGCCCGTAAGTTGTTCGACAAAATGCCTACAAGAAATGCCTTTACTTATAATTCAATTATCGGTGCATTGACGATGTCTGGATCGATAGATGAGGCTGAAAAGGTTTTTGCTTCAATGCCTGAACGTGATCAGTGTTCCTGGAATTTGATGGTCTCTGGTTTTGCTCAGGCTGAGAACTTTGATAGATCTTTGGAGTATTTTGTGAAAATGCATGAAGCAGATTTCATGCTGAATGAGTATAGTTTTGGGAGTGCACTCAGCGCTTGTGCCGGATTGCGGGACTTGCGAATGGGTATACAAATTCATGCTTGTCTTGCTAAGTCAAGGTTCGAATTGGATGTCTATATGGGCTCTGCGCTAATCGACATGTATGGAAAGTGCAGGGATGTGGATTGTGCTAAGAAAGTTTTCGATGGAATGGCCGAGCGAAATGCTGTTTCTTGGAATAGCATGATTTCCTGTTACGAACAAAATGGACCGGCGAATGAAGCGCTAAAGATGTTTGTAAAGATGATGGAAAATGCAATCGAGCCAGACGAGATGACCCTCGCTAGCGTGATCAGCGCTTGTGCGAGCTTAAGTGCAGACAAAGAAGGCCGGGCTATTCATGCCAAGTTAATGAAATATGATAAGTACCGCAATGATCTTGTGACGTGCAATGCATTGGTTGATATGTACGCTAAGTGTAATAAGATAAAAGAAGCGAGGTGGATATTCGATGGGATGCCAGTACGAAACGTAATATCTGAGACATCAATGGTAAGTGGATATGCGAAGGTAGCCAGCGTAAAAATGGCAAGAAGTATGTTCTCGAAGATGTTGGAGAGGAATGTTGTTTCTTGGAATGCACTGATTTCTGGATACACGCAAAAGGGGGACAACGAGGAGGCACTCGGACTCTTTCTTCTCTTGAAGAGGGAATCAATCTGGCCGACTCACTTTACATTCGGGAATCTTCTCAATGCTTGCGCGAATCTCGCTGACTTGCAGCTTGGCAGGCAAGCTCACGCTCATGTTTTAAAGCAGGGTTTCCGATTCCAGCATGGACCAGAGCCTGATGTTTTTGTCGGAAATGCTCTTATAGATATGTATCTGAAATGTGGATCGGTTGAAGATGGAAGCAAGGTTTTCAGAAACATGGTTGAAAGGGATAATGTTTCGTTTAATGCCATGATCGTTGGATATGCGCAAAATGGGCAAGGGACTGAAGCTCTTCGGCTGTTTAAGGATATGCTGGAATCTGGAGAAAGACTGGATCATGTGACGATGATTGGAGTACTTAGTGCTTGTAGTCATGCCGGATTGGTTGATGAAGGGCGCCGGTACTTTAATTCAATGAAGAAAGAGTATGGTCTCGAACCCCAGAAAGATCACTATACTTGTATGGTCGATTTACTAGGACGAGCTGGTCGGCTTATTGAAGCGAAAGATTTGATAGCTTCAATGCCAATGCCTCCGGATAATGTTGTGTGGGCATCTTTGCTTGCCGCCTGCAAAGTTCACCGTAATGTTGAATTAGGAAGTTTTGTTGCCAAACAACTCTTGGAGATAGATCCGGAAAATTCTGGCCCCTACGTTCTTCTCTCAAACATGTATGCTGAACTCGGGAAATGGCGAGATGTGACAAGAATTAGGAAGCTTATGAAACAACGCGGTGTGGTGAAACAGCCCGGTTGTAGTTGGATTGAAATAGCAAGTGAAATGCATGTTTTCATGGTCAAGGATACAAGGCATTTGCAGAAGAGGGAAATATATTCGTTACTGAGAACACTTACTAAAACGATGAAGCTTTCAGGCTATGTTCCAAATGTTTGTGATTTTGATGCCGACATGGAACAAGGCTACAATGATTTCATCACATACCGAGAGTCCGAGGAACTGCTAGCTCCATCGATCTGATAGTATCCAAGGTATTTTCTCCCAAATTTAATCTTGATTCGATGTTAGAATATGATTGTGTTCATTTTATGGTGATTTTTTCACAACTCCATATTTGAAATACAATGAAATGTGCTCGTGCTTGTGCTTGTGCTCGTTGTTCATGATCTTGTACTCTTTGATAGCTTCTAAGATATCACTGCAGATGGTATGATTGATGATGTTCTTCCTGTAGCATACTTGTCTTCATCTGTAGTGTTTCTGCACTCTTCGATGCGCTAACCGACATTATATCTGCTTACTAATCGCGCCTATCCAATTAACCCTTTCCCTTTGTTTAGATTATCCTCCAGATCCCGGAAAGAATTGGCAATCTATTAAAAGAATCAGGAGCCAAGAAAACAACATATAAGTGGACAAAAGCATAAAAAGGTTGCAAGAAAGAAACAAGCTGCAAAGCAGCCAAGAAATGTTGTAGTAGTGGTTGTTATCCTTGGAGAATGGCCATGCTTCTCTAACCTTATCCAAATCAGGTATAATTATCATTTTTTAATTAGATCAATACATCCTTGATTTCTGGATTGAGTATTATATCCATATCTATACACACACCACATATCTGAGGTGAAAAGAATTCAACTTCCTCTGTAATTTTTTATGTCGAAGTTATGCTGTTTAGGATTTTATCTATGGCAATTTTGTTAGCCTAATGAGAGATGACCAAACCTTCCAAGACAATAATTCACAGAGGTCCTGTCGACAACATGAGGATGTCATAAAATTAGAGTGATTGCCATTAGAATAACACCAATTTGCTTTGCAGTTGGTTTACTGTCATTAGATGGGATTTTAATGTTGTTTAGTTTAATAACAACAAAAACATCTCAGTACCAAAACACTATTACATCACATGATATTAGAAATATGATTTGGAATTTGTTTGAATGGATGTGATATTATTGATTGGCTTCTACGCCCGGCTGCAATGCTGAATATTTTTGTTGGCAGCACACTATATAGCAACAAACAACAAACAATGCATCATTTATGCTAACATAATACAAATGCAATATATAACTATCGTTGATGCAATATTTAATACCGTTGATTTCAGCACATAAAATATATCTATACAATACACTTTATACATAGAACTGTCACCACACAGTTTCAATTGTTTTTAGTTGAAACTAAGTGCTGTTTGCCTATTTATGATGTGCTGACGGGAGAAATCAGCACCATGTTGACTTCCCTCGATTCGCATAGTAACCTCTCCCTCTATGCCCATAAGTGTTGATCATTTACTTCAGATTTGGCTTTCAAACAGAAGAAAATGATTAAATTTGAGATGATTGGGAATCTGCTGCATTATCTTATTTGATGAATTGTGGCTCACAACCTGGAGAATGGATGAAAGAATGTGAAATGCTGATATAGATAGATATAGACATACCTGTGAAAAAAAATCTTGCGTCACGGATTTGGAATTTTATATGTTCTAGCCGGAATTGTTAGTTTTAGTGTGATTGAGATTTACTCGAAACCAAAGTGATATAACGTCGAGCTACATACTAGTTTAAGTGTGTATGATCCTAAAGTTAAAGTTATGTCAACCCGGAATTATAACCTTCTGAAAAAGTGCTCGTATCACAATTCAATCGATTATACATACATACATACATACATATGCTAGAATAAGCTTCTCTGAATCTTTATACTCTATGCAGCATTGAGAAACATGAGAATTCATTCCATTGACGCCGTAGCTGATCTGATTGGTAGATAGAAGAGCTTAAAGATTAGGAAATAGAGAGGTTTTAGGTTCGATGAAGGATTTGATTTCACCTAGAAATGAGGATCCCTTTCATCCCTGATTCTGAACATTTACACCTGAGGATCAAATAGGACACAAATCTGTAAACCAGAATGAAGCATATCATGATCACATAGTTCCTCCATCTGCTCTCCTTTCCACCATAGCCTTCTTCCCTTAGCACATCTTCCCCGCTCACTAAACACTCGCCGAACATGTTATCTAAGCACTTGGTTTTATCTGAGAACTCGTTGATCAGGAACCCTTCAAATGGATACTTGAAGAGCGAGGCGTAGTGCATGAATATCCAGTAATTTGGGATGTCGTGCTTCGATATGAAGTAGCCGGAGAACAGGAAGAACGAACCCATGACTGCAGAAATCACTGAGTTCCCGACGATGAAGTTGGGGACGAGTGCACTGAAGCACACCACTACCGAATTCGCGGTGTAGAGGATCAGCCAGATGAGCAGCAAGAAGTGTGCGAAGGCTGCGAAGCTACGGTTCAGCCCGACGAGCCAGTAGACGGGTACTGCGAAGAGGACGGATAGGATGAGCAGAAACGGGAGGTAAACTAGGCCGTTAGCAATGGCGTAGGACGAGACTCTGTAGCTTCCACTCGAGGTTTCTTTCATGAGAATTTCCTTTTCTTGCAGGAATATCGGCAAGGCCTCGGTGGTGCTCGACAGCAAGAACGTGAGGATGAACGCGAACAGCCCGACGCGCTCCTGCGTGCCGAGCAAATCATCCGTCAGGTTGTAGAAAATCGACCCTAAAATGATCCCCGACGCGAGCACCGATATCGTCCTGCAGGCAAACAGCTCCTTCGTCCTGTAGATGTTCTTCCAGAACCTGTGGGTAAGAATTACGGTCTCCCGGAATCGCGAATTCGGAAAGCCTCGATAGAAATCAAGCCCTGCGTCGATGGATTCCTCATCAACGACTTTCGATTGCTGGAAGAGCTGCTGGAGAGTGAAACTCCCTGTTTTGCTACGCCCTTCGTCGACGACTTTCTTGATCGACGACGGCTGCTGCCCCTGGTGGCGCTGCATCATCTCGAGGGATTCGATCGCAAATTCGACGACGTTGACATGGAGAGGGAGTTCTAGTCCCATCAGCATCAGATTGACAGCAAGCAGCTCGACGGAGCCCTGATGCAAGACGGAGCCGTTCGCCAGCAGAAGGAAAGAGTTGAAGAGCTTGACGATCCGGAAACCAGGCTGATGGATGCTCAGGATTATCGTCCGGCCTCTGGTTTCCGCCATCGATTTCAGCATGTCGATTATCTGGAGTGCTGACGTGCTGTCGAGCCCGGAAGTCGGCTCGTCGAGAATCAGGACCTTCGGGTCGTGGATCACCTCGACGCCGATCGACACGCGCCTCCTCTCTCCCCCGGAGATCCCCCGCACCCTGTCGTCCCCGACGCGCACTCCAGCGACGTGGCTCAGGCCGAGCTCCTGGATCAGGGACTTGACCCTTTGGTCAAATTCCGGCGCCGGAAGTTTCAGGCGCAGCCGGGCGGTGAATTTCAGGGTCTCCTCCACCGTCAGGAGCGGGAAGAGTGTGTCCTTCTGAGCTACGTATCCCGACAGCTTCTTGAACCGGCTTTTGTCCACCGGCTTCCCGTCGGCGAAAATTGACGCCGATTGCGGCCTGATTCTTCCGGCGATGATTTCCAGCAGCGACGACTTCCCGGCGCCGCTGGGGCCGACAATGCCGAGAATCTCCCAGGGCCTGGCCGTCAGGCTCACGTCTTTCAGCACCTGCCGGAATTTTCCTGCGGCGGGAGCATCCTTACCGGCGGTGAGGAGGTCTTTCCGGCGGGTGTAGATGGTGTAATTGATGCCGAATGCTTCGATCTCACATCCCTCTTTCTTCATTGCAGATGTTAATTAATTAGTTGCTTAATTCTCCTGCACTGCTACTAGGCAATTCCTTCAGATTTTTCACCACCACCTAATTAATACTACTTAATATATATATATATATGTATGTATGTGTGTATTTTCGTTGTTTTTGGTGAAAGTATCTTATGAAATCAAACATGGGGGTGGGTTTCTCTCTGGAAATATCAGTGGCTTCAGTGCCCCCCGAAATGTTTTTGTTTGATAGTTCACGTGCAGGTTCATTGAGAACTTGAGAGAGAGAGAGGGGTAGAGAGAGAGGGGGCAGAGAAGTGAGCAGCCATTAATTAGGGTTTTTATAATAATGATTGAAATGAGGAGAGACTTCTTCTTCACATGATTCGAAGATCGATATTATTGTCAAGTCATTGTAGTGACAATATCGTCTGTTACAGCCCCAGCCACACTGGTTTTCACTTACCTTCACCATTTTTATTCTTTATAATATAAATTACTATATATTACAGCCATTATATTAACAACTAATTTGTTCATACATACATATGTGTATATATCTATATATATTTATATATATATATATTAATCATGCATGGTGATCCGGACTTGAATACAAACAACAATTTCGAACCGCAATATTATCTTCACGATACACACACATATGTATAAATTCCGACTCGAATATTTCAATAAGTGATCATAATTTGTGCATTTGAAATCAAGGTTTTGTTCTATTTGAACCTTTTTAAAAAATATATATATATAATCATAATTTTTTATAAAAATATATTATTTCATGTCCTAAAACATAATATGCATTACTATATTATAAAAATAAAAAAAAAAAGTCAAATAATAATAATAATACTCCAAAATATTCTGGATTAGTTCCAACTGCCAAGGTTGGAAAACCCCTCTTCACTCTTTCTAATCAAATCAGGCCAAATGTAAAAATGTTTTCATTGTTAAAATTTTGAGTCACATTTTTAAAGGAAATAGGATTAAAAGAGATCGTAGAAATCCTGTATGGATTCCAAGAATCTGTTATTGACAAATTGAATTTCAGAGTATAATCTATTGAGTTAAAGTATTTAAATCGTGTCCAATTCCATCCATGACATGCAGGATCACATAAGTGTGACTTATATTGTATTAAAACAATGGGGGTAAAAAAAAAAAGATACAAAAATAAATGTTTTCTTCTTGTGTATATATATATATATATATATTATTTTCTACTATTTAATATTTTATTTTATTTTATTTTTTAAAAAAAAAAACATAATATCCAATACTTACTTTTTATATAAAAGATCCCATCCCATTAAGACTTAATGAACCCATTCTTTTCGATAAATTAAAACCAACATAGTCACTAGCAATTGACATTAATTTGATATATGCAACCAATCAAATTAAAATAAATTTTAACCTAAAATGTAATCAAATTATATACAAATTAAACAAGATTACTAATTCTTTTGGTCCACCATGCCAAAAATACTTGAGGCTCACAATGAACTTAGATTAGGGTTAGGGTTAGGGTTTGTGGGGACAGAGCAAATTAAAATTAAAAAAGATGAGGAAAAATATGAAATCTTGTCTGTGGCTGAGATTGAAAGAGAAGAATATTATTATGGTTTAAGTTGTACTATTTGTAGCTATATTCACTGTACGGAAAGGATACCAATATTGCAAAATTGCCCCCACAAGATAGGAGTTATAGTAAATTCGCCACCAAAGTTTTTCATGACCACATATATTATATATATATATATATTTATATAAGAGTTCTTTGAATGGGACAGGTGTTATAAAATATTATTTCATTTCTCTCTTTTCTTATGGTGTCACATTCTGACATTATAAGTTTATAACCCGTGAACCGTTTTTTGTAATTTGGGAATTTGATTTGTTATATATATATATATATATATATAGGGATGGCCCCTGGCTAAGTGTATGTATATCTATATGTATATAATGTGTGTGTTTTTGTGGTTATATATATATTGTTGAATAGAAAAGATGAAACAAGTGATCTATTTGTCAAGAACCCTTAATTTGTTTCCCTCCAACAGAAAGCAATCCCGTGAACCCTCTTCTATTTTATTTTCCAAGAAAGTTTGTGTGGCTGAGAACTTTTCTTGATTTTAATTTGTTATGCAGAGACCATTTCTTGTTTCCATTCTTTTTTTTTTTACTTCAAAAGTTCTTGATGAGTCTCAAAGAGTCGTTTTTGTGCAGGTTAATTGTCAATATTGACTTGCAAGAATTGAGAGAGAGAGAGAGAGAGAGAGATTTTCTGAAATTTTGGATGAAAAATGTGTTCTTTTTCGAATAATTGTGACTGTTACATTTTGAATTCTAAAGTGAAAAATATATCCCTTCTTCAAAATAATATTTTAATTAATCTGAAAGATCAAATTCAGATTTAGAATCGAATAATCACAATTTTTCAAATGAAAAGATGTGATTTTTTCATTACATTCTAATATATATATAAATATAGGTTGTTTTGGCTTTATTTAAAAGGTTTTTTTTTTTTTTTTTTTTTTAAGGAATTAAGATAATATAGTGCCTTGATGAATTTACATCATTGCACACTTTATTATCTCTTTATTTAATTTTTTTTTTTTTTGATCTTATCTCATATACAAAATTTTTAATACTTGTGACAAGACGTAGAATAGAATTATCGTATTTAGAATATGTGCTCAACATAGTTTAAAGAATTATTCAGCCATTAACCTTATGATAATACGAACACAAAATATAAATTAAAAATATATGACAATAATTATATTAAGAAGAATACATCTTTAAAATACAAAGTGACAAAATATTATAAGAATCAACACAATATGTATTGTATTGCCGATAGTCCATATTTTATGTGCGTTATAAAATTGATTACATATATACCTAATTTAAAAGGGTTCAATGTATATATATTATTAGTGTATGTAAGCTTATTAATTACACATCAAATGTGCTCAAAATTAATTAAAGAACATATATAAATAAATAGAATTATTATCACGTGATGTCTTATATATGTATAATATATAGATTATCCTTGCATGTTAGTATTTATTTTAAAAAAAACGGCAAATAAGATAACTAATTAGTTTAATTAAAATTTAAAAAAAATAAAATTAAAAAGTTCAAAATAAGATTAAAGTGTATAATCATTTTCCAAAAAAGAAAAGTGACATGGTATGTGAGACGGACAGAAACGACAACGTGGACATAGTATGCGGGACGGAGGGAGTAATACTTTTATATATATATATATATATTAATGTATTCTAGCAAAGAATATTATGCTTTAAGTTCTGTTAATATATTAATTATACATTAAACTTTGGATCAAGACCCTAATTGAAAGAGAATAACATTAATTCATTATTAAATTATAACTACTATATATTGCTTTCATCATAAAATTGAAGTTTTGTTTACATATACATTTTCGTATTTTTTTTAACACTATTTATCAATATATTTGTAAAAAAAGAAAAAAAAATTATATACTCAAAGTACACATATTTTTATTTTACATTGTCTAATTATAAAGTAATAGTTTTAAAAAAAATCTTCTTTTTTATTTTTTATAAAAATTTTTTATTTTACCTCACCTCGTTACTTTTACCCTAAAATAGTGAGTTCCACACTCCTCTTCAAAATGATAATTTCAAAATTCAAAAAAAAATATTCGACTTCCAACTTAAAATCAATTGATATTAACGGGAGTGATCTAAATTAATGAAGTTTCCAATTTTTTTTTTCAATATAAAACATATTCAACAAATATAATAAATAAAACTAAATATTTAATTTGGTGTTTTTTTAAAAAATAAAATAAAATAAAATAATAAAACACAACACAAAAACCTCCAACAAACACTTTTATTCCAACAGATATTAAGACCATAGTGAATAATAAATAAATGTTTTTAGTTAACGGTGCAAGTAAGCCGTGGTGTTGAATACGTGGAATGTGATTGAATGTGGGCCGGGCCTATCAATATAGGCCCATTACTTTCTCATTTTTAGACCTTAATTTCACGTCGTGTTCGTTATTTAAAAAGAAAAAAATAAAATAAAATAATTATATGATATAGTAAATAAAAATACATATTTTTTCTCACAAAATATTATTTAAATAAAATTTTAATTAAAATTTTATTTCAAATCAATTTCAAACCACCGCCAAACAAATAAATCTCATTGTTATTTTTAATTATTGCATACACCTCCACACTATCTCAATCAATAGCGTAAAACATTTCTGTTATACTTCAATGTGTGTTTGTTTGGAGGTGTTCATTCCATTTTTTTCTCCCAAAAAATCAAATCAAAACATCTATTTTTTATTTTTTTTAAATTATACTAAAAATCAAATTTTCATTCAAAACATCACATCAACACCTAATTACATCACATCATACAACTATTCAAATTCAAAATTTTTACTATTCAAATCCCGACTCAAAATCCAAACCCCCAAACAAACAGAAATTTGTCAATGTCATATATATGTTACATATAACATAAAATTTTTAATTTTGAATAAGTTGAAAAATATAATTGACGCTTTAATTTTTTGTGTTGATTAGTTGCTTTCACATCGCTTATATAGATATGTTCTCATTATTTATATATTGATTAAGTAAATAAGCAATTAGGGTTAGGTAAAGTAAATTTGTACTATTTTCTATTTTTGATATTCACCCAATAATAAATTAATTAAACTGATATTATATCAATCTTTTATAAGAATAGACCAATCAATTAAGCCCTACAAGTTGCTGGCAATATATATACATATATATATATATATATATTAAATTTCAAATCCAATAGTCAAATTTTAATTTTAATTTAAAATTTATTTACCCTCTTTAAAACAATAATAAAATAAAAAAAATACTACATTTTGGGGAATAGAAATATTATAGATTGAATCTAATACTATGTATATTTATATATATAATTATAATAATTCAGCAATGTAAAAGAAAAGAATATATACAACTAAGTATTTCATTTTTCTTTCTTTAAGTTATTCGAATTTGTTTAACATATAGAATTTTATTACCTTTTTGGCATTATATTATTTGAAGTATAAAAAAGCTTTTTCTTTTCTTACAAAATAATAAAATAACCCATTTTCAACATCTAAATTCTAGACAAAACATCTTATCTAATTAAATAGCAACTATTTTCCACTCAAAAACGTAACATTCATGCAACTACCCAAAACACAAAAATTAAATACATTCCAAATCCCATCAAAAGAAATTAAAAATATAATAATATAGTTATAAACTTGAGGAAGAATAGTTATAATGAATTATTACATTATGATATAAGGATGACGAGATAGTAAGGTGGTGTTTGGAGTATTTTTGAACAATTATTTTATTTTTTGCACAAAGAGATATATATATATATATATATGTTATAGGTGGAAAGAGTAATCTGGAAAGAGGTGTTCTTTAGAGCATACGATGCCACAATGCAAGTGTAGATGGATTCGATCAATTGTAAATGAATAATTAATATAATGATGGTGAAACCCTAAATATGGGATAAGGTTGTTAGGTGTCATAAAAGACAAACTCACACTTGTAATAAAATCCACCAAAGTTGAAAATAAAGCTTTGCATTATGCTCTATGCCTTTGCATGCTCATGCTCATGCTCCCCTCTCTTTTTTTTTTTTTTTTTTTTTTTTTTTTTTTTTTTTAACTCTCTCTCTCTCTCTCTCTCTCTCTCTCTATATATATATATATATATATACACATAGATATATGTTGCATAGTGTCACTTTAGCTAGAAAAATCTTTGTATGTAATTAGCAATGCAAAGATTAAAAAAATAATACTAATCAATCAAAAGTGTTAAAAAACAATATAGTTTAGTTTAAGGTGAAATAGATGTTGGAGACCATGTTTTGTATGGAAAATATGAATGTTTTATACTCCCTCCTTCCTGTTGGAAGGGTGTCATTTGTTTTTCGCACGTAAATTTTTTAATATTAGTATTATATTGGATTGTAGTAAAAAAGACATAAATACCCCCTATTAGTATAGTGTAATATAAAAGTAATGGAATTTATGTAATATATTGTAAGTTGAAAGAGTATTTATTATGTTAAAGTAGGTAGTACAATTACTAAATTATAAAACAGTAATCTTGTTAATGATAATCTTTCAACGGGACGGAGGAAGTATACTATCATTTTTGGAAATATTTTGAAAGGTTGAATTATAAATTAATTTAGGGCAAACAAAAAAAAAATATACAAAGAGAGATCAAGTGGAAAAAATTCTACAAGTTTACACTTATACCCTCCGTCCGGAGAAAAAGGCGGTGGCTACAGTGTTAATATAAAATTTAGCATTGTGCTGAATAACACACAGTGTGCTATCGAACAACACACGATATTATCATAAACAACACACAGTATATGTTAATATAATAGAAATACAGCACATACATGATTTAACCATATGATATAGTTTCACATAGCACATACAAACTTTAGCACATGATATACTCTTGTATAGTACAGATTTGAAACCGTAGCCTTCCCCCGAGAAAAAAATTAGTATCTTTTATTTTATTTGGTTGTTTGGCATATATATATATATATATATCTTAATTATAAAAATAATTTAATTAAGGTATCTATCTATATATATATATATATATATATATTGTGTCATCTTCTTCGATCCTTTTCCTATGCATTATTAGCAGCCGCCTTTAAACTGTCTCAAACGACGACGTTTAATCAATCAATTTTCCCCATTAATCACCCACTTCATCTCTTCACCTTCACTACTACAAATTCAATCACTCACTACCATAATATATTATTAAATTACCAAATTAAATTAAAGATATATATCATCAATTCAATTTCTTTTATGTTCTTTCTTCTACCTTCCTTCATCTTCTTCATCACTACAGCTGCTAGCTGCAAATCTAACAACACGTCAGCACCCTCTATAGATATATATATATACACACACACATACATACATACAAAATAATTAGGTTAAGAGAAGGTGGAATTATTAATGGCGTTGCCACCGGGGCTCCAATTCGATCCGACAGACGAAGAGCTCGTCGTCTACTTCCTCTGCAGAAGGGAAAGAAACTTACCCTTCAACCCTAATATCATTCCTGATCTTGATATCTATGCATCAGATCCTTGGGACCTTACAGGTAATTCATTAATTAATTCATATATATATATATATTTAATTTAAGCTGTATATGATCGATCATATCTATTAATTGATTCTTGAGATCGATCGATGCTTTTTGTTGATCTGCAAAAATAAATGAATAGATGAGAAGGCGTATTGGAGCGGTAAAAGGGAGTGGTATTTCTTCAGCAAAATTCCGACGAGATCGAACGATGGATCATCGATGACAAAGGGAGGGTTTTGGAGGGAGGTTGGAATGGATGAGATCGTATATGGAAGTGATGGGAATGAAATTGGGGTTAAGAAGTATCTTGTGTATTATTATAATTATGATCATCATCAAGGTTGTAGTAATAGTAGTGATTGGATGATGGAGGAATACAATCTTCCCCATAACCATCAAGTAAGTTTTTATTTAATTTGATGATGATCCAAATTAATCAAAATATCATTTTTGAAATAAAGTTTTTTCGTCCCTAAATCCATTTTTTCGTTACTAATGATATTAGAGACAGAATTAAAAATCTAATTATGTTAGCCATACGAAGTTTTAGGGACAAAATTCTGTTTCAAATATACTAATATTTTTTTTTGTAGTGAAAGTGATAGATATATATGCATTTTTTATTTTTATTTTTTTTAATTTTGGGGATTGAATTGATGAAATTGGTTTGTTGATTGTGTAGGGTGTGAGCGAAGAAGTGTGGGTGTTGTGTCGAGTGCATAAGGATGAGGAAGATGATCAATATGACGACAATAATAAGATTGGTTTCCAAGAAAGTTTTGATTGTAATGAAGATGGTGTCGAGCTATCCTATTTGGATCAAATATTTTTGACATTGGACAACAACGACGATGATGACGATGATGATCAAGACGAGGTTACTTCTCTCATGCAAATAGCCTGATATCTATGTACATATGTGTTTTTATGTGTATATATATAGATATATATATAGAGAGAGAGAGAGAGAGATTGGTTTATTACATTTGAAGAAGTACATAGATATATACATACAACAATATATACTTTGGGAGTTTATGGAGATGTTTGGGTGTTTGAAGTCGAGACATTTGATTATGGTTACATTGACATTTTCTTGTATACTAGTACTATTTATTGACAGTAATTTTTTTTACCAAAAAAAAAAATAATAATAAATATTTCATTAATTATTTATTTGATCTCATAAAATATTTCATTGATTGAATGTTAATTTTGTATTATTTTAATTTTTTTTTTTTTCAAAATTTTAAAAATTTATATCCAATGAAACGGATTCTGATTATGTAAAAGGTTACTTGGTACATTTAATTAGTAACACCAAGGGTGTGTGGGTTGGGGGTTTTAAATTTGGATTTATGAATAATAATAAATTGAATTTGAATAGTTGTTTGGTAGAATATAAATAAATGATGATGCCGATGTCTTGAATGTAAAATTAATTTATAGTATAATATAAAAAAAAATAATTATTTACTTTAATATTTAAAAATAAATAAATAATAAAAATATTTATAAAATTCACAAAAGAATACAATTTAAGAAATATTTGTGTTATTTATTCCGTATATAAGATATATTTAAATTAAAATTAAAATTAAAATATCATTCGTTTGTATTCACTTATATCTACTAAAGAAATACTCATTTTAGTACTTTTAATTAAAATATAAATATATATATATATATATTTTTAGAACATAAAAATTAAATAGTAAAATTAAAATCCATTTTCCAAAGAAACAACCCTTTTCCTAACTATAACCCAAATACGCAGTAGATAAATCCATGACAAGGAAAGTTATCAATTCTAAGTGTTATTCTGGCGTGGCAATCAAATCAATTCCCATCCCGTTTTGACCCTCCGTCAATTCTCCTGTCAATTGCTTCGAGCTCCAATGGCGCTCTATTTGTCGAAATACGGAAAAATTTTGCCCCATTTGCAACGCAAAAAGGGTTTCTTGGGACTGATCAGTCGCAGCCCATGGAGTTCTCGCTTCCGCCAAAATGGGGCTGCTCTATCCGACAGTAGCAGAACCTCCCACGCCGTTTTGTGCGAAATCCCGATCGTCTTCACCTCCCGTCGATTCGAGTCTGTTAGAGCTGATAAGGAATTGATTCCTCTGCAAAGTGCCAGTGATCCTCAGGTGTTCTTATTGTATTGATGATTTGTTGGTAGCTGAAGAATGTTAGCCTGATGAAATTGCCATGGTTTTTATAGTTAGATGCTATCTCTCTGCGTTGATATTGATATGTTTATTGTATTGCTGAAGAATGTTTTAATTTTTCCAAGCATTTGTTGAGATAGTCTCTTTTTTGTGAGATCAATCCTTTTAAGCAATTGATTCTATTGTTTATGTATTTATAGGTTCTGTTTAGATGTGAGAGATTTGGGAATAGAACTTTGTTTTAAAAAAATAAGGTCTATGTGATGTAAATATATATTGAATGTGATTTTTGTATAGATAACATGTTCTTGATGTACTATTCTAAATGAAAACTTGATATCCGATGATGATTTTAACAAAGATACCGATGATGAATAGTATCAAAAGTGATTTAAAGTTGAATATGATACAGTGAATGATCTTGATCATTTTAGTTCTATTGCATTGTAAGAAGTTCTATGGGCAATGCCGAGAAATGAGTTAATGTTTGTGACAATGAGTTAAACTCGAATATAGTATGTGAGCTGAATCTAAGAGCATTGTGATTGCATCCGATGTAGGCGCCAAATTTCATCGAAGTAGTGATTTTTGGACCTTTTATGTATTACTTGTTTGATTAGTTACATTGTTCTTGTGACAACATTATTAGGCGCTAAATTTCCCGGGGGGAATAGTTAAGTTTACGCCTGAACTGAAATTCCTATCCGAGTATCCGGAGGAGAGGATGCATTGCTACCGAGTTCTTGGAGAAAATGGGGAGATAGTTAGCAGCAACTTTGTACAGGTCCCGACTTTGTTCCATACCTTCAATCTTTTGCCAATTGAAAAGCTCTTACAGATTCTTTCCGCGTTGTGAATGTCATTAGATAGACAAAGACATCGCTTTGAAGATGTACAAAGACATGGTTACGCTTCAAACTATGGACACCGTCTTCTACGAAGCCCAGCGACAGGGAAGAATATCGTTCTACGTCACAGCAATTGGAGAGGAAGCTGTTAACATTGCATCTGCAGCTGCGCTCAGAATGGACGACCTCGTCTTCCCTCAGGTTTGTGAATCTTCGAAATCATTTGTTCGACTCGAAATCTTACTTTTTATTGTTCGATTGATGGTTTATCTCTTTTTATTGTATTGTTCTGCTTTATGTGCAGTATAGGGAAGCCGGAGTTTTACTGTGGAGGGGATTTACGATACAAGAATTCGCTGATCAATGTTTCGGGAATAAAAATGACTACGGGAAAGGCAGGCAAATGCCCGCACATTATGGATCGAGCAAGCACAATTATTTCACGATTGCTTCGACGGTTGCGTAAGTACGGCTAGAGTTAATACTTCGATACTTTTTGTGTCTGCTCAAGCTATCGAACTGTTGTATGTTAGGACTCAAATTCCCCATGCCGTTGGCGCTGCTTATTCGCTGAAGATGGACGGACAAGATGCTTGCACGATTACTTATTTCGGCGACGGAGGCACTAGTACGGTAATTATACAACTCGAAATTTTCTTTCTTGTTTTGAAATCGCCGGTAATCGATGTTTTTGTGTTGGTAAAACTTCCAGGGAGATTTTCATGCTGCGATGAACTTCGCTGCCGTGATGGAGGCGCCGGTCATTCTTTTTTGCCGGAACAATGGATGGGCCATCAGCACCCCGGTTGACGAGCAATTTCGAAGTATACAATCTTATCTACGCTTTGCTAAATTCGAAATACTTTGATTAGCTTTCGATCTTACTTCTTCGATTCCTGAACAGGCGACGGAATCGTTGTTAGAGGTCAGGCCTACGGAGTTCGTAGCATCCGCGTTGATGGTAACGATGCCCTTGCTGTGTTCAGCGCCGTGCATGCAGCCCGGGAGATGGCGATCTCTGAATCCAAACCTGTTCTAATCGAGGTCTTCAATCTCATATACGTATATAGTCGAATGCAGATTACAACCGGGCATCGATTCATCGCACAATGTTTGTCAGGCCCTTACGTACAGAGCGGGACATCACACAACATCAGACGACTCTTCTAGATACCGTCCAGCCGAGGAGATCGAATGGTGGAGGGCAGCTCAGGATCCGGTGGCAAGATTTCGGAAATGGCTCGAAGGAGAAGGCTTGTGGGAAGCTCAGTCGGAGGCTGAACTCCGAGCCTATGCTCGGAATGAGGTAATAAGTGAGATTCCGTCTGAAATTTCACGTCGAATGCCAATTTCGAAATCTTAGCAAGACTGGTTCAATGCAGGTGCTTCGAGCAATTCAAGTTGCCGAGAGAATCAACAAACCGTCTGTGGAAGAAGTTTTCACAGATGTGTACGATGTGCCGCCTCCGAACCTCGCGGACCAAGAGATATCCCTCGGAGAGACGATTCGGAGGCATCAACTGGACAGTTCTGTCTAGGTAAGATTGCTATGGTGTAAGAAATAAATCATAGGAACATCTATGGCTACTTGCTGTGTTAATTGATGCAGCTGTACGCAATCACTAGAAAAACTGTTATTTGGGGAAATTTATACATTTGCTCAAATGTGAAATGCTCAAACATCCAACAGCTTTATTTCCATGGCCAAAATCAGTGCAAACATTTATTGGATAGTAGCAATTCATGTTTCAGAACATAATGCATTGAATATATGTCAAAGCATATGTCTTTGAGTTCAGGAAAGCACTGAGAAGGCTACACAAAGCCACAAGTGTTGTTTCCAAATCAAGATTCCACAGGGAGTCGAAAATTACAGGCTGTTACAAAGACGAAGCTTTCTCCTTGATCGACTCCTGGACAGCTTTCAAGAGACCGGGCATTAATTTCTGATTCGTAACAATGATTCCTGTGTCCAAATCAAGAAATCGTCCTTTCGAGAAGTCCAGAGGACTCCCGGCAGCATCTGTTACTACACCTCCAGCTTCTGTAACATCAACGGGCAGGAGGATGAGGATCGGCATGTCATTCATACAAATTCCTTAACACACAACAAACACAAGCTATGATAGACTGGAAAAATGTAACGGTATAATGACCTGAAACAACGATGCATCCAGCAGCATGGTCCCATATCTTTTCGCGGTAGCCCTTGTGAGGGAAGCGCAGATATATGGCCCCATCACCTCGGGACAAAGCACCATACTTTGCTTGGCTGTCAATCCTAACGGGTGGTGCTTTAACACCGAGTTTCTGTGGTGAAAGTCATTTAAAAGCCATTAACAAAGAATGCAACAATGCTATTGGTACATATAAAGAGGAAGGCATGAAGTAGTAATACCTTTGCAATCAAGCTTGATAAGTCGTGCATGGAATGGGCAGCTTCGAAGGATTCAAAGAAGGATGCTTCTTCCGGGTTTTCAATAGCAGTGACATGTACCTGTAACAACACAGCAAACTTAAGGGGGTGAAACAATGTCGACAAGGAGCCAAGGTAGAAATGTTGACCTTTGTCGGCAGGGAGTCCTCTAGACTCTGCATATATGTTCCACCACCAAGTTGGGCAAAGAAAAGACAGCCCACTTTACTTTCGGACCTGTTTTGATCGCGGCGGGCGATAGATGCCAAGGGAAGGTTTGGACAGGCCAACACTCCCAACACAACTTTCCCTTCATCCAACAGTCCTAATGCAATTGCATATTGATCTCCTCTTAAAAATCTGCATCCACAAGCATGGCCGATCAATAAAACTGAGAATTGGATATCTTGCTATTATACTATATAATAAAGTTAAGTTTCTTTAATCCTGTGTTATAAAAAGGTTTTCATCGAACCAGGATCAAAATTACAGCTTCGTAATCATTTCTCATGCAGAGCTTCCAAGAGAAACTTATGGACTAAGAACAAACACAACCAATGAATATTCTAGATTTACGGTTTTATAGAAGAGTTGGCCAACACGAGAGTATTTAAGGTCCAAATTTTATGATTTATGTTGCACAGGCTGCTGACATGAAGATATACGAATGGATTATATGGCTAACTATTATTTCCTTAAATGCTTACCCTTTAGTGCCATCAATTGGATCCAAAACCCAATGTTGACCACAAGGGCCCCCCTCGGATGTGCCTTTGTCAATTGCAATAAGCACATCTTCTTCCGACACAGGCGATATATTAGTTGCGCTGCTAGAAAGTGTCTCATTCACAAGCTCTGTTATGCGATGCAGGGTTTCCTTGGATTCTTCTTTGCGAAGGTCTCCAGAATCCTAAAAAGAATCAAAAATCGAATTGTCTCCTCAAGTGGAAAGCATGTAACAAGTGGAATGAATAAACTTGTAGAAGCAATCAATGAATAATTGACATTATAAAATAGGATAAAAAAGAATGCAAGGAGGAATGAGGAAAACAAAAAAGAGGGCTAATATACTTAAACAGAGTTGATAAATTAGAGTATTAAAGCCTATTAACAAATAATACAATCGCAGTTAAATTAGTTCAACCACTGTAGGAACCATGGAGTTGAATGGATACCTCTTCCGCTACTAGTGAGAATGGTGTTGATGGAAGCTCTTTCTCCAAAATTAAGCTAACTATAGCCTGTGAACCTGAAGAACAAAAATGAGAACAAGTTAAATCCATAAACTGATATATATACATCTATTAAAAGCTATCCAACAACATAAAACAAAAATTTATCATTTGCAATGAAATATGACAAACTTGATAGGTTTATTTGAAACCTTTGGTCTTGCTTAAGTGAAATCTAACACTTGCTATTGTTAACAGTATTTTCCCCAAATAAACCAAAATGAAAATGAACACTTTCAAAACTTTACTGGTTGTCCCATTCTTCAGAAGATATTAATACAGGAGTTTAAGATTTATACAATTTGTAAATGAAATCATCCATGGCACCTTAATAATGAAATACAAAACAAATTTCCATGCATTATTTTTATTTAATGATTGTTAACGCATCTACCAAGCTCATTTCTAATCGAAGAGGAGATTCACTTTCTCAATGTGATTTTTTTCATCATTTCATTCTCAATGATCTCAATTCTTTCTAAGCTCATGATTGTTAACAAATTTCATGCATTAGTTTATTTTTTTCTATTCTCAATGTATATAAGATATATAGAAAGAGGGGGGGGGGGGGGGGGGGGGGGGGGTTGGGGTGATAGGTGGTCATTTGATGTTTTAGTTAAAAATCTCATACATGTTTATAAGATGAATTTGATGATTTTTTCTTCACAATGCCACCACTCATGTTCCAGGTTTGCTCTCCAAAGGATACATAATGGCATAAATAGCATTCCCATAGAATACCATAATCACAAAAATTGCCACATGAACCTACATCCTAGATAAAATATTTTTAAACGACAATAGCATACCATAATCAGCCACTGTGACAGGGCTTTTATCAGATTTCGAATGGACATCAGATTGCAACAGGGCCTTTTGCACCTTCTGTTGATTGAAGACAAAAAAGTGTCGGGCCATACATTATATTCTATTGCAGCTATGTTAAAAGTTCAATCAAATTCTGCACAAAATCTTAAGGTTGAAATAAATAAACGAAACCCATAGAGCTAATCTAAACAAGAAGTTTCAGCCTTAATCATGTCTCAACTACTAACTTCACAAAATACCCTCCCAATATGCACAACTGTAAGCAATTTTCTTATGGAGAATCTTATCCTTAAATAGTTTCTGGCTGTGTATGTGTTGGGAACATTCTCACTTCACATATAACTTTTGGCCCACAATGTCTTCAAACAAGTAGAGCAATGCGGCCAAAATCATTAGACTAACTTCCTCAATGTTCAATCGAAAAGTCACAGTATCGAAGTCAAACAGTCATTCTCAACACTACCCTCAGAAAACCTAAATTGACTCAATCTACCGAACAATTAACAATCTCCTAACACCGCGCATCGCATCGAAGCACAAAACAACACATACAAGGCCACTTCCGATCAGTGTATTCCTAAATCGATCGGAGAATCGTACAATAGTTCTCATTCAGCAATGCGAAGATATAAAAGCAAATGCAATCAACAGAAATGAATACCGGCGAGCACAAGCATAATTGAAAACTCGAAAGACCTGGCACAGGCGAGCGGCTAGGGAAGCAGCTTTCTTGGCGGCGGCTAACTGGTTGTCGTACGACATCGTAGCAGCAGCAGCAGCTCTTGGTGGGTAAGCGGAGAGGGAGACGAAAAATGGGAGTCTTGATAAGGAATTTGGCGAATTTATGTGGCTTAGGGCTCCCCGGGTCAGTGGGTTTTGCCCAATTATTGTGCTCATCTCATCTCATTGATTGTTTAGATTGATGAATTGAATGGAAAGGTAGGATTTTGATGACCTCCTCACGCCTCCCTCCTCACTCAACTCTTGTTTCCTTTTCTGTATAGTGAAGAAATAACGAACAGAAATATTAACATAAAACTTAACGGGTGTGTTTGTTCCTGTGATTTAGTTAGTTTTTGGGTTTGGACTTTTTAACAGTAGAAGAATTTAAATAATTATTTAATATGATATAAATAAAAATTAATGTAATATTTTAATTATTTAATGTAATATTTTTAAAAAAATATATATATGAATAATAAAAATTTATAGTAAAATTAAAAGAAAAAAAAAAAAACACAGCCAGCCAATAGTGTTGTTTGATTGGAAAAATTTGAATTTAATTTTTGGAATTAAAATAATGTTTATAAAAAATAAAGTATATATCGGTTTTATAAAATTGTTTGAAAATATATTTTTTAAATACATATAAAAAAAATGAGGTAAATAATATCAAAATAATAAATATATCTAAGTAGTGAACGAGTGAGAGAAATCAATTGAGTGGGTGCGTAGGTGGGTGATTGAGTGAGTACATGGGTAGGTTAAAATTTAATTTTGGGTTATTAAGTTAGAAAATGTATTTTAGGACTTTGTACTTAGTACTGTTTAATTAGTGGTATTTTTGTAAATATGTAGAAATATTAGAGATGATAATTAAGATGGGTAGGTATACTTTTTCACTAAATAAAGAATAATACTCTCCATTTCATATATATATTGTCACATTTTTTATTTTCGGTGATTTCATATTTTATATCACTTTTTTTTTAAAAAAAAATTAATACTAAAATTTTACAAGTTACAAAGTTAAGAAAATGATATTCCATTGGTAGTCTGAAAAATAGACCTCTTTACTTTTGAAATGAGTTTTAATATGATATTCTTGATGATGAATTTCAACCATAAAATATAAATTTAAATATATACTTTGAACTTAAATTTAAAAGTGTCTAAAATAACGGATCCAAAATACATAAAAAAATAATTAATAAATGAAAACATAAGGATAAATGAGAAGGTAAAAGAATGAATTCAAAGAGACTTTCATGAAAATCGATGTTAACTGCAAATGTTTATCATCTTGTCAAAATCGCTAATGTATACACTCGTTCAAACCGTTTGGAATCGTTCCAGATTGGGTTACCCTCTTCGTGGATCGAACTGTCATCGGTTACAACTCATACGTCTCGTGTTGGTCATTTAAAACTGTTACCGATCTTTCAGTAGATTCGATCAGTTCCTCCCAAACCAACCGTCCGAATAATGTCTATCGGTTGATCATTTCAAACAAGCAACCGTCTAACCGTTTGACGTTCTTTGTAGACCTCCATTTCACTTCAATCGACTTGTTTGGTTTGAACTTTTCAATCGAGCCCATTATTGGACCCACTCATGGGTTGAAAACCCTTAATTTTGAAATTTGCGCCCAAATGATATGTATTCTTTACTTCTTATATTAATAAATAATTAAAAAAAAATAGTATTTCATATATCCAAAAAAAAAATAATAATAATATTTCATCTATTTCAACTGATAACATCAATTTTCGTTATGAATGAAACACCTTGAAAGGCAAAGATTTTATTATTATTATTTTTTTCTGTATCACCAAAAAAATATTCATTTCTTATTATAATAAAATAATCGAACACTAACACCAAAATATCTTTTAACCTTCATATAAATTATAACATCCAAACAAATTGTGTTCACTCAAATATATATTTTTATTGACACAAGTTTACAATTTTCAATATATATATATAAATATAAATATTTTTTATATCTTACGTAAAATAAATAATTGAAATTAAAATACTGAACACACACATTCGATTTCGTTGCACAATCTCCATCATATATAATTCAAGCATGTTTGCAAGTTATGATTAGAAGACGAGAAGTTTGAAACCATGATTATTTATTGTGTGCATATTTTGACTTAAGCGGAGTGGTGATGAACATGCATATGTCTATATGAATTTATTTCATTTTTGCTTTCAATCTAAAATTTATAATTATTTAATTCATTTAAATATTTTTAATAAAAAATATATTATTAAAATACTATTTAAGTTAAAATTCAAATTAAAATAATTAAAATCAAGTCAAATCTAAACAAAAATTTGAGACTTAAATCTGATGTTAAATTATTTATTGAAGTATTATATAAACATATATTTACTATTCTTTAGATTATTATATTTCATATATTAATAGGTTTATATTTCATTATAATAATAATAATGCAAAAAAATTCATAAATGTTACATTACGAATTCTCATTATTATTGTCTTGTCATTACAAATTTGGAACTAAGGTTTTAAGTAAAAATGTAACAATAACATAATGTAGACTCTAGAACTTCGAGAAATTACACATTAAATAGTAAATATTTTTAAAAAATAAATCATGAAATTGTATTTTATTAAAAAAAAATTTATTATTTTATTTGAATACTAATTTAAAATTAATATCTTATGAAAAATAATTTATTTTTATAAAATGTAAATTTGATGAACATATATAGAATCCCAACAGGTTGCAGAAATTCATCACATAACCAACAACATAATATATAGTAATAAACAATACATGATACTTCATTCAAAGTATTTTTTTTATTATTTTCGTCTGTATCACTTCAAAGTATTTCTTTTATATTTTAGAAAAAATAATTATACATCAGTACCAAATTATCTTTAATTTTTTACTTAAATTATAAATATAACACGTACAATTCCTTTACACACTTTCAATAACCAGTAAAATATTATTATTTCTTAGTTTATTACAAAACTTTAAATGATCATTAAAATTTTGGACGAAGAAAGTATAATATAATACAACACATAGTTTATACTCCATCCGTCCCATAAATATAATCTTAATTGAGTTGGGCACGAGACTCTAGGAATATTGATATTATATTGGTAGTTGGTAAAAAATATGGATAAAAGACTTTTTTGTCCTTTGTAAGTGTATTACAGTAAAAAGTAGTGACAATTGTGTAATAAAAATAAAAAAGTAAATGTAGTTTTATGGTGATATGGTTATTTATGAAATGTTTTGGAACGAACAACAATGGTAAACAAAATTATTGTATTGGAACCGAAAGAATATTAGTATAATATAAATACAATATATATATATATATACAGTATATAATTTATTAATTGAAAGAATACATTATTTGTTTATGATGTATTGATCGGAAAATTCAGTACTATGCTAAATTTTAGCATCAATACACTAACCCCACGCCAAACGTTGTTAGTATTCATAGACATCTTTTTTTATTTTTTTGAAATATTAGTAAACTTTCTCTGTTAATGATAAGGATGAAATCACAATTTGGAAATAGCTTTCTAGTAAGTAAAATGAATTTATTATTTTATAAAATATTTTAAACAAAATAAATATTAATAGGGATGGCCCACATTTTTTTTAATTGGTCTTTTGTGGAGTGAATGTGATTGAGAAGGTCAGCAATTCAACAGTATTTGGTACATTCAAAGATGTAAAGAAACACAAAAACAAACGCAAACAAACAGGTGGTTTCTTCTGTCAAGTTAAGAAGCCCACTTTGACCGGCAATTTATTTGCACTTCAAGATTTGTACCGTTCTTACATCTTATCCAACCAATCATTTATTTATTTTGTTATATAAAGTGGGAATTTGTAGCCCTGTTTATTGGTAGACTTGACCATGACGTCACAATTACAAGTCCAATTTTGGGCAGCACTTATCCAACCAATCATATTTGACAGACACATTTATGGATTTAAGCCTTAAAACAGGAAGATACATATATGATTGATTTCATTTTGAGAAAACGACTGCCTCCATTATTTTTATTTTATGTTAGTATTTTATACCAAAATCTCAGTCCAACTTGAATACTTACTTAATTGGTTCAAAGGGTTTGGGTTCTATCCAGCTATTCATACGTTGCATTTAATTAAATATCTTTCCAAAACTATTAAACAATATATATATATATATATATTTAATCCCCAATCAAGATGATAATGAGGAATGAGGATGATATTCATACTCTTTCTCTGATCGACCTTGGTGGTCCTTCAATGGAGGTCACTGGCAGTGCAGAGACGATCGTCCCTCCTCTCTCTCGATGCCCCATATGCCTCGACTTGTACGATGATCCTGTCATCCTTTCCACAGGCCAAACCTACGACAGATCCTGCATACAAAAATGGCTCTCTCAGGGCAACCTTACCTGCCCCGTCACAATGCAGACCCTTCACGACTTCTCCATGGTCCCTAACCTCGCCCTCCGCCATTTAATCCACTCCTCCCTCCGATCGCCGCCGCCGCCGGATCTCGCCGCCGTCAAACGGGTCCTCCAGTCGGGCCCCGCCCCAATCGAGGACCGGATCCGGGCCTTGGAAATGGTCCACTCTCTGTCCATGGAGCTGCCACTCAGGAACCACTCCTTGATCGCCATGGGCTTCTTCGAACCGGTTCTCGACCTCGTTCTTACACAACATTTTCAGATGGGGCCGCCGGCGGCGGAGATGGCCGCCGTTTGTGCGATGAAGCTGTTGCCGTACAGCGACTTGCGGCCTCTCCGGAATATTCTGCAAAATAAGGCAAAATACGAAGGGTTCCTCAGCCTGTTCCAACACGGGCGTGTTGCTATCAACACGGCCCTCTGCCTTATCGTCGAGGCCATCGCTTCAAGTTTAGAGATTCAAGACCTCGTCCAGAAGCTCACCGCCTCCGCCGCGCTCGTGCGAGAAGTCGTCGGTTGCATCGCCGGAGAAAATCCCGCCGCCGGGGTCAGGGCGGTGTCCGCCCTGGCGGCGTCGCGGCAGCCGGACTGCGTCGAAAGCCTCGTGAAGGGCGGCGCGGTCGAAGGGCTTATAGATTACGTGTCGTCGGAGAATGAGGAAAATGGGAGGAGGCTAACGGTGGCGGCGGTGGCGGCGATCGACAGCCTCATTTCGGCGGCGGAGAGTGCGAGGGAGGCTGTGTTAAGTCATCCGAAAGGTGTGAAGACTATAGTGAGGATGGTGTTCAGAGTGTCGGACGGCGGCGAGAGTGAGAGCGCGGTGAATTCGGTGGCGGCGCTGTGCTCGTGGTCGGCGGCGGCGCGGGAAAAGGCGGTGGCGGAAGGGGTGGTGAGGCAGCTGCTGGTGCTGCTTCAGAGCCAGTGCAGTGGGAGGACTAAGGGGAAGGCGAGAATGGTGCTGAAGATGATTAGATTAGGGCAAGATGGAATGAACACGTGACATTATCCATGTATAATTGTAATGGATTGTATTATGTTGTGTTGTAGTTTCTAATTTTTTATTTTATTTTTTCGTCAAATTTTAAAAATAATATATATTTGTTGGGGACTCCCGTTTGCGGATATATAAATAATGGCTTAGTTTTCCTAAAAAAATTCGAACTTTTAGGTGAGACGGTCATTAGCATCCGACAATATTAAAAAATATTTATTGTTGAGCTGAGTTTTCGCGAATCGCCCTTGGTTGGGGTCCGGAGGTGCGGAATAGCCCCGACCGACGGTATGCAGCATTGAGCTTTAAAGTCGATATTGAATTAAATCTATAATCTAGCTGGTGAATGAAATATGTTCTCTATTTCTATAAATCTGTGTCTTGTTTGTTATTTGATGTCAACTTAAGTCATATACATCATATTTAGTGTTATTTTTATTTATTTTTTCAAAGAATTCAAACTATTCTCAAAATATAATGAAACCAATCCAAAATAATTAGAAATCGGATCCCCTGTTAACCTGCATGATGCGCCATTGGATTGCCAATTGGGCTTTGCGATGGATATTGTGTTTACTTGTGATTTGTTTACTTTGTAATAGATATAGATATACTTATTACTTTATTTAAATTGTAAATTGTATTTGATAATATTTCATTAGAAAAGATAATACATTTTTAAGTAAGTCATTATTGAGCCTATCAAAAGATTTTCCCAGTTGTTCTTGTTGAGCCAATTTGGGTGGTGTTTTTTAGAAATCGACACTGATCTATTCCTCGCCGGAGAAAGGACATCGCTGTCGCTGAAGCCGCCATGGTCGCTGCTGTCCAACCGCCTACTGCCGTTGTCCGCCGAAGTTCATAGCTGCCCAAATGTGTTGGTCCGCTTGATAGACAAATTGCATAATCTGTCCTCGCTAGGATAAAATCAAAGATGTCGACGGTGGAGTAATAAATAAAATAGTTGTATCAGAGTCAAATTTGTTAATTTATTGATAATTGCTTAGTGGCTCTGGGTAGAATCCCACAAATTTAATTATTTAATTAGATCCAACAAAGCAAATCACACTAGACGAATCATGTATGACATATGAACCTGGAGACATCGAAGTTTGAATTCAAGACCTCGTAATCACAAATTCACTCTGAGACTATTAAATTTCAATCTTGAGACATCATTTAATTAATGTATTTTATTATTTGACATATTAGTAAAAATATTTATAATATAAAAAATACTACATCTGTCAATTTACAAGGGTTATATTTATTTTTTGGGGCGGTGTTTAAGAAATAATAGTATTTTTATTACAGTGAGTAGTTAAAAATAATGTAATGATGTGATGTAAAGTAAGAGTATTTGTAGAAAAAAATAAGGTATTTAATGAAATGTAAACTTTGTAATTGAACGCCCCAAAATAGTAACATGTAAACTTCGTAAACGGACGGAGGAAATAATATTTTAAATTGAATGTTGACTCTTTAAAAAATAAAAAAATAAAAATATATATATATTTTATTTGAAAAAAAACATAAAAACATAAAATGAATACACTCCCCTCGTATTCTAGAAGTAAAAATAATTAAATAAATAAAGTGTATTGTAAGAGCTATAACAAATCATTTTGAAGCACACCCTATAGTCCTATACTTAAATAAAAGTATTTTCAATAAGCAGGCCCCACGGCCACGCATCTTCCAAATTTAAATAAGAGTCCACCGCTCACTCCTTGTAATTAATAAATAGACTTTGACTATTCTTTTTTAATTATCGCAACTCTCACATATTAGTATTAGTATTATTATTATTATTATTATTACTAGTACACAGATACCAACATTAATAAATCATATACACATTTCCATATAAAAATAAAAATCAGTGTCTGCCGTATCTCTCACAATTTAAATGATCGACGGTCAGGATCGATCGATGGATGGATCAAACCTCAAAGTTCTCGAGCTGGACGTCCTTCGACTTCAGCGGCACATACTCTCCCAGATAACCCCCGAGATGATCCGCCAGGCTCGACTTATCGATATTCTCGTGGTGATACGATTTACACACAAAGTAAACCACCGTCTGCACCACCAGCCCCACCGCCATCACCGCCGCCATCGCCACCACCAACAATATTCCGTACCCCACCCTCGCCGCAACCCCCCGCCCCCCGCCGCCGCCGACCACCACCAGAACCTCAAACGCCACCTGAATCCCAACAAAGCACAACCCCAGCACAAAAAAGACCGCAAACGAAATCCCCATTTTGCCCCTGATCAGAGCTCTGCTCTTGGCCATGGCGGCCAGCCCGTACCTCTCCTCCAAAACCGACACGACGCTCGCCAGCTGCCAGATCAGGCTGATGTAGAACAGCCCGGCTAAATACAGGGCCGCGAACACCGCCAGGAACGCCGCCGCCGCCGCCGCCGGGGCGGCGAATAGCGCGAAGGCGGCGGCGGCGAGGAGGAGGAAGGAGACGACGTTGTAGGCGAAGACGATGAGGAAGTTCCAGGCGAAGGTGGCGAGGAGGCGGCGCCAGACCTTAGGCACGACGGTGATGACGCGGCGGAGCGACACCTCCCTGGCTGTGTAGATGCAGGCGATGGTGTAGACGGCGGCGGCGGTGGAGATGAGCGCGAGGACGGCGAAGAAGACGAGGTAGGCGGCCTTGAAGAGCGCGAAGGTGAGGAGCTCAGTGGAGAGGACGTCGGAGATTCTCCGGCGGGCTTTGGATCCCGGCGGCGTACGGTCGAGGGCGTCCTGGTTGAGGAGTATGTGGGAGAAGAGGAGGTGGGAGATCTGGATGTGGGCGAGGTAGATGGAGGCGAGGGGGACGATGAGGGAGAGGGTGATTTGGGAGAAGATTTTGGGCCACGTGGTTAGGATTTTCCATGATTCTTTGAGGATGCCGAAGAAGCCCAGGAACTGCATCTCTTCTTGCTCTCTGTCCATGGCGGCCGGGCAGCTCTGTAATGGGAGTGGTGGTGGTTTTAGCTTAATGGGGAAGATGAAGATGAAGATGGAGAATAGGGGAAGGTCTGTCTTTCTGTGTCTATGGTGGATGGGGAATTGACTTTGTTGGAGAATCTGGGAGGATTGGGTCTTGACTGTGTATATATGTATGGCCGGGTGTGGTTTTGAATTTGGATTTTTGAACATTAAAAATTAAGTTTAAATAGCTCTTTTTGATATAATATAAATACAAATTTGATGATATTTTAAATGTAAAATAAATTTATAATATAATATAAAAAAAATAATTATTTGATGTGATATTTTTTTAAAAAAAGTAAATAGTAAAAATTATAGTAAAATTCACAAAAGAACACAATATGGGAGATTTCTTTTACACGTGGAAATTGAATTTTGTTTTTATGTATTTCATTGTTTTATTTAAAATATTTTTTTCAATTAAGTGTGTTTTATTTGGAAAAAGTAATAAATTTTAATGCTTCACTTTTAAGGTCTTATTTAATTTTTGTATATTGATTTTTTAATATTAATTATTATATCAAAATTTAGTAGAAATTAAGAAAAAATTACAAAAATACTAATAAAATAATATTTATATAAAAATTTATACAAATATAAAAATATTTTCAATATTAAATACAATAACAAAAAATAAATGTGATTTTTCGAGGCGCTGACGGAGAGAGTGTTACTTAAATTATATAATTTATTTTTAAAAAAATATTTTTTATAAAATATTTTATTTAATATTAAATTCAAAATAAAATTTTAAATAAAAAAAATATACGTCAAGAAAATGTATACTCCTTCGTCTTAAATCAAATGACTAATTTGATTTAAAACACGGTATTTAAGATTAAAAAGAATTAATTAATTAATAATATTAAATTATGATATTATTAATTCCTGATAAAATCATATATTCACTTGCAAATAAGATCAGCATATGAATTCAATCCCTACATTTAATTTCAAATTTAAGAAAAAATTATAAAATTACTTTAATTAGTATAAGAACATTTGTAAAAAAAATTATATAAATATAAAAATATTTTTAATATTAAATATAGTGATACAAAAAATAAATATGACCGTTAGAAAACGACGGTATTATTTTTAGTGGATGTGCCAATAAATAAACAAAAACCATAATTACCTCAAATAGATGGAGTATACCATTTAAGATTATCCTACTTAAATAATCATTTTTCATTGGTAGACTATTTAGTCTTCTTTATTTTCCAACCTCTATTTGTCGAATACTATCCTATAGTAGTCATTAATTTTGATTGGTCAATTTCTTGAATGACTGACTGCTTATTTATTAAAAATTAATTTATTTAAATTTGGCGTGTTGACCAAGTCCAAAACGTGTGTAGAAGAAGTGTATAAATATTTAGTTACAGAAATTGTAAGTCTAATAGTACATGCTTAATTATTATTAATCCATGGTAAACTTTTTTCTTTTCTTTTTATTTTTTATTTTTTATTTTTTAACTTGTATACTCCCTCCGTCCCATATACCTAGTCTGCTATATAGACACGGTATTTTAGGAGGAGTATAATTAGTAGATAATTAAGAATGTATTAGTGAAAATAATTATCGTATAATATAAATAACGATAAATTAAGATTAAGATAATTAATTAGTTTAATTAAAATTAAAAAAATTAAAATGAGATTAAAGTGTGTAATTATTTTCCAAAAAAGAAAGTGACATAGTACGTGGGATACGGATAGAAACGGCAACATCAACGTGATATCTGAGACAGAGGGAGTATTATTTTGGATTAATAAGTGGAATATTTATAGGTTTAGTCGTATAACTTTAAAACTATGACAAAATTAGTCATCTTAACAGAATATCGTAACTAACATGTAATGACACGTAACAGTTCCAGCGTTCAGACCATGTACAGGCAGGGTCATTCCTGAATTTTTAATGGGTCCTTAGCAAATAAAAATAATTACGCTTTGATCTGTCAAATTTATTTATTTATTTATTTATTTATTTTTAGGTCCGTTAAATTTATTTTATTATTATTTTTTATTTAATATTTTTTACAATAAATATTAGTAATTTTATTATATATTTTTAAAAATTATTAACTAAATTTTTAAAAATATTTTCAATTATTTTTATACTTTATTTTTCTTTTTTATTTTTCAATAAAATATTTATTTTTATTTTTTAATTCCAGTGCCAAACCCAAATGAACTAAATATTGGGGACAGATGGAGTATTTTTTAAGCTTGTTTGTTTTTATTATAAATAAAACTACGTAATTTTTAATAAAATATCATATCAAAATATATTTAAATTTAAATAAAATCAAATTAGTCTTAACATAAATATTTTAATATTATACATATATTTTCTTTATCAAAAGGGCCCAAAAAATTTAGGTCCTGGGTATAGCCCCGGGCGGGCACTGCCATGTAGAATATGGAATCCAATTTTGTGTTTTTTAAGTTTTTTTTTTTTTTTTGTCATATTATGCCACGTCTACTAAAAATTTATTTAATTTTTTATTTACATTGTAGAACTAAGTGTCATATTTATTTATTGATTTTTTTTTTTCTTTTCAAGTCAATAAATTATTATTATAAATAATTTGCAATAATTGTATAATGAAAAAAGAAATATCAAATTAGATTCCAAATAAAAACAAATTTAAACCTCTTTTAATTTTCTCCTATTGATAATTTCACTTCATAAAATGATTGGTCATGTTCTTCTAGCGTTCAAGAATTTTTTTTGAATTTTTTAATTAGTTACTGAAAATTATTAAAATATTTACTTTGTGTTATTTTTTAAAAATATTTTGTAAAAATTGGGCAAACTAATAGAATCACATTATATTATAGGATCATACAAATGAAATGTAGTCTAGATGATTATTTTAATTCATTCTTATGATATTTATAATAAAATTATATACTCTATGCATCCAATTTCTATTATATGTATATTTATACGATTTTCTAAGTAATTGTATTTTTATTATGAATAACAAATTTGCTCTTAACGATAGATTAAAAGTAATAAATTGATAAAGGGTAAAAAAAATAAAATTTGTATTTAAAAGATGAAATAAACAATAGTTGTTAGACTTCAATATAACTATAGGTAAAACTAAAATATATTTTTTCCTTATTAGATATATATATATTTTTCATAACCTCACAGTTATACGTTCAACCCATACCATAAGTCATTCTTTACAGGACAAATATTTGAAATTATAAGACATATATTGTAACAAAATATATTCTCATTATTTACAAATAATTTAAATATTACGAAGTGAATTACAATTGTATATATATATATACATTATTGTACAGATATATTAATAAAAATATTAATTAATTTATATAGTATAACTATTAAATATAAACAAATATAGTACTTCCTCCGTCCAATAAAAAAATATCATTTTTCATTTTTTTCGTCCAAAAAAAGATACAATTTTCTAATTTAGTAATTGTACTACATACCTAATATAATTAATTCCTGACAACTTCCAATATATATTATACAAATGTCATTATTTTTTTTTCACACAATCTAACAGGGGCAATTTTGTCCTTTTCACTATAAACCAATATAATATTAATATTAAAAAATCTACGTGTAAAAAACAAATATTACTCTTTTGGTAGTAATATAAATAAATTTAGTTCAATTTGATTTATTGAAAAAATAATAAAAAATTAAAATTGAATTGAATTAAATGAATATCTAATAGCACTATATAATATTTCTATTTAAACTGAACTTTTTTATTAACCTAAAATTTAATTTGATTCAATTTGATTTGATGGTTCACTTTAAATATTTTACTCATACTTGAATACAATATAGAAAAATATATGCTAAAATTTGATGTGAGAGAAACATACTAATAAATGAAAATATAATAAAATTATAACAGCTTTTTATTATTATTATTTCAGGTAAAAAATTTATATTATTCAATATAGATTGTTTTTAATAAAACTATGTTATTTATTCCCAAAATATCAAATTAAAATGTTATGTAAGTCAAATCTCAAACAAAACTAAACACAGCTTTTTAAATTGAGGTTTGATGTTGAATTTTAATTTGACAAATAACTTGAATTAGAATTTTATAAAAATAAAATACTAATATATTTATAAAAATTATTGTCTTCGTGTCATCTTAATTAGTACTATATTTTTTCATTTTTTTTTTTGTCACATAATAATTAATATTTTATTTTTTTCGGTTAAAATTTATTAAATCAAAACATATTTAACAAATAATTTAAAATAGATTGTATAATTAGTAAGTAATTAAGAAGTGTGTCAGTGAAAATAAATATGATTTAATAAAAATTATAAATTAAAATTAAAATAACTAAATAGTTTAATTAAAATAAAGAAAAATTATAAATTATGAATTTTAAAATACAATTAAATTTATAATTATATTTTCAAAAAACGAAAGAACAAATTGTGTAGGACTGACATAAATAGAAAAATAAAACAAATTAAGTGGGACGGAATGAGTAATTTGAAGAAATAGTTTTTTTTATTTTTTATTTTTTATATGTGAGGTATAGAACTATGTATGTATGTAATATAAAAATAATAAAAATGTGTAATTTATTATTATTTTTTTTTTGAAAAAATATGTGAGAAAAAAACAAAAAGTACATACCGGACAATCCATTATCATTAACTAATTAAACATTACTACATCCGTTTCATTTATTTTTTCTGTATTGATATTTGAATATTAATTATCATATGATAACGTAGTACAAAGAAAATGGATAAAAATACTTCTATTAGTGTGTTATAATACTATTATAATAAAATTTGTGCAAAAAATTATACAAATAAGCAAAAGGTAAATGAAACTCTTGGAACCGAATATATAAAGTACTCCTTCCGTCCACTAAATAAGTATACATTCACTTTTGGCGCGGAGATTAAGGAATAATAGTATTTTAATTATAGTGGGTAGATAAAAGTAGTGAAATGACATTTTTGTCCTTACTTTTTTGGTATAAAAGTAATGATGTGATGTAAATTATGGGTATTTGTGGAAAAAATGGGGTATTTAATGAAATGGTTACTTTGTAATTGGACGTTCCAAAATAGAAACATGTATACTTTCTAGCTGGACGGAGAGAGTATTATTTTAAACATCGGATCACTAATAAAATCGCTCAATTATTTTGAAATAGAAAGACTATATTGTAAAAAATTAAAATTAAATTTCAAATAAATAAATTTTGGTAAAATTTAAATAAATAAATATTTTCAAAAAGCATCCCATCTTATCCATAAGAATCAGCGTAGCAATATTTAATATTATATCAGTTTCTCCTTTTCTTTATTTTATAGTACAATATTATCGTAATATTACGCACCTTTATCTGTCATATCTTTTTCTCTTTCTTCTGTATAATTTAATTCTTATATTTTTATTTTCATTTCCAAGAACGAATTATATTTTAGCAAAAAAAAGAAATATCAGATTTATTTATTTTGTATTTTTGAGTTCGGGTGTGTTTGTTTGGGGTTTGGAATTTGAGTTGGGATTTGAATAGCAAAAAATTTGAATTTGAATAGTTGTACGATGTGATATAAATATGTGTTAATGTGATGTTTTGAATGTAAAATTGATTTTTAGTATAATATAAAAAATAAAAAATAGGTATTTAATTTGATGTTTTTGGGGAAAAAATTTTGGATGAATAATGGATTGAAAATCCAATTCCCCAAACAAACACACACAAAAGTGTTTATTAGGGACATGATTTTTTATATGGTTATGACTCCGTCTCATACCATCATAATGATAAAGGTTTTTTGTTTTTAAAAATTTTAAAATATTATTTTATACATTTTTAAAATATTAAATTAAAATAAATCCTCTATTTCGGACTAAAGTATCCATTTGAATTTTCATAGTAAAGTAAAAAATAATAGTATTTTATTAATTAATAAAAATATATAAAATGACTATTTTTGTATTTTGTACCTTTATGTATATAAATAATGATATATTTTAAATTTATATAAAATTTAAAAATATTTTGATAGTATTGTGTGATGGATACTTTTAAGTATAATAAACGAAAATAATAAAATAAATATTTTTAATTGGAACAAAAAATATTAAATTTTAAAAATAAAACCAAACACAACAAAGATACTTTAATTAAAAATATGTACTGCACATGTTAAAAGAATTATATAAAAAATATAAATAAAATTTTACATAATATAAAGAAAAAAAAGGAAAAAGAAAAAGAGAAAATTTATATATAGATAAAAGTTATTCTAAATATATATAAAAAAATTTGGTTGCTTATGATCATTTATACTATTATTATTCATTTACAATACATTTTTTCTCTTTAGAAAATATTATATCATATATTTATTTTATAGTTAATATTAATTATATTTACATATTATTTTTCATTTTGAATGTTATATTAGACACTTATATATATATATATATATAACATCAAATAATAAATTAAATATAATATTTTATATAAAAAAATATATAAAAATTGTAAAAACAAAAGGGGGAAAAAGCTAGGCATGGAATGCGAGGACAAAATGCGAAACAAACGCACAGTAAATTATAACAAATTTGCAGACACCAGATACTGACTGAATGCAGCTTTTCCCTGTAATTGAAACACCTGAAACCATCCATCACCATACCAATACCATCTCCTCTTCATTAATAAATAAAAATAAAAATAAAAATAAAATTAAAAATGGCAGAAGCCCAGCCCCAAGAACATGATGAACAGATAGCAAATCAAGCATCAATACAATACAGTAGTTGAAATGGAAGAAGAACAAACACTGAATCATTCATTTCACCACTAGATTATTGAAAGCAAGAACAAACTTGGAGCCTCAGGAGCAACAGAAACCCGAGACCTGACCCGACCTGACTCGACACCTGACTTGACACGACAAAACAAAAACAAAACACAAAGTAACGATGCAAGATTACAACTCCAGGCACAAATCCGAACATCAGAAATGTGCATTCACATTATTCCTACTCGCGACACAATTGAAAAGACCAACACAACAAACAACACCAGCACTTCACTCAGAAGCTCCAACTCCCATAAAGTCGAAGAATTTAGTTGCCTCTACGCCTGCTGCTTCTTGCTGGGGCTGAGCCACCGGGGCAGAGGAAGAAGTACCATAGGACAAGACAGGATTGTTCTGGCCAGACATTTGGGAGTTGTTCATGAGGTTATCCAGATTAGCGCTGAACGATGGCCCTGCTTCAGCAGTCGCAGCCATCCCAGTGAAGGAGGGACCGAACCAACTGTAATAATTTCCTGGCGAAGAAACATAGGACAAATTGTGAATTAACAATATAAAATGTAGAAAAGTCGTCATAAAAAGGACAACAAACAAACCTGTTGGTTCTCTCCTAGGAGGGGCAGGGGGGTGAGAGCCAGAAGATGCACCGGTAGGTTTAGAGTAACTCCCCATCATTACATGGTACTGGTTTTTCAATTGATTGTCTGTTCGGCCGGGGAAGTGCTTTGCCATGGCAGACCATTTGTTCCCGAACTCCTTTTGAAGTTCAAGAATCTTGGCTTGTTCGTCTTCAGAAAATGGTAACCTATTAACTTCAGGATTCAGTTGATTTATCCAGCGCAACCTACAACTCTTCCCTGTTACCGTAGCAAAATCAACAAAACCACACTAATTAAAACTCAAGCGCAATTCTAACAATCAATTTTACGGAGACGCAGGAAGAAACAAAGAAGGGCACCTGTTCTTCCCCTGAAATGGCTTGCGATATAGTCCCAACTCCCCGGACCGTGTCTCCGGACAAGGTTAATCAGGATCGCATCTTCACCGAGTGTCCAGTGAGATTTGTTAGAATTCCTTGTCTTTCTCCTTTCACCACCATGTAGTTTGTAGGCCATTGCCGCAGAAACTCAGCCACAAGACCCCTTCTGGTGTCTTCTTGGAAATGCCCCCGAGTCCAATATATATAGAGGGGGTCGATAAAATTATATGCACAGTGGTATAGCTGTAAAAAAAAAAAAAAAAAAAGCAATTGTATGACAACGAGGCCATATTACAAAAATCCGCATATTTAATGAATCTGCCTTTAGGTTGTATATGAAACCAAATAATAAAGGATACAAAAGTCCTCGAGAACTCTCTTCCACGCGTCAGCTCAATTTCACTATAGATATACCCCACATTTACTTTGGTTCACTCTCGACGAAGAAATACTTATTATTAACCAAAAATCTAACGCGGGAGGTGAGTTAAAGATACATTTAATATAATTCAGCACCGTTCCTTCCGCAGTCCTAACAAGAATTTAATGCCTGTGCACCTAAAATGTGTTACAAAAGCACCATACTTCCTTACAACATAGTTTATTAACAAAAGAGGGAAACTGCAAGCATTGTTTGTAGGATGGTTTCAAGATAATTCCAAGAAATATAATAATCAGGTGCAGGGATTGAAAGTGAATGTGGACATGATTGCATAAATTGAAATTGGTTAGAGAAATAGAATTTTAGTCTCAAAATAAGTAAGTCACTGCAAAATTAATCCCGTTATAACTTTTTGTACAAAATTGGTCTCATTTCTATTGATTTCATGCAAATCTAATCCCTTTGTTGCAATTTTAACGGATATTGCTACGTTGCTGTTATAGGAGCTTACGTGTCATCATCAAAATATTCACAGCCTACATCCTACATAGCAGTTATCCAAAATGGGGGGAAAGAAGGGGTGGATCATTTTCTTAATAAGTAAGCTCAACTATGAAGGCATCTTTACTTTTCTATCATTAAGAGAGAGGTAAATTATGTCAATCAATAGAAAAATTAATTTTACGAATTAGGTATCAATGGTATAGAGAGCAATATACCCAAAAAAATGTACTAATCATGGTAAGCCAACATTGTCTAGTCTAATGCGAACCATATCAAATTACAACGCAAAATTTAACCAAACACTCACACAACTGGTTCCTAACAATAAAAATAGATAAGTATAGAAATACTTCAAACCAATACACCCATGCTCTATTTTTTATTTTTATTTTTTAAAATTTTTTTATGGCAGTATTTAACAACAATCTCAATGCATTAAGTGATTCATCGTTCAAAATATAATTTCACAGAATTTAATCAATAATATAACTCCACATATCTATATATTGAATATCTAAATTAAGAAATTCCAGTTGAAGAACAATAAAAGGTGGCCAAAATAGAATTTATGTGCATATACATACAGAAAATGGGATAATCAACCAAAATACAAGAAAGAGAACTCAGAGGTCCAGTAAAAATGGAAGCAATTAGGTATAACACAATAACGAAAATAACACCTTCAAGGGAGTGGATTTTTATATTGCTTCCATAAAAATTAAAGAGCACTCTCCATAATTCACTAGCACATGGTGTGATCGCACAAAGACTGGTAACTTAAGGTTTTTGAGACATTCCAAGGACCATGGTATGCAGCATAACTATGATTAGCAGAAGCTAATAAAGTAATGAACTGGGCTTGACAACTTGTTACAGAGCGTAGCATTGTGTATACCTTCGATTCTATTAGAGTATAATTAATCTTGCAACACTAAGAAGCTTACAAAGGTACATTTCAATGTAATGTTTCTTTACTAAGTAGATTGAAACAGAAAAGCCAATCCAACTTTTCTTCATATTCTATAAAACAATTATATATCCAAAGTATGTCACCAACAACTATTCATTCCATGATCTTTCTTTCCTTGTTCTTCTATGTGATACTAAATTAAAAAGGTCAAGTTATCATGATGTAAATGTTATTTTTATATATACTTAGATCATATCAAATACAATATGCAAATTTAAGTAGATGAGAGGAGAAACAAGTAGCCTAATAGAGGGCAATGCCTGGTTAGCTACCAAGATAATAAGACATGTTACTTTCAATTTCAAGATCATTCAATTGATTTTAAGTATGTGACATCTAAGTTGCACTTTTTAACTCTCGCGAAGCCATCACAAAATGCAAAAGAGTAGAGTACAAACAAATGCGTTCATTAAGAACTTCAAATAACACAATATTTGGATGTCAGGTAATTTCAACATGGTTTTTTAGAAAATCAGTTTCAATGTCATTTATGTACGCCTGTGTGACTGTGACATGAGCACAATCAAGCGGACAAAAATAAACCTTTTTTGCAATAGATGTAATATGGGCACTTCTGTCATTTCATTTATTCTATTTCATTCTTAGGCAGGTACACTCATTCTTAGGCAATGCTTTAGCCAGAGCAAAAATATTTCCTAGAGAATAATGAAGCAAGTAATAAGTTCAAAGGAACAAGATATTATAAAAAAATCGTCATTAATGAATATGTAAAGCATGGATCCTTATTAAGCCACATCAATAGCATTTACCATTTGTTTCCCAACATTGGTAGGCAGATGCTCCCTTCCAGTAAAGGAAGTGGTCATATTGATAGAGCAAATTTCAGTTGTATCCAACAAGACCTGTAGACAGCAGTTACTGCTGGAAATTAGAATAATTTGGAATGCCAACTCAAAATATGGTAATTTAATTGTCTCTGAAGCACTATGGTGTGAAAGCTCTTAGAGTCATGGAGTGAAGGAAGCATAATATTATACGCAATGGAAATTGTATCATAACGAAAATATCTATTCCACTAGTGTTTCTCAAAAAAATAAAAGTAAAATATATAAGCGTTCAAAATGCTTCGACTAACTAACCACTAGTTTCAACAGATATCAAAGTTGCTAGTTTGAATTTTTATAGTTATACCAAATATACCAAAAGTAATGGCTATATCAACTGCAAATTTCTTTCAATTTAATATATTCTAACAAAAAGAAAAAGAAAAAGAAAATTTTGAGCCAATAAAAGAGGAAATTAGAAAAGAAAGAAAGAAAAGACCTTCGGAAGAAATCATGAAGAAAATTATTTGATGCGAAAAGTTGATGAACTAGCAAACAATTGCATAGTATAACAAAGAAACAAATGTATCATAGACTAGCTTCAGGATGTCCGTTCTCCAATGACTTTCATTAAATATACACGTATATTAAATGTGGAGGAAGAGTGGGAAACAGGAAAAGGGGAACATCCCCCATTGCTTCTCGATTTAAGGTAGAAAGAAAAAATTACTACCACTCCCATTGCCTTTTTGGAATGGCAAATCAGTCTGTGCAGCGGAATCACATGGCATAAGACCAGCCCTCTGACAGCCATGACTTTAAGGATTATTTTTGCGAGCTCAATGAAAATTAGGATTTTGTAATTTACTAGAACAGAAATTAAATGAAACAATGACGCAGATGGCATATAAGAAAAAAGTAACTGCATCACAGTTGGTTCATCCTTGCCCCTCACCGAGAATCAATCTCTAGGCAAGTTCACGACACGAGTTAAAATGCAAAAGCCTCAACAAGCAAATAAACACTTTCTCAAAGTGAAGGATGCAATTTAAAGACAAATGGAAGAATAGCTACATATAATATAATAGTAACCGAATTATCAGCTAGAACTACTGAATTGGGTGGACTGAATACTTGTGTAATTATTTGATTGCCTAAAACAGTAACAGCAAGCACTGGTGTTCTAACCTGACGTAGCGGCGAGGATATACAAGAGAACCTCCTCTTGAGAGGCAAAGAAGACCATCTGAAAGCTGCATCAGCAGATAAGGCTCTGGCATCAGTGGCATGGGCATTCCTGGAATCGTCGGCCATGGCTTTAACTGCTCAATACTAAGCTCCACAGGCACTGAGAAGTAAAACAATATATGTACGTCAGGTGCCATATTGCAAAAAATTCAGATTTGTTCCCTCTGACATCCCATTGTAACAATCCAACTATATATAAGGGTGGCTTAAAATTGGAAGAGATCACAGCACCTTTAACAACTGAATAAGAAAGAACCAACAAAAGAAGTATAATCACATAGAAACGAGAAAAAACCAAAACATAACAAAGGAAAAAAAAAAAAAGTTACCTGTAGTGAGGGCTGCTCTTCCTCTCTCTCCTGACAACAATGGGCAAGGGCAAGGGCAAGGGCGAAGAGGGAAGAAAGAATGAAAATATAGACGAGTTTCATGCAGGTGAGATAGATAGGACAGCTGAGGAGTTACCAGGAGCCCTAGAAGGGACCGAACACCGTATAAGCCGAGATTATGAATCCACCGCTGCCTAACTCCGCCGTGACCATGGACTCGAGATGCTCTAGAGGAAGGAGAAAATTAGGAACCCTAGAATCGTGAAGAAGGCTGGCCGTGCCCATAGATGCTTCCACGTCGTAGGGTCCTCGGCAACCTCAAAGCAGATGAGAAGAATTAGTGTAACTACTGTTTGGACCATTTCCCCGGCGGCGCGGCCGCCGCGACGGTAGGGGCGTCGTTGCTAGTCGTCGGGAGGAGTGGTGATCATAATGGATCTTATTTTAACGAAGAGAAAATATCAATTTTGCCTGGTACAACCAAAATGTACTCTTTCCTTCTCTCCTTCCGGTGGTATCATTTACCTTTTTTCTTTATTTTTTTTTCCTTCTTCTGTACTTAACAATTAAAAATACGGTATAATTCTTTTCACAAATATATTACTATTATAATAATATTATAAAATATAAGTAATATTATTTTTATTATTTTTTCTTAATATATACTGTATTTTTATATAGTATGAAATTACTATAATTTTGGTCCACCGTCTAGAAATTAATTATTTGACATAAAAATATTATGTATAATTATATATGTATGGCATATTTAATTTTATATCATTATGTATTCTTTGTATTTAATATAATTAAAAAATATCAATTTTAGAGTTAATATGAAAAATTCATCTGTATATTTTTTCTAAAAATTTTGTCTAAAATTTTTTTACTTGTAAATAAATTTTCTTTCGTAAATATCCAATTAAATATTTATTTATTTATTTATTTTTATTTAATAATATACAATTGTTAATAAAATAAATATAAAATATTTTTCATTAAATACAACGAAATTAGTCATGAAATATGAAAAATGTTTAGTATTACTAGAAAATAAAGAGAGTGGCCGCGCCTTATCTTCCACGTAGAGACTCTGAACCAAACTGAGCCTTCCATGGCTTTCGCTGCAGCAGCTCTCACACACACCAGCTCCTATGCCGCCATAATCTCGACGCCATTCACACAAAACCGGAGACGAATTCCTGCACGACTTTGTGTGATCAAAGCAGTGAAGTCCTCAGAACCGTCGCAGAATGACAAAGCTTCAGAAGCAGCCGCGCCACAGGTTAAAGAAGATTCCTCTAATGCGCAGTCTTCTGCATCCTCAGCGGCAGCTCCGAAGTCGCCGCCAAAGAAGCCTGTTTACTCCAGTCAGTATTCGTAGGGTTTGATCTCGCAGTTCTGCACCATAAAACCACGATCGTCGATTTCTATTCACTATGGTTGGTTTTGTGATTTTTGGCAGTGAAGAAAGGTCAAATTGTTAGAGTGGACAAGGAAAAGTACCTCAACAGTATAAATGTAAGCATACATCCAAGCAAGGCAATGATTTAATCAATAAATGCGTTGGTGATCAATTCGTAGGGCAGAAGACATTGATGCAATTCCCTCTGTTTCAGTATTTGTCCGTAGGGCACCCACCGTATTACAGAGGTTTGGATTACATATATGAAGATCGGGGAGAGGTACGATAGAGACTGTTCTGGCCATTATGGATTCAATTAGGTCATTGCTTTTTCCACCATTCGCCTAACATTTGATGGTTCGTTAGGTGCTTGACTTGCGCATATTTGATACAGGCGAATATGCATTAGTAAGTTCATCATGATTTTGGTACTTGTTGCTTTCAATTTCTATGCCTACATCTGTAATGCCTTGTTCATATCGTCTCTGGTTGCAGGTTGCTTGGGTTGGAATACCAACAGCTCCAGCTTGGCTTCCCACAGACATGCTTATCAAGGTACTTAGATCTTCATCCTGAACTTCTCATTATACAATTCATCAACACAAAACGGCTGGTTTCTAAATCTACATTGCCGAATGCAGTCAGAAAAGCTCGATTATGAGAGAATTTAATCGATGCAAGAAGGCGACACAGGTGATGTCAAATTATATTGTATGAATGTTAGAAAAATCAGCTGCCAATTACTATAAACTGATAATGTTAAGCTGTTGTGTCATTCACTTCAAGCAATTCACTAGCAGCAGTTTTTGGTTCTTTATAAAAATTCATTCTTGATCGGCATCCCACCATTATACGACAACAGAAGCTCTCCCCCAGCTTAGATATTAGCAGCAGTTTCTTGGTTTATACATGAACATCATGAGGAAAAAAGAAGCAAAAGGGTCTAATTACAGAGTAGAGTAGTAACAATGGGAGTTAAATTCAATTAACCTTCTGCATCCCCCCATTTTTCAACTCTATTGTGACTATTTCATGTACATGAGATGCTGCTGCTACTCATCAATCTTCCCAGCCTAGCAACATAACTTTATAAAAGCAACAACTCCCACGATCGTGGCTATTCCACACGTGTTATTGTAGAGGATTTGTGCGTGTTCGAAAGATTCCTGTGAGTAAGGTCTATAGCAAAGTTCTTGTAGGGAATTTAAGAGGTTCTTGAGCCCTATACTGTGGGATGTCGAGCCATGGGTCGATCGGGCTTCTTGAGTTGGGTTTTAACGGAAATACCAAGTGATCGTTGTTGAAAGTGTGGTTGCTTTGGGTTGTCGAAGTGTATGGATGAGGCGGGGAAAGGAAGAAGTTTCTATACGATGCTCCAGCATCGTGACGTAACGGGCTTGAAGTGGGAGACACGGGCAATGAGGTTATTGTCCTAGCATGGTCCCTGAAAGCAACAAGACTCCAATCTTGAGGAAAATCCAAAAAATGCAACAAATACAATCGAAGTAAGCCTAGTGTGTATTTACCTGGGGCTTAATAGAGTCCTCGGGACCGTTAATCTTGAAACATCTCCTCGATCAAAACAACTCTCGTTTGTTCTGCTGGAATGCATCTCCAATGCAGTCTGCAATAAAAGTTTACACAACAAATCAAGCATCGAAACACAAAATTAACTCTAAATTGCAGTTTTCATCCACCAGATAATTGCCCCATAACTTTTACGAAACCAGTTCATCCGAAAAAACTAAAAGAAATAAACTTAACAATTACCGGAGTGCGACTTCCATCAAAGGCACGTGGAAATGCTTCTCGTGTTATATTGACATTGGCAGTTCGTGCTGCAGTTTGGTTTCTAACAAAAGGGTGACCGAGCAGCTGGGTAGCTGTTGGCCTTGCTGAAGGGTCCCGCTGCAAGCAAAGCCTTATGAAACTTTTTGCATCGGCAGATAGGTGATCCGGGATCTCAGGCATATCTTTGCTGTTCCCAATTTTAAATATTGCAGCAACCTGTTAAAACAAATTAATTGCTAAAGTTTCGAATCCCAAATCCACTTCATTGCGAATCATCACAACCTAGACATTGAATATGAAATGCCTAACCCCTTCATATTGGCTCCAAGGTGGCTTCGATGTAGCCATTTCAAGAACTGTGCATCCTAAGCTCCATATATCCACAGGAAGACTGTAACCGTTCGTATTCATAACCACCTGAAAATTGTCGAGTGTATCCTGTGAGTGTCCATTTATTTTTAATCGAAAATGGATGTATAAAGAGAGAGGGGCAGACCTCAGGCGCCATCCAATAAGGGCTTCCTTTAAAGGACAACATCGATGAACATGTCGCTATCTGTCAAACAGAATTATTAAATTAGAAAGTTCATATGTATGCATGGAAACCTGAATATTAGCCTACGCAGAAACTATTAACTTTTTCCCTATCAAATTAGTTTTAAATAAGTGTTTCTTAAACAGTTGGCTTTGGCAGCGCCGTTATCATTTCTGAAGTAATTCGCACGAAACACCCATTTTTGGAAGATGATGTTAATCCATCTTTATAACATTTATCCTACCTAGTTCCAGCAAGTTATTTATTACAAAAAAAGGAAGAAAATGCTTACATGCTTCGCCATTCCAAAGTCGGCTAGTTTTATTTCACCGTTGGGATCTACCAGTATGTTTGCTCCTTTGATATCCCTGCAGAGAAGAAATTATAAAAACATCAGAATCTCGAAAGCGTGTATAATAACAGAACATTGAGATCATGTGGAGGGAAATGATCGGGCACCTGTGAACTGTATCGCGTCCGTGTAAATAAGCCAGACCAGAGAGAATCTGCCTGGTATAGTTTTGTATAACGGGTTCCCCAAACGACCCATATTCTTGCAGTAATTTATGGATGGAGCCTCCAGAAACATACTCCAAATAAACCGATAGCCTTTGGTCACTCTGGAAAGAGGTAAGCTTAGTCACATAGTGCTCAATAGCCATTCTTGAAATAGAAAAAACTGACAAACTTTCCAACTCTTACCAAATCACTTCCGTAGTATTGCACAATGTTTGGATGTGAAAGCTTACTTAGCAATGTTATTTCCTGCACGAACAATCAGATTAATTACAACACTGAAGTGAAACAGGGAAAGTGATATAGATTAAGTGTCCGAACCACACCTGGTTCAGCTGCTTGAGACTTTCTTTCGAACATTGATCATCTGAAACAACTTTGACTTCTTTAATTGCACACATTTGCCCATTCTCACTGCCAAAAAACCATTACAAGATCATTAAATTAATAGACATTTTAGGATCAATGAAATGTTTCCAAATTCTTGCATAAATTCCCATTACCTATTGAAGCCAAGGTAAACATGCCCGAAAGTGCCTCTTCCCAAAAGCTTCCCTTTCCTCCACTTCGAAGAATGACTGCTCGAGCTTTCAGATATTCCAGGACTTCTTGGTGTCGAAGAAGTGCTTGAAAGAGAAACAGGTGGAAGGGGCAACCTATGACCCTCGAATTCCTGTTTCGATCCCGGAGAATCCAAACTGATCCCGCTAAGGCGGGCATGAATAGGCGATGTAGGATTTGCAGTGCCCCTTGACCCTCGCCCCGGGCTTCTCATTATCGGACTTAATCTGTTATCCCCCTGTCCCCTGCCACAAAGATGCTCATAATATCAGCAGCTGCCAATGAATCAATTATTGTTGCAAATTTGCACATCTAATCTACTGATAGAGATTCAACATAAGCTTTCTAACAATCTAATTCATGTCGGAGAAGTAATATTTCAGTAATCATACATTACATCGAGGAACTTCAATCAAATCGAAGATTTATGGAAAAGAAAGAACCAATCAGCCGATAGGTTAATTGGATCAACAATCACAAACATCAGCCAGCAATTTAAATCACCACAAATTCGAAGTTTCCAAATCGGAATACCTAAAAATTGGGGGAGAACTGAGAAGAGATAAGAAAAACCAACCGGGCGGTGGGATGATCGACGGTGGCGTGGGTATTATTATGATCATCGGACGACCCAGATGAACTGACGCTCGAAACAGAACCGGACCACCCGGATCCGAGCCCAACTCCATGACCCGGATCATTTGCCGGCTCCGACGGCGGCCGGGGCAACGGCAGTCCTCTGTCGAGCGACGAAGCTGAATCAAACCCTGAAAACCCCGACGAGTTTCGTCCCCCCAAAAGCTCCCGCCCCGTTGACGAAAATTCCCGGCTGCTTCGCGGCGAATTTCTCGATGGCCGCTGCAGTAAAACGTCGTCAAAGCTCCTGACCTTGTTCTCACTCTCCTCCCTCTCGCTCTTCACCGACGAACTCTTTTCGGAATTCTTCGATTCCTTGCTCTTACCAGATCTTTTCCCCCACCACGCCGGCATTTTTTTTTCCCCCTTTTCAAATAGGGCAAAATTACTCAGCTGTGTATCTATTTACCCTCGCATAGACACAGACCTTTGCAGAAAACCGTCGGAGAAAAAACGTGATGGAAAGATCGGGAACGGATGGATAAAATTTAAATGGGAGGAAGAAGGAGTTGGAGAAGCGTTGAAGAAGAAAGACCCCTACAGAATATACATACAGAGAGCTACAGAGAGACAGACATACAAACATACATACATACATATAATATCGCGAATAAAATAATCAATTTATGTAATCGAAATCACCACAAGTGGATGGATGTATTTATGCATCTAATTTATTATATATATATATATATATATCTATCCCCTTTGTTTGTAGCCCTAGTTGCTTCCTTCTGCTCTCAGAGAGAGAGAGGGCGAAGACGACGAGTGGACCCCATGCGGGCCCCCGCCAAAAGCCCGAGTGACAGCCAGCTAAGCCCGCTGGGGACGGCAGACGAGCGGTGGTTGGCTTTCACCCAGCTCCATTGACGTGGCCAACCTTTCTAGACCCCCAAAACCTATACATACATACACGTATACGTATAGAGAGAGAGAGAGAGAGAGAGAGAGAGAGAGAGAGAGTGGTGGGGGGCGGCGTGTAGAGTGAGTTTACGTGTGAGCCCAGGGTGAGTAAATGCAAGCACTTTGTTTTTATTGCTGGAAAACGAAACTGTGATGTGCCACCATCGTCGTCGCGACTCATTCCTACTCTACTGCTAATCTACTCTACCACTCGTCACTGTTCATTCACTACCCACAATTATACCATCAATTAGGGTTTCCTCTGTCTTCTCCATTAATATAAAATTTATATAATCGGCACTGAATCAGGGGTGCCCACTAGATTTCATTTCCTCCCCCCTTTATATTTTTTCACCAGGATCGAAATTAAAAACAAAAAGGAGACAATCCGTGGGTGATCTGATTGGTAGACAGCAATAGAGACCTACCCGCCATGGATATTTCGATCGCATTGGCCAAGGTACAACATTTAATGCAGAGGGTACATGCTGGGCATTGTTGGCATCATCGTCGTCGTCGTCCCTGTTCCTAATCTTGGCTGCGGCTGCGGCTGCTGCCTACCAAAGGCAGCAGATTAATCCGTTTGGGAAATTGTTGGTACCGACGTGACGTGGCGTTTTTTGGGGGCTTTTTGGGTTGGCATTCCATCCCATGTTTTTTAGGAAAAACATAAATAAATCAAATCAAATGATGAAATTGTTTATGCACAGATACAGATTCGTTTTACTTTCTGGGAAGGTTCATTCATCCATTACTTAAAAAACCAGAATATATATATATAAAAACGTGTCGTAATTTACTGAGTTGGGAATTGGGGCCATTCCTTTGCGAGTTGTCCACTCTCCCTAGTCCATACTCTGCTCGATCTACTTTTTATATATAAGTATAATACTCTCATTTTTAATATATCAACATAGTTGCATCAAATTAAAACAAATGGTAAGTCCGATCAAAAATAAAAAAATAAAAAACAAATGGTAAGAAAAAAATTAAAAAATTACACACTTTTTAATTATCATTTAAATATAATATCTTTTAATTTTGTGTCAAAAATAAATAGAGTATATTCTTTTTGAATAGGAGGAGGAAGTATTCATAAATTGTTTGAACAAAAACAACTAGGCATAAAAATTGTAGAATTCTTGGACAAGAGAATGTACTAAAACTTGAGGCTGCTCATGGACTTCTAGAACTCTTCGGAAGGAATTAGAAACATTTATGCTTATCTTGAAAATTTTTCTTAATCTATCTTGATTGTAGTAGTTAGATTGAAATGATTTTGTCCATCCCATTATGAGTGTTACAAAAGTACTATTTATTGTTTCGACATATATTACTAACTTTTCAGAATATCGAAACTCGAAGACGACTCAAATATGAAATGCAACAAACTGCTGCTGAAAATTTTTTGTATTACCCATTTTGTACAGGTTCTATCAATATATGAATTGTCAAATATAGGAGAAATAATGTTGCAGGTTTGTGGTGACGCATTTAATACCCAACGGTTGGTTACTAAAATACTCTATTGAGGCAGTATGTTTTTTTTTTTTTTTTGGATAAATTGTTTGTATAAACTGTGAATAATCTTGTGAAGTGAGAGTGAAAAATCTAGTGAGAAAAAGAGTGTATATTTTCTCAATCTTTTTGTTTTTACTACTCCTTGATCTGAAAAAGAATCTGAGCTCGAGATTTGAAGCTCATATGAAGAAAGGAAGAAAATGATTTCCAATAGAAGAAAAAGATCAACCTATACTCGCTTACTCTCAGTTTAGAACTGCGGTTTAATCTCTAGTTTCTTTACATTGGGATGTAAAGAAGACTGTAGGAGAGGATAACTTTGGGTCTGTGTTTGTTGAGTCATTAAGTCCCTTCCATACCTGGTAATAGGTTTAGTAGACGTCTCATGAATTGAAATTCCTTAGATGTAGGTAGTTATACCGAACTGGGTTAACAAATCTTGTGTGTTGTTTGTTTTATGTTTGATCTTAGCCCCCCATAGGCAAGTATATGTGACACACAAGAGTTATAACCACAGAACAATACAACGTGTTTCCGAAGTGTAAACCCTTTGTGATTTCCTATTTCCGCTGCCATTAGACTCGGAGGAGTTAGCCTCTTACGTGTACGTGTGCCAGCCTACGTCTTTCCTCGTACCCAACAATGAGATTGTATATGAAGAGAAATGTGAATCTCATTTGTAAAACCATCAAGCTTAAGAGCAATATAATCAATTTTTTTAATCTTATGAGTTCTTAGTTATTTCTAAAAGTAATGCGTCAATGAATTGTTAGACCGACAAAAAAGTATTAGAATCTATCCAAAATTGAAATATAAAAATATAAGAGGTGAATTAGAGAATTAATAAATTGTGGTCCGGCCCTTTTGGTGGAATAAAAGAAATACTTTCTCCGTACACAAACTAACTAATGTCCTATTTTCCTATTTGGGACGTTCAACAACTATTGTCTTATTTTCTTTTTTAAACACAAATTTTACATTTTTACCCTTCATTCATTTATTATTTTTAATCTCTACTATACATTTAAGGGCAAATTTGTCCATTCATAACAAAAATACAGTCACCTAAAAAATCATATAAATATACTTTAAGAATAGAAAATGGACGGAGAAAGTATTGTTTAACATGTAGGTTCAACATAAGTAGTATTAGTTCAAATGACCCAATTTTAAAAAGAATAAAATCTGAAGAAAATAAATATTGCTACTGAGAACCAAAGTCCAGAAAGTAGAGGACAAAAATAAATAAATAAATAAAATTAGTGTTTTATATTATAGATAAAATAAATCAATCCCAAGTTATGCCATAACCTTCTCCGAAATTGATATTGTTTGTTTTAGTCACGTAATATTTCAATCTAAGCAAATAGAAATAAACATGGGTGTGTTAATTTCTCGAGCTTTGCCTTTTATTTTAAATAGTAAAATTTTAAATTAAAATAATTATTTGATTTAATATAATAAATAAAAGATATGCGCTTGATTTGATAATTTTGAAAAAAAAAATTAAAATTGTTCTGACTTATATGTCTTTTTACTATTTTGTTTTTTTATGAATATATTACTTATTTTACTAATAAAGTATCATATCAACTTATTGTTAACATCAAAATTAAAATAATAATCATAATGATAAATTAAAGTGCCAAATAAATAATTTCTATCTAGCCTGAACATTCTCTATTTCTTTAATACTATATGTTATTTAATTATTATAATTATTTTCTTTTAATTTAGAAAGATTACACGATCTTATTCTTATAAAATAATGAGTGAAAATGACAAAATAACAACAATAATGACACAATATTTGTAGTGATGTCTTGTAGCTAAACAAATTCGTTACATCTACTTTTTTCAATATTTGTGAAATAATTATTGCATTATATTTATGGATTTAATAATATAATAGATTGGTAGGTATATAACCACTCAACTGATAAACTAAAAATTTCTCATTTATTTTAAATTAATTACAAGCTCATTATGCCAATCATTGTATAAATATTTCCAATTTATCAAATTTAAGAAATAAATATAAATAGGGCATATTCTCGTGCACTCATTATTTTACCACATAATAATAATAATAATAATAATAAAATCTATTTCCAAGCACTTACATTTTTTTCAAGAGGTGTTGGAAAATACTAAAATATATATATATATATATCTGTATATATATCGATGCTTTGTATTTAGCCCAAAAAGCAGAAAATTTAGATGTGATTTGGATTGATTTTGATGTCAGCAACTATTTTGAGTTTATTTATTTATTTATTAATAATAATTAATGTTAGATACTGTACCTATTTTAAATGAAAAGTAATACTTTCATTTGTCCAAATATAATAGTATTTATCATTTTTGTTCGTCTTAAAATAATAGTTTCATTTTTATATATAATCATATTATTATAAAAATGTCCATACTTTTTTATTATTATTATACAATTGCCATTACTTTTTATACTAATATACTCACAAAGACAAAAAAATTATTTATCTTTATTTTTTACCAACTATCAATGTAATATTAATATTTTTAAATCTCGTACCCAACACAATAACAGTATACGGGACAGAGAGAATACTTAACGTCCTTTTTTGGATGGAAAATAGTGTTATATATATATTATATATTAATTAGAAGATAAAAACATCAACAATAATTGTTTAAAAAATGTGATATTGATGTGTGCTTTAAAGGGCAAGAAATTCTAGAAGACATGTATATTTGTGTAAGGTTTGAATTTGTATTTTGACTTTGAGATTAGTTAAATTTTGAATTGAAACAATATTTAGGGTGATATATAAATATTGACACGATATTTTAAATAAAAATAAATAATTTCATGTTAGATTAAATAAAAAGAAAATAGTTATTTTATTCAATTATTTTGAAGGGAGGAAACAAATCATAGTTATAAATTGTGCAAAAAAATGTCAACTTAAAAGAAACAATCAATCTTGAAATGCACAATATTTTGACAAGATTTTGTTAATAGTTTTGATATTACATTATAAAATAATTAGATTTGAGTCGAACTTACATCCTCCCTCATAAACATAACTAATGTTGGAAAAGAGTTGAATAAAAATTGTTTTATTTTATTGAATAAAATAAATAAATAAATAATTGATTAATCATTAATTTTATAAATTTTGAGAGATAAATTGTTATTTGATGTTTATAAAAATCATAAAAATAAATTATTTAATCAATTATTTTAACTTATATAATTTAGGTATTTATTTAAACCAAATGCCAGACAAAAAATGTGTTTCATACAAGTTTTATATTAACATAAATGAGTTTCACTCAATAAATAAAATACAGAATTTTATCTATTTTTATGAAAATAGAGGTGTTATATAATTTGCCCTTATTATTATTGTTGTTAAAATATAATTTTCTTTTAAATTAATTTGCTTGAAAAAAAAAAAAAAAAAATTGAATTTATGGTCCATAAGTTTTTATTGGATCAAGGTTCATTTAAGTTAAAAATAGGTTGATCAAACAATGGGTTTGGATTGTAGATCAAGAAAATGTGTTCAAGGCAGCTGGTTCTTCCCTACCCAAATCCAATCCTAACCTGTAGTACAGTACATGCAGTTGCGGTCTATTTTGACAGACTCGACCCATTTTTTGACCGTTGCAACGGAAAGTCGGAAACACAGGCGCCGGAGGAGGATGTACGTACGTACGGACGTCCCGAGGAGCGAGGAAGAGACTCTCGTGCTCTACCACGCGTCTCTCCATGGCGTTACTGACGCAGTTTCCGTATCTTCCGCGATTAAATCCTTTCTCCGTTTCTCCGTCTTCTCTTTTGAAGCATTTCTCCTTATCTCCCCCGGAACCTCCCTGAATTCCACGTGATTTGAATCACATGTAAGTGCTGTTCGTCTCAAATTTTCTTTTTGGTGGATTGTTATGCAGTAGTATTGATTGATGTGGATTTTCGACGTCTGGTGGGGATCAGTTTGGGGGGGAGGGGGGAAGACAATCGAGCCGGTGGTAGAGGGGAGAGCGATTTCAGAACTCTCGTGGCTCGGCTAGGCTGTCGAGTGCTCTGCCGGCCGGAAAAATGGCGGCGCCGGGGAGCTCCGAGCAGACGGCGCTGATGCGGCGCTCCTCGCGCAGCGCGAACACCACGGTGTTTTCTACAGAAGTATTCGACAACGAGGTTGTTCCTTCTTCGCTACAGTCCATTGCCCCGATTCTTCGCGTCGCTGCTGAGATACAGAACGTGCGTCCACGCGTCGCCTACCTCTGTATGATCAATCATCTTTCAGTAATTATTATTGTAGATTACTCGTAAAGACTTCAAGTTAGCATTCGGAGATTTCCTTCTCAACTTGATGTAATTGAGTTCACTTTTCAGGTCGATTATATGCACTTGAAAAGGCCCATCGGTTGGATCCTCATTCAAGCGGACGTAGTGTCCTGCAATTTAAGACTAGCCTTCAACAAAGATTAGAAAGGGTAAATATATAATCCATATATATATCAGCCTTTACATTTTCTATATATATATATACTTGTTTCAGTATTCTGTTTTAGTTTTTGTGTGTAAACAGAATGATGAATGTGTAATAGAAGTGGGATGTTTCCAATGCATTTTTCGTTGGTATATTCTGATCATCTCAAAGTTTTTTGTAAATTTTATAATCAGGAAAATGAATCAACACTTGCTGCTCGAGTCAAGAGGACAGATGCTCGAGAAATTGAGAGCTACTACAAGCAATATTATGAGCAATATGTTATGGAACTTAACAAGGGCGAGCAAACTGACAGGTTTAGTGCTATTATTTCATGGAGTACTGTAGATTTTGAATATCATAGTGATGGGTATTTTTATAACTCTTACCTGAACAGAGCCCAGCTTGGAAAAGCTTACCAGACAGCCGGAGTCCTCTTTGAAGTGCTATGTGCTGTTAATAAAACTGAGAAAGTTGAGGAAGTTGCTCCTGAGGTTAGTTTTTACTTAATTGCATGAGCTTTTGACTAAGTTAAATAGCACAATCCTGGCTTCCTCACAAGCTGGCTATATGATGCCACAACATATTAAGTCATTAAAGTTTACAGATTATTGCATCAGCAAGTGATGTCCAGGCTAAGAATGAAATTTTTGGTACGTACAACATCCTTCCCCTGGATTCTGCTGGTGCATCACAGCCTATCATGCAGCTTGAAGAGGTGATCTTTTTCTGGAGTAGATGTTCATTCCGAAGGTACTTGTTTAATTATCTTGTCAATAACTCTATTTACATAGCATACTCTTTACTGAAGCCAGGTGAAAGCTGGTGTCACTGCTTTAAGGAACACCAATGGTTTAAAATGGCCAGCTTCGTTTGAGAAACAGAGGCAGAAAACTGGGGAGTCAGACATCCTCGATTGGCTGAGAGTTGTGTTTCGGTTTCAGGCATGTCTTATGGACTGTTGAATCAGAGAATGAGATGACTGCTTCTTGCTTTCATTTAAGGATATTTATTCAGCATGGTTTATTGCAATCTACAGAGGGACAATGTCAGAAACCAAAGAGAGCATTTGATTATGCTGCTGGCAAATATTCACATAAGGCTTACTCCCATGCCCGAGCCACTAAATATAGTATGTGCTCCTTATCAGCTTAACATTGGTATACATTAGAGTATCACAGTTTAAAAGAATTTCATTTTTATAAAGCTCAAACCTCACTTTGGGAATCAAGATTACACTGAAGTAAAAAATTAGCTGTTGTGATTTTGTATCATGCGCAGTGTTTATTTACACTAATATTTGGTTTTCATTGTGAAAACACGTGTTGCACATTATGTTTATTTGTAACTGTATATAGTCATGCATGCATTAGCTTATTCTCAGGAGATTTTCCTATATAACACCTACAATTTCATCATCAGCTTGATGATAGAGCTGTTGATGCACTCATGAAGAAGCTTTTCAAGAACTACAAGACATGGTGTAGATATTTGGGAACAACACACAACTTGAGGTAATGTGATGTTATTTGCAAAAACATTCTGCCATGTAAGTTGCAAGATGAATGATCTTTTATAACCTCTGCTCTTAGGCTCCCCAAGGGTAGTCAGATGGAAGTGCAACAGAGAAAGCTACTTTATATTGGCCTCTTTCTTCTTATCTGGGGTGAAGCAGCTAACGTGCGGTTCATGCCAGAGTGCCTTTGCTATATTTTCCACAATGTGGGTGATTTGATTCTTCTTTTCCATATGAATGAAGTAAAATGTCATTTCTGAAAGAAAGAGTGAATGTTCAGATGGCATATGAATTACAAGGCCTCTTAGTTGGAAGTGCCAACATTGCTGTGGGGGAGAGCATGAAAGCTTCTTATGGAAGTGATGATGAAGCCTTCCTGCAGAAAGTTATAACTCCAATTTATCGAGTGATTGAGAAGGTAACCTCTGGCTCAGAAGATCTGTGTTATTGTAACAAAATGGTTCTGCTTCAAAGATTTCAAAGTACTCCTTGTATGGCTCCAGGAAGCCAAGAAAAGTAACAATGGGAAAGCACCCCACACAAGCTGGTGCAACTACGATGATTTAAATGAATATTTCTGGTAAACTGTTAGACTGAAAAGTATTCTTCTTGTGATAATTATTTTTGTTCATTCTGTGAGTATGACTTATGTAACTGTTGTAGGTCATCGGATTGCTTTAATCTGGGTTGGCCAATGCGCGATGATGCTGAGCTTTTCAAAACACGACGAGGTGCAGCGCAAGTAAAACACCCCTCAAAAACTCCTGAAATTCTAGGAAAATCATTTTTTGCAGAAACTAGGTCGTTTTGGCACATTTTTCAAAGTTTTGATAGGTTGTGGACGTTTCTCATTCTCGGTCTTCAGGTACCTAACAGAAACAGTTGGAAGATGATTAATTGAGAATAATTAAGTGCTTTTACTGAATGGTTGAGTAATTCTGCTGCAGATTATGGTTATACTTGCATGGAATGATATTTCCATATTTGAAATCTTTGAGAAGAAAGCTTTATATGAGCTGTCTAGCATTTTTATCACAGCAGCCTATCTTCGGCTGCTTCAGAGTATGTGATTCTTCTTTTTCTATTGAAAGGATTTAAGCTTTTCTCAATTTGATTGAACAATCTCTTTTTCTGTCCCTTAAGGTATCCTGGACCTGGTTCTAAACTTCCCTGGCTACCTTAGATGGAAATTCACTCATGTTTTGAGGACAATACTGAAGCTAATGCTCAACATTGGATGGTGCATCATCCTTCCATCATTTTATATGGTCCAGAGAAATCTTCATTTCCGACCACTTGATGATATTCTTGTATACCTCGATAAGCTCAAGGGGCTGCCAACATTGTACCTCTTGGCAATAGCATTATACTTGCTACCAAATCTACTGACAGCATTCTTATTTGTGTTCCCCATGTTGCAACGCTGGATTGAGAGTTCCAATTGGCTTATTGTGAGGTTTCTTCTATGGTGGTCACAGGTAAACGTATCTTCTTCTTGTTCCCTAATTTAAGTGAGCATTCAGCCCCTTTTATGTTAAAACACAATATACATGTTATAGTAAAACAGATATTTTGAGCCCAAATATCCCTATCCTCTGATAGAATAACATAAGTTTGGCATTGACATTTAGCTTTGCCAGTTCTAAGCCTCTTCTCAAGCTTTACACGCTTGCATGAATTTGTCTGTTTACGGGATTTGTTTAACATATGATTGATCTGTCAATATTTCATCTTACAAAACTGCAGCAAAGAATATATGTAGGAAGAGGAATGCATGAAAGTCAATGGGCCCTTTTCAAGTAAGCCAACAAGTTTACCATTCCTCATATAGTTTTTCGTCCGTTACTGAACCATTCCTCATATAGTTTTTCGTCCGTTACTGACTTACTTTTCGTCTTGTCATTAACAGATATACTATATTCTGGGTCCTGCTTCTGTGTTCCAAATTTGCATTTAACTTTTTTATGATGGTAATTCCACCTCCCTGTAGTCACCCAATATAACGCAACCAGGGCTTTCTTCCTTATCCAAGGTGTTTTTTTTTTTTTTTTTTTTTTTCTTTTTTATATATATATATGATTCAGATAAAGCCTATGGTATTGCCCACCAAAGATATCATGAAAATTAAGCATGTTGATTATGCATGGCATGAGTTTTTCCCAAATGGTATGTCTTTGGTACTTATGCTCTTTTCCAGAACTATCTTCTCAATTCTACATATTGCTACAAATTTGTTCCAATTACAGCCAAGAACAATGTGGGAGCCATCATTGCAATATGGGCACCGGTTATCTTGGTAAGTGTTTTTTTTGTAATCTACATTTTGGTTTTAGTAACTATAATTTTCATAGATAATATATCTTTAGAGCTTTCATTTTCACTGATCTAATGTTTTGCTGTCACAATCTTTTCTTGTAGGTTTACTTCATGGATCTCCAGATTTGGTATGCTGTCTTCTCCACTGTGTATGGAGGTTTTATTGGGGCCTTCGACCATCTTGGAGAGGTTGTAACCGTAGTTAATCTTCTAGTATAGTTTTCATTTTTGCAACAGTGATGTTATCTTCTCTCCTTTTTTTTGTCATCCTTGACATATTATGCATCATTTAGTTGTGGGATCATCTCAAACTCACCCTTCTGTTTTCTTTCCTCTTAACATATCATCCATTTTCTTGTTCACAGATCCGAACAATGGAAATGCTAAGGTCGCGTTTTCGGTCTTTACCTGGTGCATTCAACACTAACTTTGTGCCTTCTGAAAAGCCTAAGAAAAGAGGGTTATTTTGTTCTAAGCACTCTCAAAAGGTTTTTCTCCATCCATTAGTAATCACTACATGCGTTCATGCTCCTGTTATGGGAAATGTCATCTGATTTCTGCTCAATTCCCTGCAACATCTAGGACAGTGATAATATAAGAAGTCAAGCAGCAAAGTTTGCACAGTTGTGGAATGAAGTTATAAGCAGTTTCCGTGAAGAAGATTTAATAAGTGACAGGAATAGCCCCCCTGACCTTTTTTTTTTCCCTGTTTATGTAAATTCATGAACTCAAACTAGAAATGAACCTTGATTATTTACTTCAGGGAGATGGATTTGCTTCTTGCTCCTTATTCGTCCGACCCTAACCTGAAAGTTATTCAATGGCCGCCATTTTTGCTGGCTGGCAAGGTATGTAACAAACACAGGTTTTATGAATTGCTTGTATTCTTGATTGACTTTTGTCTTTTGCAGATTCCAATTGCAGTAGATACGGCTGCTCAAGTTTGTTCCAAGGATTTTGATCTTTGGAAGCGAATCAGTGCCGATGAGTATATGAAATGTGCTGTGATTGAATGCTATGAAACATTTAAAAACATCCTGGATGAATTGATCATTGAAGAGACTGAGAACAGGTCACTTCTTCCCCTTATTCAGGCAAAAGGCTATCAGATCCATTCTCTAACCATACATTGGTGGGCAGGTTAATAGAAATCATCTTGAAAGAAATTGAAAGCTCCATATCAAAGAACACATTCTTAGCAAATTTTAGAACCAAGCCTCTGCCTAATCTTTGCAAGATATTAGTTGAAATTTTGGAGATATTGGTGAATACTCACTCTCACCTCTGATTCAGTTTCACAGTGTAGTTCCAGTCATCTTGTTGCATGTCATGCCCTGTAACGGGATATTCTCTTTTGGTGTCTATTGCAGAAAGATTGCCAGCCATCCCAGAAAGACAGGGTTGTTCTACTGTTGCAAGATATGCTAGAAGTAGTTACCCGTGACATGATGGTGAATGAGAATCGGTGGGTGCATATATACATATGCACATCTTACCCACTGCATTACTTATGAGTATTGTCTAGTAATCTTAATTCTAAGATGTGATTCTATTCTCATTTCTTTTTCTTCTTCATTGAATGCAGTGAACTTGCTGAACTTAGTCGAGGCAGCAAGGGTTCTGGGAAGCAGCTTTTTGCTAACATTGCTTTCCCTCCCCAAAACAGAACACAATGGGACGAACAGGTACTTTGCATAAGAACATTTCTGCACGTTCTCTCTGGTGAATTAATGCAGTATCATCTAATTAACTTTGTTCTTTGTCTGTCAGGTCCGGCGGCTCCATATGCTTCTAACTGTTAAAGAATCTGCAGCTGAAGTGCCAACAAACCTGGAAGCACGGCGAAGGATATCTTTCTTCTCCAATTCACTTTTCATGAACATGCCATGTGCACCTCGTGCGCGCAAAATGCTGTCATTCAGGTGCACTGCATTGCCTGCTGCAGAAGTATATATGAGTGTGTGCTGGATAGTGTTTTAAGATAGTAACCATATGGATTTGTTTTGGCAGTGTGTTCACTCCATATTACAGCGAGGAGACTCTCTACTCGAAAAATGATCTTAATATGGAAAATGAAGACGGTGTGTCTATCTTATACTACCTTCAGAAGATTTATCCAGGTCTGCATCATCTTCTCATTCTCAACTTTTGGCATATCTTGCTTCAACTAATTAATGCTATGAAACACTTCAATCAGATGAATGGAACAACTTCAGGGAGCGAATGAACTGTGAAGAAGACGAAATTTTGGAAAAAGAGGAAAGCATACTCCAACTGCGCCACTGGGCTTCTTTGCGTGGACAGACTCTTAGCAGAACAGGCAACTCTCTCTCTCTCTCACACATATTCTTCTTCATGTAGCCTTCAAGTTGGATCATTATATCTTAATTCTCATTCAGTCAGAGGAATGATGTACTACCGAAGGGCGTTGAAGCTTCAGGCTTTCCTCGACAAGGCTAACGAAGATGGTAAGGATTGAGTCTCACCACACTGCAAGGACAAACTAACAAATTAGTAATGGAACAAACTTACATCATTTTTCTCTACATATAACAGAGTTACTTGAAGGCTATAAAAGCATTTCAGAACCATCACCAGAAGACAAGAAGAATCCAAGATCCATGTTTTCTCAACTAGAGGCTGTAGCCGACATGAAATTCACTTATGTCGCCACCTGCCAAATATACGGTAACCAGAAACGCAGTGGAGATCGCCGTGCAACTGACATTTTAAATCTGATGGTCAAGTAAGCTGTGCATTTCACTGAATCTGACAAATTCTAAATCATCCCTTAAGCTGTAGGATCAATAACTAATTTACCATTTACTTGTGCAGCAACCCATCACTACGTGTGGCATATATCGATGAAGTCGAAGAAAGGGAAGGTGGGAAGAATCAGAAGGTTTATTATTCTGTATTGGTAAAGGCTGTTGATAATCATGATCAGGTAAGCAATAAATATTTCTTCTACGTCCTCATGGATTCTATTTCATGTCATATATTTCTGCAGGAAATCTACCGTATAAAGCTCCCTGGCCAGGCAAAGATTGGAGAAGGAAAGCCTGAAAATCAAAACCATGCTATAATCTTTACGCGTGGAGAGGCTATTCAAACCATAGATATGAATCAGGTACTGTTAATGTTCTAAGATGCAAAGTCATGTAAGAGCAGTGAAAGTTTTCTAAAGAAATTCTTTTGTAGGATAACTATCTGGAAGAAGCTTTTAAGATGCGCAATCTACTCGAGGAGTTTAATGAGGATCACGGGGTGCGACCGCCTACTATTTTGGGTGTTCGCGAGCACATTTTCACCGGAAGGTTGGTTTGATGGGCCTAGCTCTCATTCACTTTCTAAGAAGCTGAGGTTTAGCATTCTCTGATGTTTTTCACTATCTTTGGCTGCAGTGTATCATCTCTGGCTTGGTTTATGTCAAATCAAGAGATGAGTTTCGTCACCATTGGCCAGAGAGTTCTAGCAAGGCCGTTGAAGTATGTCGATGCTACAATTGAGGTCTCTCTGCAGTCAAAGCTTATGCATTGTCTCTTTATCCCTACTTGATGTTGTGCAGGGTGCGATTCCATTACGGGCATCCCGATGTGTTCGACCGAATTTTTCACATAACCCGTGGAGGCATCAGCAAGTCATCGAGGGGCATTAATCTCAGTGAAGATATATTTGCTGGTGAGATACATCTTAAACTCTCCCTCCCTATATATATATATATATATATACACACAGAATTCCCTTGTACGTATATGTTTCTAACACATTCTTAATTCATGGAGGCTTCAATTCAACGCTAAGGCAAGGAAATGTCACTCACCATGAATACATTCAAGTTGGGAAGGGCCGAGACGTTGGTCTCAACCAAATCTCACTCTTTGAAGCTAAAGTCGCATGCGGTAATGGGGAGCAGACGCTTAGCCGCGACATCTATCGTTTGGGCCATCGTTTCGACTTCTTCCGTATGCTATCTTGTTACTACACAACCACAGGGTTTTATGTGAGCTCAATGGTAATGTATTTCAAATTCGGGAAGTAAGAACATAGTTCAAGAATCTGCTATTATTCTTCAGCTAAACAATATTCGACAATGCTCTATGCAGATGGTGGTCCTTACAGTTTATGCATACCTGTACGGTAGGCTCTACCTTAGTCTGAGCGGAGTAGAGAAGGCAATAGTCCGGTTCGCCGACATGAAGGGCAACAACTCTCTGAAAACCGTCATGGCAACACAATCACTTGTTCAATTAGGTCTACTGACAGCATTGCCGATGATCATGCAGATCGGACTGGAAAGGGGCTTCAGAACTGCTGCTGTCGACGTGATTGTCATGCAGCTGCAACTCGCAGCTGTCTTCTTCACTTTCTCTCTCGGCACAAAGCTGCATTACTTTGGAAGGACAATACTGCATGGCGGAGCTCAATACAGAGCCACAGGGCGTGGCTTTGTCGTGAGGCATGAAAAGTTTGCTGAGAATTATCGGATGTACTCGAGAAGCCATTTCACTAAAGCTCTGGAGCTTATGGTTTTACTCGTAACGTATCAACTATTCAACTCGGTTGCTACCAACAGTGCAGCCTACATTCTCATCACCTGCTCCATGGGGTTTCTCGTCTTTTCTTGGCTGTTCGCTCCCTTCCTCTTCAACCCTTCTGGGTTCGAATGGCAGAAGATAGTTGAAGACTTTGAGGACTGGACTAAGTGGATGAACTCCAGGGGTGGTATTGGCGTTCCTGCATCCAAGAGTTGGGAGTCTTGGTGGGAGGAGGGGCAGAGCCATCTCGCCTCCACGGGATTCCTCGGCCGGCTCACGGAAGTAATCCTCGCTCTCCGCTTATTTGTATACCAGTATGGAATCGTATATCACCTTCATGTGATGCAGAACGACAAGAGTATCGCGGTGAGCATACAGGGAAACCATTGATCGGTTCATAGACAGCATTCGTTTATTTTCTAACACTTGCCTTGCACATTCTTTGGTTCCTGCAGGTTTACGCTCTGTCTTGGTTCGTCATCGTTGCTGTCATGATCATTCTCAAGGTTAACGATGTCGACAATCTGCTCTCATTTCTTACAGCAGTGTATCTTTGTGCTAAACTTACACGACTCTTACATTCTCATCTCTCTTGCAGATTGTATCGATGGGAAGACAGAAGCTGAACTCCGATTTCCAGCTGATTTTCAGGCTATTGAAGCTCTTCCTGTTTATTGCCTCTGTCGCGACGATCATCATCTGCATTAACTTCGCAGATCTCACCGTGGGCGACATATTCGTCAGTTTATTAGGGTTCTTGCCAACAGGATGGGCGCTGCTGCAGATTGCACAAGCGTGCAGAAAAACAGTGAAGGCAATGGGAATGTGGGACTCTGTTAAATCCCTCGCAAAAGCGTACGAGTACATCATGTGTATAGCGATCTTCGCTCCTGTCGCGACCCTCGCATGGTTCCCTTTCGTCAACGAGTTCCAAACCCGGCTGCTCTTCAATCAGGCATTCAGCCGAGGCTTGCAAATTCAGCGTATCCTGGCCGGTGGGAAGAAAAACAAGTGAGACATCTGAATCGTACCGTAGACTCTTTTGCATAGAACTACAAATTCCTCGCAGATACCGTGGCAGATGAACAGGTAACACGAGATGGCGCAGAATATAAGAGACGACGCGACGCAATGCAATGCCGTGAGCGTAAAACCTTTTATGTAGAGAACAAATGCCATCGTAGCGCAGTCCTCAGGGAAATTGAGATCTGCACATTTTGTAAAGTTATGAGAGTATATATGCAGATGTTGCTGTCCTATGTAATCTCGGCTCAACGATTACTCGATGCCTAACAGATGAAATTTTCAGATGACGAAGAACAGAGTAGGAACAGCACAAAAGAGCCTCAAAGCTTCACCTTACATTACCGGAGATGTTTTCGACAGTAATCTACAGTTTAATCGCTCGGCAGCAGAATTGTGTTACCTGGATACGCCGGTGAGAGTTTCTGAGCGTCCGAGGAATGATCTGCGCCACCAAATCGAGAATGCTTTGCTGAGATTAGGGGATTCGGTTCCGTGCCTGGAGAAATAATGGAACCACTCCATAAACATCGGACACTGCTCGTGGATGGGAAGCGTAAGCAGCGCTTGCCCCATGGCTTCCTCCAAGGCCTTCATGTCTAGCACCTTTCTACACCTGTGTAGCCAACTGAAATCCGAGAGCATTGGTCGAAACCATGCCTGGAGAAGCGCTAGCCTCGTCCCGGATGGGCAGTGAAGTTTCCCGGCGCCCATTGCAATGAAAAGTGTTGCTGAGACTCGACTAATCTCGTACCTCACCATTGGAGACGTATTCTCGTGCATCTTGAGCAGCTCCTTTTGATCTGCCCAAAGCACGACAAAATCCTCCGCCATTTGGTGATAGAAAAGGATATCGAACAGCCAGTTTAAGTTGTCTACCTCCTTCGAGATGCGCTCTAAGAGAGTTTTGTTGCTATCCGTCTTTGCAATCGCCTGTCGTTCATCATTTCCGGTGGCCTCCTCGAACAGACAGTTTAGAGAACCTAGACATGACCTGCAGACCGCGAATATGTCCTCCTTCATATCCGGATAGTCTGTTTCGTTGAGGGAGGTTTCGGATAAGAGGCTTTTGATCAAAGACTTCAGCTCGCTCCTGGCGTAGGAATCGGTGCAGGTGGTGATCGATGAAATGAGATGTTTAGTCAATGTTTGTTGCGAATCCATCGAGTTGCGGGCGAAGAGTCGGTCGGAGATGCCTGTCGTTAAGGCGTAGTCGAGCCTGAGTTTTGCGATCGATTCCTTTAGCTTCTGCTCTTCCTCTTCAGTCCATGGCATTGATTCGAGATACTTTAAACACGATGAAACTCCCCGGTCGAACTTGATCCCAGCCGACACCTGAATTCATTCGATAGTTTTCGAGAGGAATCAGAGTTCTTTACATAACTAATCAGGCAAGAAACAGCATTCCATTGGCTAAATCAACCAAGAATGATCAAAAACAGAGTCATATGAATGAGGAAGAGAGAATACAGAGAAGAATACCTCGAGCATATTAATGGCGCCAGGAACTCCAGTCTTAAGAAGCTGCTTTGGATCGTCGTCCTCAAACATGAGCTTGATTGTCTCACTGAACACGCCTAAATTCTCCACCTCCGGCACGTCGATCGCGCAGACGCCGCCTGCGCCGGAGCTCCGGCGATGATAGGCGATCAAGTTCGCGAAAACGCCACTGTTCGCCGTTAACACTTCCGAATTCACCTCCAGAATCAACTTTTTCCCATTTTTCCCCACCAGATTCAATCTCACATCAAAAACCGCCGAACTACTCTCCTCTTCCACGCTCGACTCCGAATCACCTTCCGCCGGCGGCGATTCCGGCTGTTCTCCGCTCTGAAACGGCGGCGGCGGAAGCAGAGAATTAATCGCAATCACCGGTTGGTCGGAGATCGGGGAAACCCTACCCGGCGAAAGGATCCCGCGGGTGCGAGGCAGCTTCTGGTGGTGCTCCGCCTTAGGGGACGCAATTTCACTCTTCTTATCACACGAGGCCGTTTGTGAACGTAGGGAGTTAGCGTGCGAGAGAGCGCCGTTATCCGGCGGAGCAGCCAAGGAACAGCACCACCAGCGGCGGCGGCGCCGCCGCTGCTTCGAACCCATCATCTTGATGAGCGTAAGCAAAGGACTATGATCACCATAATTAAATCAAGAAATTTGTGTGGCCAAGAAAATATCTATAATTAGGGTGGGCAAAAGAATGAGATCGAATACCGTAGGCAAGCAAATTCGATTTGAATACAATAATGCATATTTGAATTTGATATTGGTTCAATTTGATTTTAATTTTTAATATTCTTTTTGTTTATTTAACCGAACCTAAGTATATTAGAGATTCAAATATTTGAAATATTTACAAATATTTTTATTTAATCAAAATTTAAATTATTTTTTAATATATATAATTTTAGTTTCGATTCAATTTGAATTATTTGTAAATATTTTTTGGTTAACCCAAATTTTCAATTTGAATACACTACTAAATTTCGGGTATCCGTGCCCACCCCAAACTATAATAAAATGTTCATATATTAATAAATAAATATATATGAAAAGTTAAAAAGAAAGAACTCAACTACCCAATTTAAAGGCATCAACAAATAAGCCTAAGCAGACTCCAGCTTTCCAGTAGTTTATCATCACCACAAGACTCTGCAATCTCCCCTTAGAGATGGGCCTTCTGTACATGAGCATACCTATGCCTTCAATGGCGGCAACTACGATTCCGGCGACGAGTACGTCCCAGTCGCCCGTCTGCCCGAGTATCGTGGCGAGAGCATTCGCCGTGTAGAACCCCAGCAGTAGGAGGAACACCTTCATGGGAAAGTTCTTCCTAGCAGAGTTCAGTTTGCTAAGTAGCTGCCTTCCACCTGCGCCGGCAATCCTTCCCAAACGAGTACCGCCAAGAAAGGCGTTGTTTTCGTTTAAGTTGCCTTGATCATTGTTGGTTGTGAATCCGTCGGTGTTCAAAGCCAACGCTACGCCTGAGGATCTGTTTCTGGCACAGAATTGAGCATGATCGGAAATTAAAGAATTGAAGTAATGGTCATTCGACAAAGTTAGGAATTTTACCGGTTTCTGGAAATAGGTAACTCAAGTTTTTCCCTTTGTCTTGAGAAGTTCGGTGTGTAGTTAAAATTCAGAGTGCGGCAACAATGTCTTACAAGCACAGCTGATCTCCCGCATCTTTGGATAGGAAAATGAGGTGTAGAATGTAACAGTAATATATCCATTGGGCAAAGCATCAAGCCATCGACAGAATATTGCATATATAGGAAGCCTGTGAGACTGAAGAACCAAGGAAAAGAAGTCGGGCCGAAAATAGATAAGACCGATCTTATGGGAAAAAAAGAACTTCATATCACAAGAGTGAATTGTGTAAAGTTTCAAAGTGTAACGGTGTCATCTAGAATCACGGAAAAGATAAGATATTACGACCCGAAATAGAGACCCAACCAGGCAGCAAATAATGAATTCAGAGACACACATCATAGTATAAATGTTTTAATAGCAAATCCAGCATCTTTGAGCAACCTATCTAAACGTCGCATTGGTAAAACGAAGACACTAACAGTGCTTTATCATTATGATGTTACAAGATGTAGAGACGGGTAGCTAATGCAGAGTAACTCGCTTAATGAATCCATACATCACAATGACAATTTGGTGAAAGATAAGCATACGAAAAATATGGACAATAACGACGCCTCAATTTGATTTAACGCTAACACATATCACGAGGAGATTCTTACTGTCTCCTTGGGGATTCACTGCTGGATTGCAACAACATTGACATTTAGACTCGGCCGTCATCTAAAAGACTAAATGAAGGATAATGTTAATGCTAATCCATTTAGGTTACCGACTTCCAAGTGTCGGAATTTTCCGGAGATGCATTATATTTCAATGGATAAATAAGCATCTACTCTGATCAATACAAGTGGTTGTGATTTCATTCACAGATTACAGCAGAGAAATGCGTTGAACAACAACAGCAGCAGCACGATCATTGTTATTTAAATGTCTATCGAAATCATTATAATCCAAATGCATTTTCAAGTGAGGAATTGGGGAAAAATACATTTGAGCTAAAACAGCAATCTCAAATCAGTAGCTACTGGAATTAGGGCAGATGATTCTCACATATTGTATGTAGATTAAGTATCAGCTGAGGAACATTTACAAGAAAGACCATCACAACGACTTGCCAAGTTTCGTTAAATGCGAAGAATAAACTAACCCTATCGTGGATAGAAAGTCAAATAGGTAGCGCGACAACTACCGAACGTCTTACATGACGACGGCTAAATAATCAAATCAGATTGAGGATTAGATTTCAGATGCTCACCAGCAGGAGGATTATTCAAGCTATCAGCGCTGTGGTCACACATTCCAGTCTCAACTCTATGCAGGGTTCCCGACGCCTGCTTCCGCGCAATCCAATTCCTGCTGAAACTTTAATTTGGGGATAGAGGAAGGGAAAGCTTGGAGGTCCGGCGGGTATGATGGCGGGTATCGTCGGGACGATTGGAGGATGAGGCGCCGGCGGCGAGAGAGTGAGGAAGAAGAATGGCCGCACAAAATCCCATTTTATCCCAATCCTAATTTTTATTCATTTTTGTATTTTACTTTTCATTTTATTCAATAAAAATATTTATTTAACTTCAATAATAATAATAACAAATACTATGCAAATTCATTTTATATGCGTAAGCTTAAAAATCGTCATATTCAATCGGTTGAAGATATGCAAAAGCATTTACAAAAAAAGTTTTAGATAGAGTAAAAAATAAAAAATAAAAAATGAACAATTTCAATAAGAATACACTCTTTGGGTAAAAATATTGAAGATAGGCTCCCATTGGGAGTTTTGGAAATTTGAATATAATAAAAAAAAAAAAATATTTGATTCGATATTTTTAAAAGATTAATATGCTAAAGTTTTAAATATATTGTGTAAACAAAATTTATGAATCTATTATTAATGTATAACTTATAAACGAATCTAGTACTGTTGGGTGCACTCATCAAAAGTATGTTGTTGATAAATTCTGAATCATTCAAAAATTATAAATAACAATCGAATGGTTTAGATTGAAGATAAGTAAAATCTTCTTTTTTAGTTTAAGAAGTTATGAATTTTGAAAATTTATGGAGTTTGCATATGTATTCGATGTTGAAATATATCAAACAATATGCTTGATATTTTTACTATAAAATGATTTTTTTTATAAATAATAAATGTTGAGTCTTTAAACTCATTGGTGTTGTATAATATAATATAAAATGTTTACATATGTATAGGTAAATGTTGAAATGAAGTAAACGAAATATTAATTTATTTTATTTAATAGTAATTTCAATATTATAAGTTAATTATGATTGCTAATATGATTTCACTATAGACGAGTTCTAATAGTTTAGTTAATATCTAAATTTTGAAACATTATGAAAATAATTATATTACCACAATTATATAATTATTATCCAAATTTAACTAAAGATGTCATAATTCAATCCAATAAATTTAATGCAATAAATTGCATAAGGTCATAAGGTATTTACTCTGATTTTGTAAATTTCGTTGCATGCATGTCAATCTATAAATTTGTATATTTTCAAAGTTGAAATATGTCAAACAATATGTTGGATGTTTTATTATAAAATATTTTTTCATAAATAATAAGATGTTCTGTATTTAAGTTTAAAATTAAAATAACTAAATAATTTAATTTAAAATAATAAAATTATAAATTATACTTCCTCTGTCCCAAACAACATTTCATTTTTGTATGTTTCAAACACCCTGCACCACACTTTATCCCCTCACATCATTCAAATAAAAAATAAAATATATATTTATCTCTCTATCACATCACCTAATTTCTAAATTATCCTATTTAATACTACTCACCTAAAAATCCGTGCCAAAAACAAATGTTGCATCTTGTTTGAGACGAAAGAAGTAATATTCAAGATGTAATTTACATATATAATCATTTTTTCCAAAGAAAGAAATGAACAGATAACATAGAATATACGGACATGAAAAGAATAATATTCCACCCGTTCGTGCAAAACTATTATATTTACTTTTGATACAAATATTAAAAAATATTGTATCATAATGATAGTTGATGGGTTTTTAGGTTAAAAAGATAAATTTGTCTTTTAATTTATTTATAATGAAATAATATTTATGTAAATAAATATAATTGAAAATATATTTGTAACAAATAATAAAATAAATAGTTATTGAAAAGAATATATAACTCTTATAAATAGATATAAAAGAATAAAAAATATAACTCTTATAGCACGATAGAAGAATTACTTGGATTGAGACAAAGGTAATAATAATAATAATAAAATTATTCTCTCTATTCAAATAAAAATTTATTTTAATATAATAACAAGGTAAGTCACGTGAATCTGAAGATGTTAGGATTTGAACTCATTACCTTACAGTCATGATGTATTTCTTCGGGGACTATATCAAATTATCTTTACTCCACAACAAAATTGTTTTGGTTGGAAAAAAATAAAAAGAAAAAAAGAAAAATCAATCAACGGTCAAGACACGCAATCACTTTTGTCAAATTTAATTAGTGCTTTTGTATAATATTACTCCATTTTCTATATTTTTGCGGGTACGGTTGCAGTGAAATTTCGGTCACCCACCAGAAAAGATTCGCCACCAATACCATATCGAAACCCAAAGGCCCACCAATTATTACACAAATCAAAAATCAAAATCGTAATCAAACCAAATATATTTACTACTACTACTCTTAATTAATTAATTAATTAAGAAAATGATTAGATATCAATTGGGCCGACCAACGAATAAAAGAAAAGAGACAGAAAGAAAATCAGAAATGTCGCAAAATTGAAAATGGCTGCGTGTCGGGCCACAATTGGCGGCGCCGTAACACGTAATCTCTTCCAAATCAGTTAACATTCCCTTTTTAGCAACCCTATCGCTGAATATCCGTGGGCCCAGTTTCCGAACCTGACTCCCGACCACCACCGCCCGCCACGTGTCGGCCTGGAGTCCCACGCACTCAAGGCATCCTCCCGCCACGTCTGGGTTACGTGGAGCCCCGTCTCAACTCCCCCCCACCCCACCCCACCCCACCCCACCCCACCCATGGATTATTTAATTAATTTAATTTGGAATGATTAATTTCTCACGTATATATGTGTGTGTATTGTCCTAGGTTGTCTCTCTATCAATCAGTTTATTTTTACAGACATACAGACATACAATATATATATCTCTCTAGAGAGAGAGAGAGGATTAGCATTTAGCAATGGAGAGGATGAAGAGACAGTCGTCTATAGAGAAAGAACCTCGTACACTTAGTCTTCATCAAATCGAGTTTGCTAGGGTAAATAATTATATTGCTACCTTACATATACTGATATACATACAGACCCTAATTTCCTCTCTCTCTCTCTCTCTCTCTCTCTCTATATATATATATATATATATGTATGTATGTGTATGTGTATATACAGGAGGCAGCGCTGTGTGTGGTGAACACCAGAAGTATTGAAGAAGCTCTTAGAATCTTCACTGAGGTACACACTCTGTGTATATATATATATATATATATAAATCTTTTTATAGTAGCTAAAGTGTTTTGGAAACAATAAGAAGTGTTTCTGGAAAACTAGTTTATATATATATATATATAGACACACGCGAGAAATAATGTAGTCTCTCCTCTTCGTCTCAAACACCGTGCAGTGAATTTGAGAAAAAAAAAAAAAAATTGCAGGATCTTTGAAAATGAAAAGAGTACTTTTTATTGAAAGATATAATTTTATTATTAATTTTTTAAAATGATCTATTCAATAGACCGTAGCTAAACATTTGGGGGATTTATTGATGTTAAACATTAGCAAATGAGCCTCGTTCAAATTATAATCAATTTTAAAATAAAGATCACACAAATCACAAATTTGTGTTGTAATTTTTTAATTTAGCATATTCGAAAGTACATAAACAATATAAATTTGTATTTAATGCAATATATTTTAGTGTTTAATAAAAGTATGTAATTGCGCGATATGAATATATTATTTGTACTGAATTAATTATAATATATTTTAGTGTTTAATAAAAGTATGTTTCCTTTATTGTCTGTACATTGATTTTCTTCATATATATATATTCTTAATCTCAATGGCAATTGAATAATTTCTTTGGACTTTAAATAATGCCCCATAATTAATACATATATATGTATGTATGTATGTATTTATTTGATTAATTGACGTTTTGGCTATGAACTAATTAATTTTGCAAATTAAAACTACTACTATATATATATATATATATAGGGACTTGAACCGGTGGAGAGGTGTGCAGTGAGCAGCGGTCCGACCGGCGGCAATGAAGAGCCAGATTATGTCATTGTTAATAATGATGACGTAGAGAGGTTTCCATCCGGTCTAAGAGACATCGTTTCTGCACCCTTCTGAGATTTTATACACCTATACATACATATATATATATATAATGTGTGTGTATATATGTTATCTGTATATATATATATATATGATGTGTACCTGTGCCTGTGTGTATGGTGGAAGATGACCGGGAAGTTTTGCTACGTGGGCTTTTTTCCTTGGTGATGAAATAATTTTAATTACAAAAATTACCTGGGTTTTCAAGAAAATAGTGAATTACCTGGGTTTTCAAGAAAATAGTGAATTTGAATCAATTAATTAGTTACTCGAGAGATTATTGTCGCCAAAAGAATAATATATATTATATGATATTAAAAATTAAATGTTTAAATTAAATTAAATATTATGTATTTTGAAAAAAAAAATTTTTTCAATAAAATAAATATTTCCTCCGTCCCACATAATTGATTCCTATTTTTTATTTTTGTCCGTTCACATAACTTGAAATATAATTATAATTTTAAAATTTATAATTTTCTTAATTTTAATTAAATTATTTACTTATTTTAACCTTAATCTATAATTATTTTTACTAAATAATAATTATTTTTACTAATACATTTTTTAATTACTTATTAATTATACTTTACCTAAATTCTCGTATCTACGGTAATACACCCATATTACATGAGACGGAGGGAGTATATGGTATTTAATTATACACACGTTAATGTTAATTTTGTAAAATAAATATCAATTATTAATGCAAAAATTTGCTTAAAATAAAGATATCGTGTGCATAAATAGAATCATAGTAAATTTGACAGCAAAATAAATAAATCTTGACAATAAAGATAATGATATAAAGATCGATGCGCCACGTAGCATCATTCAAAAAGGAAATTGAGGTCACCCCTCCCCTATCCATGACAAGTTTATTTGAGACACCGAAGTTACATTGATGATTCAAGCAAATGGGTAAATCTTTAGACTCTCTATGTATTGCTCTTCATGTTCTTTGTGTCCTTCGTTGAAAGTCACTGATTTGGATAAATGATATAATATTGGTTGACGAATCGATGGAATTAACGTTCTTCGTCGTATGCCCAAGTCGGAGGAAGGATTAAAGCTCCCAAAGCCGTTGAGGAATTCGTCAAGCCAAGGGAAGGTCTCCAAAGTTCCTCTCAAAGCTTCGAAATGTTCATCGCGTTCTTCAACAAAGCATCAACTAGACCCTCTTCGATCTAAGAGTCAAAGGGATACGCCGCCAAAAGTGTTATGAAACATCAAATCCACCTCTTCAAGGATCAAAGCTCCAAACGTCGTTAAAGAATCCATCAAAGTCAAGGAAAAACATCCAAAGTTCATCCTAAAGCTTCAAAGTATTCATCGCGTTCTTTACCAAAGCATCAACTCGGTCTTCTTTGATCCAAAAGTCAAAGAGACATGCCACTAAAAGCGTTATGGAGCACCAAATTTACCTCCTCAAAGATCAAAGCCACGGATCGTCTAAAGAAGACATCAAATTCAAAGCTGACAATCAAATTGTAAACATGGAGACCAAAATCCTCCGAAAGGCCGCAAATCCAAACCAAAGATCAAAGTCGCGGATCGTTCAAAGAAGACATCAAATCAAAAGTTGAGGATCAAATCGTCCGCACAGAGACCGAAACTCTTCAAAAGACAGAAAAACAAACCAAATATCAAAGCCGCGGATCGTCTAAAGAAGACATCAAATCCAAAGCCGACGATCAAATCGCCAGACGGAGATTGAAGTTCTCCAAAAGGTGGAAAAGACAAACTAAAGATCAAAGCCGCGGATCGTAAAAAAAGATATCAAATCCAAAGTTGACGATCAAATCGCCCACACGGAGACCGAAGTTTTCCAAAAGGCGGAAAAGGCAAACCAAATATCAAAGCTGCAGATCTTCCAAAGAAGACATCAAATCCAAAGTCGACGATCAAATCGTCCGTACGGAGACCAAAGCCCCCAAGTCCGGCAAAGTCAAACCGAAGGCCAAATCTCTTTGAATTTAAAAAGCCATCGAAAACCAAATTGAAAAACAAATTGACTCGGAAGGAGAATAAAATGACCAATTTAAAAAATATAAGCCCGCTTTAAATTTAAATTAAATATAATTTATACAAAAATAACACAATAATTTGTGTATATATATCCACGTGTGTGTTTGGTATTTTCTGAGAGAGAGAGGTTAGGTTATGTAGCATATAAAGGCGATTTGATGTTGATTTTTAATATTAATAATAATATTGAGTGGTGCAGTGCATAGTCAGAAATAAAGGCACGTAGCATGTAGTATAATTTTGATGTTCATGTTCATCAAAATAGCTTTATAATAAATTATGTCTTTAAAATTGGTATATAAATAAAATAAAATGATTTAAAAAATGGACCATTTCAAAATTTATATTGAAGACGATGATAATAAGAGCAAAGCATTTGTACTTCCCCTGTCCTATATAATTTATCTTTATTTTTTATTTTCGTTCGTCCCATATAATTTATCTTTTTCTTTTTTAAAAATATAATTATACACTTTAATTTCATTTTAAATTTTAAATTTTATAATTTTTTTAATTTTAATTAAACTATTTAGTTATTTTAATCTTAATCCACAATTATTTTTATTATACAATAATTATTTTTACTAATACACTTCTTAATTACTTAATGATCATACTTTATTTAAATTCTCGTATCTACGGTAATAGGCGGGACGGAGGGAGTAATATTGTAAAGTTTAAAAATATTTTAGTTGAAAAGAAATAATATATATATACTAAAAAAAAATCTGTGTCTCAATCTGGAAGATGCGATCCTACTGATGGAAACATTACATTACATTACACAAAAAAATAAAAATTGAAGCAGGGTCGTAGACACTAGGCAATTGGTACGGTGACGTGCATCACCCGCCATTCAATTAATTCATACTCACCAAAAACCATCATAATCATAATCATCAAATTTTGTTATTTTAAAATACGCTGCTGTTTTTATTTTGATTTAATTAGCACATTTATATAAAGTACTAGATATTAGTACAAAATACCTATTTTTACAGTATATTATTATACTATAATTTATATTATCGATTTTCAATCATATAATAAAGCACAATAACACCGAAAACAATCCGCCCTCAAAATAATACTCGGTATTATGTTCGGTTGGAATTTACCTGATTCGCATTTAAAAATATAAAATAGTAGGTTTCTTTCAATCTTGTATCATTTTCAATAAAAATATATATATATATATATTATTTTTTTCATAAAATATTTTAAAAATGGAAAATGAATGCCCAGTTGACTTCCCTGTCCGTAGTGTGTGCTCTTATTAAATGTTTGTTTCCGTAGTAATGTACATATTAAAAAACTCCTAAAATTTATTAAATTATAAATTTATTTGTAGTTTGTATTAAAATATTATATGAAATATTTATTTTGTATTCAAATTTTTACCAATTTACAAAATAATTTAAAACAACAAAATAGTTTTAAGGAAAACATATCTAAACATCTGAGCCCATCAAACATGTCTTCTCACACGCACACAATCAAAATCAACATAAGCATGTTCAGCATAGTGTTATCCAACATTTTCTACTATATTCAAAACAAGAAAATAATTCAAAATTTTCGTTTGATTTGAGTTTTTATTGTTTCCATCAAAACTATTATAAAGTCCACAAAAAAAAAAAAACATAAAAATAAAATAAAAAATCTTTTTTTTCCACAAAAAAACATTACACCAAAACACTATTACTGCACAAACCCATATACTTAAACTAAGAACCTTAAAAACCTGCACATCCCAGCATAACACACAAAGCTAAAATGCATATCCAAATCAACCCTCCACCATTTTATCTGATAAATCAATTTGAAAACTTAAAACCAGAGAAGCATTACAGACATATATTATTATGACTGCAAAGCAGATTCCATTACTACTACAGAAATGCTCATCACTGTAAATCATATATGGTAATGCCAGTTATGTGTAAAACATAATGACAGAATAATGAATGGGTTTCAATTGGATAAAGATGTAAGTTTGTATAAAGTAGTCAGTCTCATTGAAATAATAATAAGCTAAAATCAAATGGAAAGAAATCAAGACCAAATAAAGCAGATGATTATTCCTAAGCCATAGAGATACTTCCCATGAAACTGCCGAAGGCAGGTTGCACCGACAGCTGCGAGACCCCTCCATCATAAACAACAAAGCTTCGTTAGTGCATTCACCAGCTCTATGAGTCACCTCAGCCTTGATATGAATGGAGGAGCCACAAGTAGAAAATGAAAGTATAAGGTGCTCAGCAGCTGATGGTGTTCGAGCTGGAATGGAAGTCGTTAATCTTGATCTACATATTTTTATAAGTGTTCCTGGAAGTAATGTAGCGAAACAAATATAACATGAGATTGACACAGATAATGGTAACAGAAGCTTAAAAAAATGCAGAGAGTACCTGCAACATCCAATGAGGTAAACAAGAGGTTAACGCAACATCAACCAAGATTCCACATTTCCGTAACTTTCAATAACAGTACAGTCATAATCTAAATTTTGCACTTAGTTTCCCATAACTCACTGGATTTGAAATGATGATAGGATCTAGAACACACATAACTAGTAAATATGCCTTGTCAAAAGTAGAATCAGAGTTCGGAGAAGGGATTTTCTTAAAGACAAGCTTATTCCCTTCAGAGCTACAAATATCTGGCAGTTAATAAGCATGGATTATGATTTAAGGCTTGAATAGATCGTGAATAGACGTCCCACAAGAAGAATTATCATCAGTTATCAGCATATCTACCTCTTTCCATGCCTTCGAACTTAGCCCCATTCACCCATTGCCTTTGTATGGTGCCAAAATCAAATGCAGCATCGGATCCCATATGAAATTGATTGTTATCCTGAGTATCATAATATAATTGTCAAATAAAGGGATGCACTAAATGATCAGCAGTACAAAGAAGCATCTATAGATCATTCATCAATAAAATGAGTCGAATTATAGTGAGGCCTCACCAACTGTAGCATGTCCAAAACATTTTTATCTCTATAACATTCTTCATGCACTGCAGGAACAGCAACAGAGGTTCCTGAAGTCACATTTGCAATATTTTTAAACCTGTGCGGTCCAACTCTCTCGCCAATTGATGGCTGACCAGATCCAATTACTCCAGATGAGCAGTTCAAAGGGGTCAAAAGATCATTAATCTCTAAACAGGCTTGATCATCTACGGTAAGCATGCCACCAAAAGAATACTCATCATTCTGTGCTTCTAAGGAAACAAGCATGCCCTCGCTTGTATGAGCCCATCCATCCAGATGACAAAGATCATTGTATATACCATAAGCTTCAGGACTAGGTAAGGGGTTGTTCTTTCCTTCACTGTTTATATCCTGACAACGACAATCGGCTTCAGTATATGGTCAGGTCAATGGAAGGAAAACAGGGGATCTGAGAAGTAATCAGTGTCGGGATATTGAACAATAAAAGAAACATCCATTCTAATAGAAGTAATTGCAACTGGCAAGGAAATGCAAAAATGAACAACAAAAGAACAAAAGCAAATATTATAGCAAGGCCTCACCATCTGTAGCATGTCCAAAATCTTATCATCTCCACAACATTCTTCATGTAGTGCAGGAAGTGGCCGTGAGCAAGAAGCATACTGATTAACAGCAACAGAGGTTCCTGAATTCACATTTGTAATATTTTCATGGCACTGCAATCCAACCATCTCGCCTATTGATGCCTGACCAGATCCACTTACTCCAGCCGAGCAGTTCAATGGGGTCAAAAGATCATTAATCTCTATATAGGCTTGATCATCTATGGAAAGCATGCCGTCGAAAGAACACTCATCATTCTTCACTCCTAAGGTAACAAACTTACTCTCATTCGTTTGAGCCCCTCCATCCAGATCAAAATAATCACTGTATATACCATAAGCTTCAGGATTAGGTAGGGGGTTGTTCTTTCCTTTGCTGTTTAAATCATCCTGACAACAGAAACTTGCTTTAGCATATGACCAGATCAATGGAAGGCAAACAGGGTAATGACAGCTGACAAGTAATCAGTGTCAGAACTTTGAACAATAAAAGGAGAAATACATTTCTAATAGAATTAATTACAAGTAACAAGGAATTGTAAAAAAGGAAACAAAAGAACCAAGAGATCTACAGGAAACAGAACTTCCTCTTAGTAATATAGAATGGTGTTCTAATCCCATAATCTTCATCCTCCCTTCTATAAGGAACATACAAAATGAGAAGCACTGACATAAAGCACAGCATTACTTGATGCACATCTAACGAGAATACTTGAGGATACAAACATAAAACACACTTATGCCAGTTATAGGAACAAAACAGTTTCAGAAGTTTCAATATGCTTTTTACATAATCAAGAGCACAGAATCATAAAATTAGCAAATCAAGGTAGGCATGTCAATCGTATTAGGTCTAAATAGTTACCTGGAATGTTCCATTTTCATCGAACAGCAATATATCATCAGTAGATGTTGCTAAGTGATGAGAAGTTTCATCATTAGACTTATTCAGAACCACCTCATTAATTGGTCGACCAGCCAATGATGACGGGCCTTCTCCACTGTCAGTCAAAGGCAATGCAGATATACTTCCAGGAGTGAACAAGTCTGTTATGAGAGAACAGCTTCGCTTTTCTGACTGCATTAGTGTGGTAGGTGATAGAACATCAGATGTAGCTGGTATAGATCGGCTCTGACAATCATCTATGTCTTCATCAGACCATTCTTCTTCATTAAATGGGGCTCCATATTGTGCACCATTCATTGGGCCAAGACCAGCCTTCTTGAAAATCTTACAGATAACATATGTGTCCTACAATATAAGGGGAAAGAAGGGAAAGAATCAATATTCTTAAAGTAAATTGTGAAAGTTTGTTGGTCTGGGAACAGAATTGCATTTTTAACAGTAATGCAAACAGAGTTATGGATAGATAAATAAAGGCCTGCCATCTTCCAAAATTATGCTTCAAAACATCCCAACATCAGGTATTTTTTTCCAATCTAATATAAAATAAAGCATTACTCAATATTATGTAAAAAAATATATCTTCTTGTTTAGTTTATATAAAGTAATCATACAAGTATCTATAATTTAGTTTGTGTATGAATTTATAGCAATCATGTGTAAAACAACAATGGTCAAATTCTAAATATGAACATATAGCATCAATTTTCTCTGAAGTTGGTACTTCTTTTATTATGAAAACAATTGACACAATTAGGTATATGCGATCTTTTATTGTTACAATTTCGAAAGTATTTTACAATAAAGTAGATTGGTATCACCAAATACCTAAATGTGCCACGAACGGTGGGACAACACCATCTAATAAAATTGCTTAATATGAATTGAACCTTGTTTTAAAATCACAGCAGAGAGGTAAGAAAATATAGTAGCAAGATGACTTCCTGTGAAGGTAGTGTGTGCATGCATATTGGAAGATGAACTTTTTAACAAAATTTAATAGACAGTCGTCCCTTAGATTCCTTTGATGGAACTAAGATGCAAGTGTAAAAGGCACCTCATATAGATTTTATGTTGTAATCAATATCAAATTCCAGTACCAAACATGGGAAGCCAATACATTGCAGTGAAGATAAGCAACAAACAGCAAAACCTACAGTGGAACCCAGGTTGAAGAAGAATAAACTAGACAATCATAAATTATGTAAAGGTAGAAGTACCTGGATGCCATCAACAGCCAATTGGTCATCAAGGATCCTGAACTCATACATAACCCAATCAGTTCTTTTCCCTTGAGGGGCATGACCAAGATGAAAAATCAACGTCCTCACCATTCCAACAGTTCTATCATTAAAATTGATCGACCTGTCCTTTCCAGTAGTTTTCCAGAATCCCGTATCAGTAGCCCGTTTCACCCTAGCTCCGCTTGCATACTTCTTTGTTATCGGACAAAAGAAGTACCACTCCAGATCCTTACTCTTTAAGCAAGATTTGTCTGAAGCAAAATAGAACATTGTGTAGCTATAAATATCATTTCAATAAACTTATAGATGCTAATATGTGACAGGAAACAGGCATTTCTCCATATCATGATGCTCTATGGCCTGCATACCCAAGAAGCACTAGAGGTAACAGAAAACTTGTGAAATGGCTTGTAGAATCTCCCATTATCATTATGAGTGTAAAAAGTCACAAAAGTGGAGTAAAATCAATACAAGAAATAGCAGACCTGGAAGGTCCCATGGAGAGAATGTATAGATGTTGACTTCAGCAATGGCATCTGCGAAAAGCTTCTTTCCCATAATCTTCCTCTTGAGATAATACATAATCAGCTCAACATCAGTAGGATGAAATCGGAATCCAGGAGGGAAGGCTTTCATTCCGACAGGTATAATAGAATGCATCCAAATCCAACTCTAGGAAGCTTCCATCAATATTAGGTATTTCAAGGATAACTAAGCCCAGAACTATTTCTTTTTCCCAAGGTAAAAGCTAATAGTAATAGGAAAACAAAAGTTGAAGTTGAAGAGGAACACGCAAACAATATGCACACCACAGTTTCTACAACTTGCTAACGTCAAACTGCTCCCAACTTTCTCAAGTCCAGTGCCTAAACATAGCCTTCTTACAGCACCAAATCCTTACCCAGTCCATTACACAAAAAGCACACCAAACAAAACACAAATAATTCTTGATTGAAGCAAAAGACATCTGGTGTCCGATCCAAGTCCTGACATTTTAACAATTTCATGAGCCTTACAAAAAAAAATCACTTCAACAATATAGTGTGAGAAAAATTGTACTATGACTAATAAGACACAACAACTAAGCTAACGTAATTGGTTAGGAGTATGAAACAAGAACTGAACCAAAAATAGAACTTTCGTATTGGGAAATTTTTCTCAAGACTTAATATTTAGTAGATGATATAAATGTATGAAGATCGGTTAAAATAACGCATCACGAGACATGACCCAGGAAATCGCCCAAACAGCAAACAGGTAACTTCCAGAACGCAGAAGACCAAAGAAAAACTACAGTAACATTATACCCGGAAGAAATATAGACCATCGGCACACTACCCACCATCTCAAATCCTCCAACTCACTACCAACACCGCCACAAGGACACGAAGACCACCACACCACACATTCCGGAAAGAAAACCATTTCGACCAAATACAATACATCGAATTGCAACCCATTCTCCGATTTAAAAACCCTAGATTCATTACCTAAAAACCAGAGCAAAAAATTCTCCACATAACAGGAACTAAAAATCAATACAACAACAAACAACGATGAGTTTGAACATGTATGGGAAATGAAACGAGAAGCAGACTTTACTAACCGGAAACCCAAAATCAATATATCAACAAAAAAACGATGAGTTTGAAAGCAAAAATGTATGAGAAGCGAAACGTTGAACAGAACTTACTAACCGTGTATAGAGATTGGAGAGTGAAAATTACAGGAAATTCTGGGACAGTTGGAGAGACGAGCCCACATATATGGCGGCAGTAGAGTAGCGGATGTTCTAAAACTAAAAGCTTGGTGAGTAAGGTTGGATTCTCATTGGTTGGTTTACTTCTTGGAGACCCCACTCATACTGACCTGGCAATACCGCATGCACACTGATCATGTGTGTTTCTACAATGTATTATTATTATTATTATTATTTTATTTATTTATTTATTTATTTATTTTTTTATGTTAGATATTTCTCCTTTTTAACTATTTATTTATTTTGGGTGTGTATCTTTACAAATTTGAGTTTGATTTTGATTTTGATTTGAATTTTAAAGTGGGTTTAAATTTATGTGTTTTTTTTTTGTGTTTGAGTTGGGTTTTGAGAATTTTGATGTGTATTAATTTGATGGTAACAAATATAATTATATAAATGTGTAATAATTTATATAATTTGATATAAATTTACATATATATTTATAAATTTTTATTTATTTGTATTATAAAAGATTTATTTCTACAAAATTATATATATATTGTATATATTTTATTCCATTATAATTATTATAATTTATTTTATATTTATAATTTAAAAAATAATTTTTTTTACTGTGCAAACTTGAACGGTAAATTTGTCCAAATTTGGGCTGAAGAGACAGAGCTCAATTTTTTTATTTAGTCGTTTCAAAATAAAATATTTATTATTATTTTTTTAGTAATTTTAATGCCTACTTAATATTAAAATTATTTTTAAATTTATATTATTTTACAAATATATTATTATAATCAATTTTTACCATAGAGACACTGTGTTTTTACTTTTATTCTTATTGACTTTTATCAAATAAAAAGTAAACAGATAAATATGCACTATAAGAAATTATTAATTTTGTAACGAAATTTTTTTGTTTCTAAATTCACTTTTTCCGTTACTAACGATATTAGAGACGGAATTAGAGATGGAATTACGTTAGCTACGTGAACTTTAGGGACGGAATTCCGTTATAGATATACTATTTTTTTTAGTGATGGCGCGGAGGGAGTATAATAATTGTGTGGAAAGTGAAAAAACAAATACTATTTATAAGTTATAAAATATTATTTCCTCCGTCCTATTTAATTTGTTTGCTTTTTCTATATCCGTTCGTCCCAAGTAAATTCTTACTTTCCTTTTTTCCAAAAATATAATTAAATATTTTTCATCACATTTTAAAATTCATAATTTACAATTTTTATCTTAATTAAATTATTTTATCATGTTAATCTTATTCTGTAACTTCTTTTATTAATAAAATTTTTAATTACTTACTAATTTACATAATACTGAAAACTCCGTACTCAATTATCGTGGACAAGTTAGCTGGACAAAAAAAAATAATTTACATTAATCTACATACAAAAATAAAAAATAAAATAAATAAATAAATAAATAAATAAATAAAAGTATATAATTCTGGTAAGCAGATAATCAAAAATAAAAAAAGTAACCCTAATTGAAGAATTCCGTAAATAGAAATATTAATAGTAATACTCCCTCTGTCCCATTTAACATTAAAAATATATTATATTTGTATAATTTTTTTATTAATATTTTCTTCTCAATTATAAGACATTCATGAAAGTATTTTTGCAATTTTTTTTTACTACATTTGATATCATAATTAATTATTCAAATATCAACACGCAAAAAAATATATTGGAGAGTGAAAAGGAAGTAATATTTCGTATTAAATTATTAATTTATTTTTTAAGTATATATAATACCCCCTCCGTCTATTTTTTTTTAGTTTTTTTTGTTATAAAATGATAAATTTATATTTTATTTTGTGTATAGAAAAAAAAAAAGACAAAAGAGTAAATTATCTGTATAAAAAAAAAACAATTATTGAATATTTCAAATAAAAAAATAGAACACTAGTTTGTAGACAGATAAAGTATATAATGTATATATATATATATATTTTTAATACTAATATTTATAAAATATTATTTAAAAATACTAAAAGTGTCTAGCATGATTCGTTGATTCGCGTTGAGTTGTAGAGCAAGAAGTGCTGTGTGTTGATCTCATAATAGAATCCATCGGACATGGAAGCATCTGCAGAGAATATCATTGCCCCGTTAACGACAAATCCATTGTCCTCCAACATCCTCAGCGCTACGAAGAACTCGTCTCCTTGAATCCCTCGCCCATTCACCTCGTAGCTCGCCAGAACCTTACCCTTCCGGCCGCCGCCGAACTCCGCCGTCCGGTTCTGGAACACCACCAAATACTCCGCCGCCCGCCGCACCTTGTCCGTATAAAATTGATAATTCACGTAGTCTATTACATCCTCGTACCCCTCGTAAAGCTCCGTGTACGGCCCCACCGTCGTGTAGAACGGCGCGATTGTCGCCACCGTGATTACACTCTGATTCTTCAGCATCGTTATCAGCTCCCCGATGCAGTACGCGAAATCGCCGCCGCCGGCGGTGGCGTTTTGGTTTTTCCGAGGGAATCTTTCGTAGTCGATGTCAATGCCGTCGAGGTTGTATGTCTGGATGAGTGATTTGAGGGATTGGAAGGCGTTGGAGATCCAGAGCTGGGCGTCGGCAGGGTCGTACCAGGAGAGGGTTTTTCCGGCGAGGCTCCAGCCGGAGAGACTGGCCAGGGCTTTCACGTTGGGGCGGAGTGATTTGACGGCGGAGACGGCGGCCGGAGTTAGGGTATCCGACCAGTATGGCGAGAAGACGCCGTTTTGAGGGTTTCCGGCGGGGTCGGCGTCGATGGCGAAGCTTAGGAGGAAGTGGAAGTCGATTGCCGGGTCGACGGGGACGGCGGCGATCTTCACCGGCGCTCCGGTGGCTCCGATGTATTCCATCATCACCTTTGCCTTCGTTTTCCCATCTAAAAAAAACATAAATTCAATTTTGTTGTTAAATTTAAATTTAACACTCTGCTAAACAACACTCTATAATAATAACAATACTATGTATACTTGTGATAACATATTATTTATATTAATATAATGCAAATACAACTCATAAATTAATAATACATCATATAATAATAAATAACATATTGTATTACTTCTGGCAACATATTCTTTATATTAATATATACAACACACGTTATAAATTAGTAATCACATACAACAGTTTGAACAAATATCCCATGCTTTTATTACGCACAATATGTGTGTAATAACAACATGTGAAGTTTATATATATATATATATATATTAATTTGAAAATTCATTATCGTACTAAAATTTTTAAATCAACATCTTAATGTTTCCCATTTAATATATATGTATATGTATGTATATATAAAAAATTGAATCATGAAATTTTATGCAATAATACTCACCACAAATTTGCAGGCGATGAAGGAAGAAACCGATAGTGAAGAGCAGAAAAAGGAATCGATGATGTCTCGGCATTCTGCTTTAACTAATTAATTTTCTCAATCTTTATATATATGGAGAAATACTTATAATAATAAGATTGAATATTCATTGGAAATTTCAAGACAAGACAAGATTCTTGTTATGAAGGCCAATGATTGTATATGAACTCAATCTGATTTTAACGAAGCATCAACGACGGCTACTGTACACATCTATGTCAGTTACTACAAAATGGCTTTTAATTTTTTGTTTTTTCGATGAACACCATGCGTGTGCTTGGTTGTTTCGTTTTTTGTGGTCGGCTTTCACTACTAGAAAAAGATTGATAATTGCGGAAATTTGTCGCAAATTTAATCCGTGACAATTAAAAATTACGGAAAGTAATTTTATGACAAATTTATGTCACGATTTTTTGTTTTGACTATTCCGTAAGTAATATTTGCAGAAAAAGCTACAAACAACTTTCTGTGACTATTTAAAGTAGCAGTTTAAGTAACGAAAATGTCCAAGATATTTCTATTCCGTGTCTTTTGACTATTTTGTCACAAAAATTGTCACAAAATTTTTTCTTAACTATTTTAAGTTGCAGCAAAAATAACCAAAATATTTTCAACATTTTAAATTATTATAGATATTGTCGTAGTATAATTTTCGTGACTTTGTAAAATCAAATGTCACAACATAAGTAACGAAAAGAACTATAATTTTTTTTTATTGTTCGTAGTTATTCAAAGTTAATAAAAAAATAATAAAATCATCATCAATATCTTTATTCAATATCGTTAGTAGCTATTCAATTTTTTGTTAAAAATTCACGATGATATATTAAATAAATATGTATATATTTTTAAAAGATAAATTTATAATCAATAATATTTATATAGTTAAAATATAATAACAAATAAAAAATAATAAGGTCACTAGTTCGAAACCCTAAACCCTATATATTATAATTATATTTTTTTTTCAAAAATATAAAATCACGGAATTGTTACAGTTTTCGTTAATATAAAGTCACAGAGGTGTAATGGTATTATTTTGTAACTTAATGTCACGAAAATGTCACAATTATAAAATATTCACGAAATTTTGTTGCAGCTTGCTATATAAAGTCGCGGACATGTCAGGGTATTATTCTATAACTTATTGTCACAGAAATATAATCACTTAAAAAAAGTCACTAGCAAAATTTCACGGAAATGGTTCCGTATATTTTTCCTTGATTTTTTAGTAAAAAGTCACCAATTTGTATTAAAACCGTGACTTTTTTTACCGCAATTATAGCCTAATTTTCTGGTAATGTTTTACTAGTATTTTATTATTCTATACGCAAGGTTGGACGATTTTTAGGATCTACTCCCTCCGTCCTAGAAGAAATGTGAGTTGGAACGGGAATTAAGTAATAATAGTATTTAATTGAAGTGAGTATAAAGTAGGATGTAAAAGACTATAATGCCCTTGATTTTTGAAGGATTTTAAAAAATAGATTAGAGTAATAATTAGGAGTAGTTTGGAAAAGTATGAATAATTTTGTTATAAAATGGGGACCAAAGTTACTAAGTAAGGAAACAAGACAATTGATTTGGGATGGAGGAAGTATTTCTTTAAAATTAATTATTTGTTTTGTGTTTTTTTATGAATATATATTCTTATGTTAGAAATGTTAATAATATAAATAATAATAATAATTTATATTGAATTTTAATTTTTTTTAATAAATAATATATATATTACTATGTCCGTCCGGCTATGGTCTCATTTACTTGCTTCATAGTGATTTTTTAATATTAATTATTATATGAAAATATAATACAAATTAAGAAACAATGACAGAAATATTTTTATTAGTGTCATATAATACTATTATAATGATATTTGAGCAAAAATTTATACAAATATAAGAATATTTTTAATATTAAATACATCAACGCAAAAGGTAAATGAAACTCCCAGAATTCATAATATTCATAAAAAATCGTATAAATGGACTGGTTACCTAAATGAAATAACTAATAGGAGTAGAGGACACAAATGACTGGCGAAACCTGATTTACTTATTTATTTATTTTTTTTATAATTTGGGAATACTGGTAAATTATGTGTGACAAGTGGGTCTGCAAAAAACATCGATAATTTACTTGCTTTTCCTATGCAATTTAGCGGTCCAAAAGGATTTTTTTCAAATACTATTTGCAATATATAAATTTTAGAAAGTAATTAATCTAATTAAAATCTCATTTAATAACAAATTTTACATTATAAGTTAATCTACACCCAATTAATGTTAACAATGCACTTAACATTTAAATGGAACAAACGATATATAAAAAACCAATTTGATTTCAATATCAGCACAATACCAGCAACCTTACATAAACACTTTACATTAAAAAATTTATCCATAAATATAACCGTATATAATGTTAGCCATATTTATTTCTAATTTTATATTCCTCATATGATCATCGTATCTTCTTCTTCTTCCCGCAGTCAAACCCTGAATGCGATAAGGTCAACGTCAATGTCTTCAGGAACTCTCCTCCCCGCCGGAAATCTCGGAAGCAAGTCAGCCATTTGCTTCGCAAATTCCAAATACCCCGCGTAATCCCTAACCGCCGCCGCCGCCGAATCTTCTTGCTTAATTTCCAGACAGCTGTCATTATTCCGGCCCACGTTGACAATGTCGGCAAAGGTCAATCCGTTGACCTTATCCTGAAGCGCATTCTTCTTGAATGTCCAAACACCCTTCCGCCAGCTGAAATGGTAGAGCGGCAGAAACCGCTGCCCGTAGAGGGCAACAAATTCGATTCCGGCGAGTATGAACTCGACCTCTTCCTCGGACATGTAGTACGGAAAGCTGACTCTGGTCCACCCGGGCTTCACGCCATTGTAGCCTTTTTTAATGGCAGATCGAATTTCGAGAGAGCGGCGCCGGTCAATGCCGAGGAGGGCGTGTCCGTACGGGCCGGCGCAGGCGCATCCGCCACGAGCCTGGATGCCGAAGAGGTCGTTGAGAAGCTTGGCCACGAACCGGCCGTCGAGCGGCTTGCCGGCGACGACTTCTCCGGCGGCGTCATCCCGCCATAGGTCGAGTTGCGGCGGCGGCGCCGGAATATGGGAATTGGGTCTGGATGTTGTGTGGATTAGAAAAGATAGGATTGGTTGTCTTTTCACCGCGGCGGCGTTCCCGAGGATTTTGATTTTAGGGTTTTGGATGAGTCTTGTGAATGCTTTTTTGAGGTGGATTTGTTCGATTTTGTGGATAGTGTTGTGGCCGATTAATCCCTTCACCCAAAAGGCTAATGCTGCCCGGATTTTTTGGATGATCGGGGGAGTTCCTGAGTCTTCTCTCCCTTCCACGTCATCCACGTATATTGTGTCCTGAATTTGAACATTTGTTAGGTCTACTTTTTTGGCTGTGGGTGGATGTTGGTATGGCTACGTTAAGGCCAAGCTAGGGTTAGTTATGGTGCCTTTAAATGGCATTGATTATGTGTCTAGAAGATATATATACATGTATAAATTGGAAATTTTAATTTAAGCCTGTTGAAGCCTACTCTATGTTTAGGGTTTTTAAGTTATATATATATATTTACAGTGGTTTTTTTTAAAAAAAAATATGTCGTTGAATATATATATATACATTTTATTAAATTTATGTAAAACTCTCTAAATTTGGGGTACATGATCTTACCTCCTCGTTGAAGCCGTTGACATAATCGACGGTCCCGCCGCCACAAGTTGAGGGCGGCGCGGCGCCGAGTCGGTAAAGAGCCTTGCTCATTAAAAGTATCCCCGGCGTGCCGGGACCTCCCACGAACTTATGCGGGCTCAGGAAGATCGCATCGTAGCCGTCCATTTCGCCGGATCTCATCTCTATCTTCTCGTAAGGTCCACTGTACGTACATGTACTCAACAGTCAGTCCTATCTATTGGTTGATAATTTGTATATAAATATATGCATGATACATTAGAGTGAGACAGTTATTTATTTCATCTAAAATGGTCAATTAATTTATATATGTGGATAGTGATTCGATTAAATCCTTCTTCCTTACCTCGCCGCATAGTCAAAACACACAAAACCGCCGAACTGGTGGAGCAGCCGCGCTACTGCCCTCGTGTCCGTACAGATTCCGGTGACGTTGCTGCAGGCCGAGAACGACCCCAGAATGGGGCGTTTCTGCGACCGGTAGAGCTCGAGATTCTCCCTGAGGGAGTCCATGTCGAGGAGGCCGCGGCGGTCGAGGCCGATCTCCACCACTTCCGCCAGGCTTCGCCGCCATGAGAGGATGTTGGAGTGGTGCTCGTAGGGGCCCACGAAAACGACCCACCGTTCCTGGGCGGACAGACATTTGAGAACCCTGTCCCGGAGAATCGACGGGATGGCGACGCCGATCACCTCCTGGAGGCGCTTGATGGCGGCGGTGGTGCCTGAACCGCAGAAAATAATGGCGTCGCCGCCGCCGCCGCCTAAGCATTTCTTGACGTAGCTTGATGCCTCCTCCGCCATTCTCGTCGTCTTCGAACCCGTCTCGCTGTCGCTCGTGTGACTGTTGCCTGTCCACACGTGCGTAAGAATAATAATAATTAATTAATTAATTATATATCTTAATAATAATCCTTTTCTACTCAAAATTATTCGAATAATGGTGTAAATAAAATAATATTTGTCTCTTGTTTAACTAACTATCAATTTTTCTATTTTTGTATTATCTACAAAATATTATAAATACTCTTTCAATTTAAATATATTATACAAATATTATTATATTTATATCATGCAATATTAAAAAAATTAATTTAATTTTTTTTTACCTTAATTCTTACTATATTTCAATATAATACTTTATCCTTCTCTAACAAACTATATTTTAGTAGCTGTATTATTTACCTAATATTATAATACTATTTCAATTACAATATATTACACAAATATAATTATCTTTATGTATACTAATAAGACAGTTTAATCTTTTTATCATTATTTATATTATATCACAATATAATAATAATATTTTTAAAATTTCGTGTGTAAAAAATAAATTGAGAATTAAATAATTTTGTAATAACATCAAAAGTGAATAATATATATATTTGTTTATTAATTTATTACCGTAGAAGGGAAGCACATTGGCGGTGATATAGTTTTCGATGTAACGGAGGGAGCGGCCGGAGGCGGTGTGGTCGGCGTAGGTGAGGCGGCGCGTCCCGAAAGGGGTAACAAACTCGGCGGTGCCGCCGATGATCTGCGACCGCAGCCACTGGAGTTTCTTCTCGGCGGATTCATGGCTTCTCGGAACGGTGCTCCTTTTCTCAGCCACCGCCGTCGCGTGAAAATCAGCGGTCCGATCGTCGTGATCCTCGCCGGAGCTGGAGCAGGAGCTTTCGCTCAGATCTCCGCCGACGGTGCCATGGTGCCTGAATTCAGACATCTGGAACAGTTGACGGCCACCGCCTGAATCTGGCAAAAAATGATGATGATAACGATGATGATGGTGAAGTTCCATATTAATTGATCGTATATGATTTCAGGCTCAGTATTCGAACAGCTTAATTATATATATATATATATATTAAAAATTTTAAAAAATAATAATAAAATTATATTATTAATTATTAAAATAAGGGTCGAAATCTAAATATAAAAATACAAAATCAAATATCTAAAATACTCAACAATATATAGAGCGATTGATGATCGATGGTGAATCAAGATGACACGTGTGCTTATTTCTATAGGCGTTACATATCTATCTTGCGCCAATAGAATATTGTGCATTTGTTATTAATTACTACTACTAATCTAGAAAATATTTGTTTAATACTTCTCCAGCATCCCATTGTATTTTCATTTTAGACCTCAGTTTTAAGAAAAAATAAGTAGAATTAAAAATTTTTACTTTTTAAAAAAAAATGAATTTTTTATTAAAAATAAAGTGAAAATAAATTTAGATAAAAAATATATATTAAAGTATTATTTTGTGTGGGTCCAAATTCAAAGGCGATAGGTACCGTGTGGTCTGGTCAATGAATCTGCAAATTCTAACGGCGACTTTGCTCCAACATTAATTTATAAGATACTATTTAATTGCAATTTGGAATGCTTTTAAATTTAATAATTTTATTATATATTATTTTTAATAATGTTATTATATATTATTGCAAGGGTTTTAAGAGTGGGTCGTTGGCATTACCGCGTTTCACGATTCCAGGATGGAGATACCATCGGCAATAATACACTGCTGTTAGGACCGACTTAATTCAATATTATTTTGATATTGTTCATTTTGAATTGAGTTCATACTAATTTATTTTTAAATTTTTTATTAAAAGTTTCATACTTTATGTAAAATTTATAAAATGTAACTTCAACAAGGACTTTTAATATTTCATGCTACTTTGGGATAATATAATTACAATAATACCATACATGTATATATATATATAAATATTTTATTTAAATTATATGGTAAATTAAATTTTATTGCTACAGGCGAGCTTCTTCCCCGGAAAGAAAAAAGTAAATAAATAAAATATTTACAGTTTTTTTATATACTTTAAATATCATCAAATAAATAAATAAATAAATTATTCATTTGTATCTTGGTTCCTAAAAATTTTATTCATATATATATATATATATATCTAACTTTTCAGGGCTGTGAAATGATATAATTCAATTATATTTTTAAGTATAATTGTGCCATACATATTTGCAATTATCAAATTTATCAAATATATATATATATATATATATGCGCGCGCGTTTCTTTTATAATTTTAGTTTAATTATATAAATTTTAGTTCTTTACAATTTTAATCTTAATCCTTTATGTTATGTGAGATATGTTAATTGAAAAAATTCTATTACCTATTTTTGACATATTGAGAAAACATCTTTGTGCTTCTGTTGTCGTCAGAATCCATAAACAGAAATATATTTGACTCAGCTGTGCAGTCGTATCAAGTTGTATTTATTTGTCTTTTCTAGAATAGTGTATTCTCAAGGAAAAGTGGACATTTTGAATTTGTCCTCTTGTGGTCAGAAATGAATAGATATATATCATTCTTTATTTGTATCAAACGGAATTAATTACTGTCGGATCAATAGCCGCTGTGGGTTGCTTAACACAACTCGAGATGGTGGGAAGGATAAGAGTGGTTTTGAGAGAGAGAGTGTGTGTAGTGAGAAAAATATTGTATCAATCCTCTTAACTTTTTCCCTTCTCTTCCCTTCCCATCTCCATGCTCTGAGTGAGTGATATACACTATTATTTTGTCGGAGAAGTTCGTCGGTGTCGAAGGGAGATCGGAGTTCCGATTAGGAGAACATTCAGAATCTGAGCTGCCCAGCTATGTGTTAGTTGTCAGTATGCGATTGTGACAACGTATGCTTGTAGAGAGAATTTCCTAGGTAATCAGCTTGTAGTTTGGGTTGAAGTGGGTTTGAGTGTTTTGTTCTTAATCAACACTGATTAATGAACCTCTCCTGAATTGGTAATCCCCCGGATGTAGGATGGTTTATATCCGAACCGAGTAAACAAATAACTTGTCATTTATTGTTTTGGTCTCTGTATTTATTTCATTGACAAGTCGTCGTTACAACTGTAATATAACTACGCTTCAGGAGTTGACCCATTTAAATAAGTGTTCGAGAGTTTATCGGTGCAACACTTATTCACCCCGACAACAAACACGATAACAAAACATACAAGATTCTCAACTGTAAATAATACTCCATTAGAACATCCTGTATGTATTTCTTCAAAATTGTGCGTACTTGTTTTACAAGCAATCATTATTAGATATACAAACTTCTCAAATCGTCTTAACATCTCATAAGTCTACATAATTTATTTAAAACACACTTTGGAAAATTAGGACAAGCTAACAATTTTATATATTTTAACTACACATTCCTTTCATGGTTTATGACCCATAGAATTTAAAAAATAAAATAATAATAATATATATATACTGTACGCATAAAATTGCTAAAATCTGTTATGAAAATGAAATTTGAAAATATTGTATATTGATTATTTATGGAGAGTATCAAAATAATATGCACACATATACCAACCAATAGTTTGAGAGATGCTTAATAACATAAATGTAATTATTTATTATATATTACTCCCTCCGTCCCAAATACCATGTCTATGTTGCCGTTTCTGTTCGTCCCATATACCATGTCACTTTCCATTTTTGGAAAATAATTACACACTTTAATCTCATTTTAAATTTTATTTTTTTAATTTTAATTAAACTAATTAGTTATCTTAATCTTAATTTATAATTATTTATATTATAGGATATTTATTTTCACTAATATATTCTTAATTATCTACTAATTACACCACCTAAAATACCGTGTCTACGGTGTAGCAGACACGGTATCTGGGACGTTGGGAGTATATAATTTTAATTATTGGTTCGTTGTTGACTATTAGTGAAAAAAATAATCAATTCTATGAACCCACAGGCTAAATAAATTAAAATATCTATATATATTGAAATAATTAAACTAATACATATTATTGTGCATATAATTAAATTTTATTTAGCCTACGAGTTTATAGAATTGAATATTTTCTTCACTAACTTTCAACAATGAACCATTAATTAAAATTATATAATATTTAATAGGAAAACATTTTTTTTTTAAAATCTCATATATGGCTTTTTTTTTTTTTTTTTTTTTATCATTTTAGGACTATAACAGAATTTTGTATTGAATTATTTTCACAATTAAAAAAAAAAATTAACAAAAATTGTCCTCACGCACAGAAGCCGCTGATGTGGCAACATTGCAGCACACCGAAAGTTGTGTGGAAGACAAATGCAGAGTATTTGATAATCATTTCAGCCAATCTTTTTTAGTTAAGGGTACAAATCCAATACAAAGTTTAATCATTGTCTTAAAATGATTCTTAAGTGGATGTTCATATGTCATTTACATAATCTTTAGCGTGTGTAATCTTTAGCGTGCCACGCCAATAGTTTGTGTCTGAAGGCCATTATTATTATTATTATTTTTTTAAAAATAAAAATAAATTGTCGACTAATCAATTATAAAATCTAAATATGAGCCTAAAATAAAAATAGAAATAAATAAAAAAATGATCACGTGTGAAATAATAATAAAAAAATCAAACAAATTTCACTATTTAATAAGCAAGTTTATTAGTTAGCATCTCCCAAACTATTGTTTGGTATGTGTCTTTCTACTACTATTAAATACTTTCCATAAAAATAATCAAACATATAGTTTATTGAATCAAGTACCTATATCAAATTGAATGATCCATGTAAAATTAAAATAGGATGCAATTAGAGCTGTTAAACGAACCGAGCTGTTCATGAATTCGGTTCGGCTCGGTTAAAGCTCGTTCGCGAATGTTAACAAATCGAGCCGAACAACATAAACAGACTCGTTTGGTTAACGAACGAACCCGAGCTTTGTTCGCGAATGTTCATTTAAATAATATATTTATTATAAATATTATATATACATGTAAAATTATAATTTATAAATAAATAAAATATTAATTTAAAATATATAAATTAAATAATTTTAATTTTTTTTATAATTTATATATAAATTTTAAAAAATAAGACAAACGAATTCGAATGAAATCGAACGAGCTTAATCGAGCCTAAACGAGTCGAACACAAACACGAATACGAGCTCAAACAACAAAAATTCTTAATGAGCCGAGCTCGAACACAACGAACGAGCTCGAAAGCTTAACGAACAAATACAAACCTTATTCGCGAACGTTAACGAACACTTAAAATTTGGCTCGACTCGACTCGGCTCGTTAACAACGATGCAATGCCTTAAATATATAATTAGAAACAATCATAATTATGGATGATAAAATATTAAATGAAAAGGTAGTTAAAATATATGAAATGGTTAAATTTACCTTTAATTTCGAACAATTTCAAACGTTTGAAATTAATTTGTATGGACTCATGTGACTCATTTTGGAGTACATAAAACACCCAACCTACTACTTATAGTTGGAGAAAACTATTAGCAAATTAATATTATTCACATAACATAGTATAATTTTTGATAAAAATATATTATTTTATCTTACGTAGAAAAATATTATTTATATAAAAACTTAAATCAATACTTAATTTCAAACCAATTTTAATTTACAACCAAATAAACCCAAAAACTACTATAATTATGAATATTTTTATATTAAAACAAAGACAAAACATTATATATATATTGATTAATATTAAAAAATTTTAATACATAAAAATAATTATAATGATTTTTGTAAAGATGATATTATATAAATTTCCAATAATCTTAAATTTAGCAAAATATTACTCCACAAATAATAAAATTATGTATTTTATAATAATTAAAATATTTATATAAAAATCTACATATTTAATAAATTAAAATTTTATTTGATTTAAACTATTTATAATCTATTCACTTGTATTAATATATATTAATATTTCTGAAAAGATATAATTATTGAATATGATATTTGTAAAAGGTTGCTTGCACTTTCTTTTTAAAAATTATAAATCAATAAAGTATTAGTAATATTATTTGTAAAAAAAATTCTTTGTTTACTATTATGTTTAGAAAATTGTAATTTTTGCCTATGATACATATGTGAACTATTACTCTATATACATATATATTATATTGTTTTATTATAATTATTCACATAAATATTGCATTAATCGAACATGACATTGACATAAACAATTAAGGTCAGCATGGTGAACAATTGAAATTTATAAAATTTGTTGGGAAAGTGATTTATCGAACAAAATACGTTCGAACACTTTAAAGGGCCAACTCCCTAAGCGTTGGTGGTTTACAGTTATAACAATGTTTTAACAATGAAAGACAATGCAGAACATAAAACAATAATGAGACAATGTGTTTGTTGACCCGGTTTGATTATCAACCAATCTATGTCCGGGGATACAATCCAGTAGATATTCCACTGATCCGTGCTAATTAAGGATAAAAACAATCACAACTCTTTCAATCCAAAAAGCTATCATGGTTAACTAGAAAAATATCTCCACAGGTTCACGTTGTCATAATCGCGTTCTGACAACGACCATACAATAGAGCAGCTCAGAGTTTAATCATCTCCGGTTGAAACTCCGTTATCTCCGATCTCCGTCAACCTCTCCGGTGGATTTCAGTGTTAAACAACAGTTCAAAATATGGAAAAAATAGGGAGAAGAGTGAGAGTACATACAATAATTTCTCTCTCTATATATTGGCTCTCAAACCTCACTCACCACCAAACTTTTTCTCCTTTGGTTGTATATATACCATGCAACCTTGGAAAGAACACACCTCAAAATAATTTCATTTAGCATAGAAATAGATGAAGTGTTCTTTAATGAATCTGCACGAGTCTGACCATCCCTAAAATACCATGTTTGACTCTTGCAGACATTTAATGTTTGGACACAATGAATAATATCAAGCACACAGATTCAGATGGCAAGGATTGCAGAGACAGTCTTACTGTAACCTACGAATGCTAAAAAAGGTAAAGTGGCTGCAACGTGAAGAAAACCTGATGAACCATATGCCAAAATAAACTTAGGGGGTGTTTATGCACAAAATTAAACTAAAACAACATAAAGCTATTAATGAAATTGATAATTGCATATATATATATATATATGTTTGGTAAAATTATAATTATACTTAAAAGTATAATTGCATTCTATTAATTTCACAGTATTCTATCGTATGAAAAATTATAAAATAAAAAATATTTTGATGAAATTTTTTCTTTGTTACAATATATAGAAATGGATAAATTCGATTAAAATAAATAACTGTGAAGTATGTCCAAAATTTGTAAATATGCAATGGGGACACTTTGCATATGGAACAAAAATCCAGTGGCCAACTTGTTATACAACCATCTATGTACTTCTATTGAAATATTTAAAACTACTATATTAATAGTAAATATTTTTATCCTTGTAAATGTTGTCTCATAATATATATATATATATATATATATATTCTAATTTTGTGTGAACAGAGTGAGATATCTATCTAAAGCAATCATTCTTTTCAAAATAATTCTTGATTTTATTTATTTATTTTTTAAAAAAGAAAAAAAGAAAAGAGTTTAGTATGGACATTTCTATCAACACTCCAAACTTATTTTGTCAAATTACATAGGGACTATTGTATTATGAAAATATGCTAAAGTAAACGACAAGACATTTGCCAAAATACTTATATATGTATAAAGAAAATAAAGGAAATTGTTTTTTAATTAGTACCGTAATTGGTCCTATTATTATTTTAAAACTCTAAATGGACTATGTATGGAACGATCACGTAATTAATATTTTTTCATAAAAATGATCATTCGTCAGCGAAATTGATATGTCGTTGATAATGTGGTTCGTCGGTGCTGATTTGACACTGAAATATATTTTTCTTTCTAAATTTTTAAATATATTTTAATATAATTCTTTTAAAAAAATCCAAAATTTGTCCATGTGGCTCTGACGTGTCTCATACGTCAATGCCAAATCAGCATCGACAAACTACATTATTGGCAACGTATCAATTTTGATGACAGATGACCATTTTTGTAAAAAAAATTAATTGTGAGACAATTTCTATACTTATTTCATTTAGAGTTTACAAATGATAATAGAATCGAATATAAGATTAAGAAATAGTCTACCGAATGAAATATTGAATTATTAATTATTATTATTATTATTATAGAATTCTATGCATGCTTATAATCATTTAGGTAAAGGAACATGTACAACCTCATTTTACTAAAATAGAGGCGTTTTATTATTTTGTCTACAAATAATTGATATGATTCTCATTCGATAAATGTAAAACTATATTTTCGAGTTCATCGAAATTCTAGTTATAGGAATAATGAATCTATTATCAAAATATCTAACATTACTAATATATAAATTAGATGGGCCGTCTTCCGACTTGAGTTGGGATTTGAATAGTAAAAATTTTGAATTTAAATATTTGTATGATGTGATATAAATATGTGTTAATGTGATGTTTTGAATATAAAAGTGATTTTTAATATAATATAAAAAATAAAAATAGGTGTTTGATTTGATATTTTTAAAGAAAAAAGTTGGATAAACAGTGGATTTAAAATACAATTTCCAAACAAACACACCCTTAAAGGATTGCAGAAAGTTTATAACATTGTATTAATTTGAATAATATATAATAAAATCAAAATAATCAAAAATAAAAATAAAAGTACATGATACAATTGGATGCAATATTTATATACATATTTTATATTCTGGATCCTGATACGAATATGTAAATTTATTTAAAGTGATTGTCAGTTCAACCAATAATAATAATAAAAATAATAATAATAATAATCATAACAACAATAATAATATTGCAATGTATTATTTCGTTGAGTCAACTGTATTTATTAATAGTGAAAATAATTATATAAAAAGTTGTGTCAATTGGATATAAATAGTTTGTTTGTTGTTTATTGTTCAGTTTAATGTGAGACTTATAATTTTTGAAATTACATATTTATTTTCAATTTGTATCTTGATTTAAATATTTCCTAATCAAATATATGTTTTTTTATATCATGTACCAAGAATTGTATAGTTAATAAATATAATATTTTGTATCCAATTGTTGATTTTTTGTGAGTTAATATAATATATATTATATATTTATTTATTTTTATTATTCATTGAGAATTGTATAGTAAAAAAGAGTAAAGAAAATCCAATTTTTATTAAACTAAATATAAAATTAATAATTATATAGATATAAAGATAAAAATAAATATACCAAAACAATCTTCTCAAATGCAAGTGGAAAGGCAGCCCGTGACCTCAATTTTGGTCTTTGGCCACTTTCCTTTTTTCCTTTCAAGAAAACACCAAAAACAGCTCATTTAATTTAATTTTTACAACATTATCACATCTTCAAAAATTTCCATCCCATCCCTTCATTCTTTTCCTTACCAAACAAAAAAAAAAAACAAAAAACTTTACACTAGTTAGATAATTATATAAGTTTCGTTGTTATAATCTATCTTCTAAAAATTTTAATTCTTTATAAACACTTTATATGGATAATAAGTGTAAGCAATTTATACACTAAAGTCAAAATTAAATAAAATTCAAATAATTGAACTATAGCGACAAAAAATACAAGACAAAATTAACAATTTTCCCGAGGCAATCCTATATATATATATATATATATATATAAACACACACGAATATCATTTGCGTTGAAGAAAGTATAGAAAGATCTTTTCTTACACTAAATGGCATTTTCATTGTCTAAATTTCTTGTGTTCTTCACCATCCTCTGTGCTTCTTCATTCATCGCCGTATTATCAACAGACGAGGCTTCAAATTTAATCCAAAAGACATGCGAGAATACACAACACTACGATCTTTGTGTCTCGTCGCTAGAATTGGACTCATCGAGCGCGAAATCGGATGCCAAAGGGCTGGCCCTAATCATGATCAACATCGCCATCGCGAATGCCACAGAGACAAATTCTTACATCGCCTCCCAAATCAAGAACATTACGAATAACACGGCAATGGATAGAGCGATGAGGGTATGCAATGACAAGTACGCCTTTGCGAACAATGCTCTTCGTAATTCGATTGTGAATTTGGACAACGAGGAATATGATTATGCCTACATGCATGTAATGGCTGCCGGAGATTATCCGAGCGGGTGCCGGAGCGCGTTCCGGCGGTGTCCGGGATTGGTTTATCCAACAAATATGGCTGTTAGGGAGGAGGCTTTGAAGCATATTTGTGATGTAGTTTTGGGGATTGTTGATTCTCTTGGCTCCTAATTAGGGTTTTGTATTTATTTATTTTTTTTTTGGATGAACATAACTTCACTAATTGTGATGTATTGGAGGATCTAAAAATGTTGGCACTTTGTTCATTCAAAAAGATTGTTTATTTGGAGTTGAATGTGATATTTAATTGTCTTGTTGATTAATTGCTACAACCTATTTGGGTATAAAAAGAGAATATAATTTGGTATAGTTACTATCAACACATATTTTGTTTGGGATTTGGATGATATGCTGATTTGAAAATGAAATCAGCATATGCTGAAATTAATCCTCACATCTAATCTTAAATTTAATTTTTTTTAATTAAATAAATAATCTAATAATTAAGAGTCATGATTAAATTCAGCCATGTTGAATTAGAATTTTTGGCATAGTATTCCTCTTGATTTTGTTTCAGAGGTGGGCTATCTTATTTTTTTCTTAATAGATGAATAATTGATGATTTGTTTTGAAAGAATTGTTTTTACTTTTGATTTGAGTATAATTATGGGTTGAAAATAAGTATGAACTAAGATTCATATCGTAGTTTAAAATTATTAATCATATGATAAAATTTTCTTATGTTAGCCCGTGAATGTCGGATCAAACTCAGGGTATTAATGTGAAAAAACAAAAACCTTAAATTGAATAATAGGGCGAGTTTATGAAATTGAAATTGAGATTTAATTGATAATATGGTGAATATTCGCGAAATTATGATGCCATGGTGGCATGGGGCGAGATATTTAATATGGTGCGTAGACGATATTGATATAATATTTTAGTGTAAGATAATATAATAGAAGATGGTTAATATGAAAATATGTTTGGAATATATATACTTTGTACGAGAAAGTATTGTGTGTTAGTAATTACATAAAATTCTTATCCGCTAATCGCATCGAGTTCGCAATGGTTCTCTTGGGCCTAGAGATAATTGCGTAAAGACAACCTAGATCCTTACTGTATTGTGCTTATGATCTATGTTTGAATTTATTATTTGAATATCCTGCGACCACTTCTTTTTTTTTTTTGGTATTTACTATTGATCAATTAAGAGATTAGTTCACTCCTTGTTATTTATTCTAGCTGAAATTATGCTAAAAAAATTGCTTCCATGATAGGTATCAGATGAAATTCTTTTGAATCCTCCTAACTAGATTTAATTAAACGATTTTATAAAAATATATATATAAATCATAATTGAAAGTGTGATGGTGAGTAAATGAGACTCCTATATTTTAAAAATAAATAAATAAAAATGCTTAACCGTATGTTCGAACCGGCTGTACACGGTTCAGAAATACTGGAATCGAAACCGAACCGTATAAAATCCGGTCCGACTTCGGTTCAACGGCGTCTCCGGTTTGAACCGCCGGTTGGGCAATCTCCTCCTCCTCTGGTTCTGAAACGTGGCTCGAACCCGCTGCGTTGCCTTCAATCCGAGAAAGAGCTCTCTCTTCATTGTTATGGAACATGAATGGCGAACGAAACAACCTCCTCTCCTGCTTCTTTTCAGATGCGCCTCCCTCAAATTCTTTTTTCTTTTTTTTTCTTCTTTTTTTTTTTTTTTTTTTTTTTTTTTTTTTCTGTTTTTTGGTTGATGCGGCATTGCCACATCAGAAAAGGTGGGTTCTCCCATAAATCAAAGAACGCACATGCTCTCTTGTGTTGCATTTACCCTAAATTAATTTTCCCCAATTTGATTTTTATTTCTTGATAATCAATTGGTAGAAGAAGATGATGTCCGGCGGATCGTCTTCTTCCTCTGCGTTGTTTAGGGTTACTCATTCCAACACCAATGGCAGGCCTGAGATTCTCGCCCAAAATGCGCTCTCAACGATTAGGCGGAACGCCGCCTGTTCTTCCGTTTTCGTTATCGCGGTTTTGATTTCCACCGTCGTCATCGCCGCCGCTTACCATCCCCACGACCCTTTCTTCAACCCTACATCCTCCAAAATCACCAATTCCCTCACCGACTCTGTCAATGTCAGCGATGTCGAGTTTGCGGTGGCTCAATTTGAAGAGCCTCAGGTGATATCGGATGTGACGCGCGAGTGTCGCCTCGACGAACCAATCGATTGCCGCGATCCGGATGTGTTCCATTCTCTGATGAGGGCTGCCATGGCGAAGTTTAAGGACATTCATTTCTACCGCTTCGGCAAGCCTGTTAGAGGCGACAACGAGAGCTCCTGCCACATGCCATGGCGGTTTAAGCCCAAGGAAGGGAAGGCAGACAGATTTTACAAGGATTACAGGACCTTTACAGTGGTGAGGTTTGAGAATTGCACGGTGAGCGTCGCCGGCATCGGAGATTATCATTCCGGCGGCAATGCCAGGAAGAGGAAAGGCCAAGTAAAGGGGAAGAAAGTGAATGGCAGTAATCCTCTGGATGTAGGTGATATGGTGAACGAAGGACTTCCCGACGTCGAATCGGAGGCGTCATTCATCAGCAGAAAGTATTTGGTATATTCCGGTGGCGGCGATAGGTGCAAAAGCATGAATCAGTATCTATGGAGTTTCGTATGTATGCTCGGAGAAGCTCAGTATTTGAACAGAACCTTGATCATGGACATGAGCATATGTTTGTCGAAGATGTACTCTTCATCGGGTGTGGACGAAGAAGGGAAAGATTTCAGGTTCTACTTCGATTTCGAGCACCTGAAGGATTCTGCATCGGTGCTCGGCCAAGCTCAGTTCTGGTCGGCGTGGAGCAGGTGGCATCAAAAGAGTCGACTGAAGCTTCATCTTGTCGAGGATTTGAGGGTCACTCCGATGAAGCTGGCTGGGGTGAAGGATACCTTAATCATGAGGAAGTTCGGATCAGTGGAGCCGGACAATTACTGGTATCAAGTCTGTGAAGCAAGGGAGGTAGAATCTGTCGTGCGACGCCCCTGGCATATGATTTGGAAGTCGAGGCCATTGCTGGATATGGCTTCGGCTATAGCAGGTAGAATGAACTGGGACTTTGATGCAGTGCATGTCGATAGAGGGGAGAAGGCGCGGAACAAGGAACTGTGGCCGAGTCTTGATGAGGACACTCGACCGGAAGCAATTTTGAAAGTTCTGCAAAGAAAGATCGAAGATGGGCGTCAATTGTACGTCACCACAAATGAGCAAGATACCTTGGTGTTTAATCCTTTGAAGGACAAGTATTCGACGCACTTTCTTGATGATTATAAAGATCTCTGGGACGTCAACGGCGACTGGTACGATGAAATGATGAAGCTCAACAGCGGGAATTCGGTTGAGTTTGATGGTTACATGAGGCAATCTGTAGATACAGAAGTGTTTTTGAAGGGGAAAACACAGGTTGAGACTTTTAACGATCTTACTAAAGACTGCAAGGATGGGATCAATGCTTGCACAAATACTGCTTGATCATTTTTCTAGAAGAAAACAAAAACAGAAAATGTAGGGAGAATGAAATTTGTTGGAATTACATAAATGTAAGTTGTATTTGATTTTCATGGTCTGTACTTTTTTTTTTTTTTGGAAAGAAAAGCACAAACAGATACAATTCATACTTCAAGAAGAAAGACACATAAAGTTGCATATCACAAAAACACACCATTGTCATCATCCTCAAAGATCAATTTCAACAACACAAACAGTACTTAAAGAAACAGAAACACAAAACACCAAAGAGATCATTTGGCACGAACTTCATTTCAAGTCGACTCGACTCCTCTATCTACTTCCTCAATTGGAGAGACTAAGTCGAGGAAGAACTAACCTGGGAAATGACCCTGTTGAGGTTGGTGTAAGTAGGCCTCTCGATGTCAAGTGATTTGCGGCAGATGTTGTAGATGACCTCATTGTTGAGAAGGACGGCGACAATGGGTTGAAAGCACAGAGTTGTAAGGCTCAATAACAGCAGTTGAGACTTCATCTGTACTTGAGAATGAATGTCTGATCCATTCATGTAAAAACTTGACCACTTAGAAGCAATAGGCACTAAAATCAGTAAATTCTACCATAGAAAAAAGGAATAATTCAATTGAAATACACTGAAGAGCTATCTAAGCATGAGAGTTCAAACATCAGAAGTCAACATATCGTCTTCGCCATCGATGATACCTAGTTTAGGAATAGGAAGTATAATAACTGACAATTCAGCGACAGAGACACAACAAAATGATAAGCATGTTATGATGCCGTTCAATTCATCCTGAAAATAAACAATTGGAGCAAGCAAGCATTTCACAACCCGGAAGCAAGCTACGGAGCACATCAATATCAATAACTTCCATTTGTCTTCGCAAAATGACATGTAAGTCACTGTTCTGAACATGAGGGGAACTGGGTATAAGAGTGTATAATGGCTATAATGATAGGGAGATCTTACAGAGAGGGTATAAGATAAGCTAGTTGATTGCTGTGGGAGTAATGCGTCTCCTGGCAGCACCCTTGCTTATAAGCTAGTTGATTGCTGTGGGAGTAATGCGTCTCCTGGCAGCACCCTTGCTTGGATTCGAGGGTATTGCTGTACTTTGTGAAGCTTTTTGTCCATCTTTATCATCATCATCCTCCTTTAGGGAATTCCTTGCTCGCTCCTTCTCGCTATTCACAGGCACATGGTGTGTATCGACACTGGTGGCTTCTGGAACGGGGCTTTTAATTGCAGCAGCTACAACTTGATTTTCTGCAACAAGATACATGTAAATTCTCCTGTAGATGGTACATGGTAACTCATTCTCAACTAAGTAGCAGGGCCCAATTTATACGAACCTGATGAAGATAAAGGCAACCCGAGTTCTAGATTTTCAAATTCAAGTAGTGTGCAGTAACCATCTTGGGAGGACAACACTAAGTAATTAGCAGTTGGTGACCTATGGAACAAAATTCAAACCTTTAAGTGAGATATGCTGGCATGGAATATAATCTATCCACAAAGCTAAAGATTACCATGCGATGTCTGTTATGGCTGAGTAATGTACTCCAGCAACAATTAATATGGGTTGAATGCTCTCTGTGTCATATACATACAAGGAATTCAAAGTGGCCACTGCAAAAATAAGGCGATAGGGGAGCTTGAAAATTGAAGCTGTAAAAAAGGAAAAAGGAGGTTTAGTAATGGAATGGGGGCAGGTATGTTATGACATATGAGGGAAAAGAGAGAATTTATACATGAGTTTGATCCCCGCAAACTAAATTTTAGCGGGCTAAAGCATACAGCCACAACAGGTTTACTAGCACCTGGGAGCATAAGTGCAGGCCTGCATTAAAACACACTAAGCCATCAGAAAGGGAGAATATAAAGGGAATTGAACTTCAAAGTTAGGGAAGAGATTGAAATTAGTATGTGATTTCTTGCCTTGAGAGATCTTTTCTAGGAAGTACATAAGCAGTATTGATTGGCTCTGAAGTAGGCGTACTTTTGTGACAACCTGAAAAAATGAATAGCACTTAATGTATCAATGTCATACTACTAGCACATCATATTTTAAATAGCAACGTGAATATGTTAAACATTTCTATTCCGTCTCACTGACAATAAATGCTCCAAAAATCAATAAATTAGATATATGTAGGATTTAATACCTGCGGGAACAACTAAAAATGATCCATCTGGGGACCACGCCAATCTTCGAAAGAATGAAGGAAGTGTCTCATCATGGAATAGATGGCTTCTAGTGGACTGAATAACAAAAAGAAGTAATAAAACAAGTCATATATGTTCTTCTTTTGTTTAATTGAAGGTGCTTACACAATGCAAGATATGTCATCCTAAAACCTTAGAAGACTCATCAGTTGACGGCGCTTCTGCTCTTGAGATGACGTGTTGACAAGTATAATTTGCCTTCTCAACACCTTTTGTTTTAGATGGCTTGTTGAAATATATACGACAAGTTCGATCTGAACTGAGCGATGCGGCGTACTTCCCCAATGGGTCCCAAGCTACACCTTGAACATAATGGAAATGTGAATCCAAGATTTGGTGCACAGAGCCTGCATATGTGCAAACTAGTTAATGAATTTAATTTTTTCTTCACACGTCATCTGCATTGATTTTCTATTATTGACATACCTTTATTAGCATCCCATATAATACATGAATTATCAACTGAACCGGAAATAAGATATGTCCCATCATTAGACCACTGTAGGTCTAAGATATCCTTACGATGAAACCTAAAAGTAGGATGACAAAGATCACGAAGAGAAGTGTTAGTAAATTCAAAATTCCAATTATGTAATTGTGTGGACTCCTTTATAGGAATAGTTATAAATGGGGAATAACATTGGATGGTTTAAAAGCTTTATACTGCCAGCACGGGTAATTTGTTTATACAACTATCAGGCTGCACATATAAAGAATTTGGGTAAAGAGTATACAATATGCTTACATCAATGACTTCAGAACTTTCCATACTTCACCAGATTCTGTCGTATGCGATTTCCATAAAATCAGCTCCCCACCTGTAAAAGTTCAACACTTTTCTCAATATAACACTCAATTTATTTGACAATAAAAACCAACTTGGCACTGAGTTATATGGCTACCAGAGAAATCACATACCATCAGCACCAGAGGCAAGCTGTTCGCCTGCAATATATCAGACAGTCATATTTCTGTAGAAAGATATTGTGAGAAATCCATTGCTATAATAAAGTTGTGGCCTTTGTTGATCATGTTACTCTCGAGCAAAATTCTAGTAACTTTTCAACTTATCAAAATAGTAAATTCCATATTTATTAGACCTAGCCATAAGGAACATCCTTTTGAACTCAGCACTATCAAGTATATCATAAGAGACTCAGTATTATGTCACAGGCCAGAGTCCATATAAGAATGCTCATGACACGCTAATATTCGGAGGGGAACAATACAATCAGTACAGTAAACTCACTCAGTGGCATAAAAACATAATTGAGAAACCATTTGCGGCAAAGAAACAGAAGGTTCACTTGCCTGAAGGAGAGAATCGAAGTGCATTTACAGCAGAACTATGGTATGACAGACTGCTTTGATAAGTAACTTCAGGGGCCTTCTTTTTCTCTATACCAGAAACAGTAGCCCATAGCTGCACACACAGATACATATATATATATATATACATACATTTAGAATCATTACATATGCCCATAACCAAATTTTGGTAACAGAACAACACATTTCACGTTTATGCGAAATAACTACGAAAGTTTGCGACTGATACATCTGAATAACCACAAAGGAACATCAATTCCAAAGTAGCACTATTAAGAAGTTTTAATCTCCAATGAATATTAAAACTTATCATTATCATAAGAGAAATTTTCAATCAAAGAGCTGATAGTTCCCCAAAAATGCATAAGGAGAGCATTGTGTGCTCGGGCAAGGCGATCACTATCAAATAAGGGTTCTGAATTATGTCAAGGTCCAGCAACCAAAAGGGATAAATATACCTTGATATCGAAGTCAGCACCTCCAGTGGCGAGAAGGCCGGAGATAGGATGGAAATCGCAGGTGAGTACAGGCTTGGTATCATGCCAATTGATCTGAACGGTTCCACCTCTCATTTTCCCTTTCGACCCGCTTCAAACTTCAATCGTATCAGTTACCAAATCTCACGATTGCTTCTATGGAATATTCTCTGTTCTCCCCACAGACGAAATTAGGGTTCTGAGTGGGAAATCGATTGAAGGCACCGACAATGGGACTTTGGCGGGAATTTCGAGCAGAAAGAATTGCTCCCTCACAACACTTGCCTAATCGGTCTCGAACCAGCGGTTGGAACCGGCGGTTCCGATTTGCCACCGAACGAACCGGTTTTATCACGGTTCGGTGTCGGTTCGCCGGTTTGGCTTTTTTTTTTTTTTTTTAAAAAAAAAAATATATGTATTTGATGTATAATTAATTTTGACACTCCCTCTCATTTTCTTATTATTTATTTTATAAATTATATTACAAGAATAAATATTCTAAATACTAATGTGAAAATGTGAAATTCAAAAATTGCCAGGCCTCAAGCAATGAACAACTTCCAATTAAAAAATGGAGATTCAAGAGGATCAACAATGACCCTTTCTGTGAAAAATGCACATAGCAAAAGGCCTAATGAAAGTTTGGCTGCTAAATCTTTGAATAAAACACACTTCCATTCTGCAAAACTTTTCTACATTTCTATGTTTATAGTCACAACTTACAACACTATAAAAATCCCACAGACTTGACAGGGATTTGGCACCAGAAAACCATAGTTTCATCTCCTTTAACTGCTGAAAAAGAATCCGGCGGCGCAACACACAGCCAGCAAGTTTCTGTTGAGAACTTCTCTGATCTTGTTTGTTGTAGAACATTTTACAATGTCGAGCCAATCTTGAAGTCGATGGCACTTCTGCAAGAAATCGAATTGGCGAATAAGCTTACCTTTAAAGGTCACTTGGGATTGCTTCCATGGCTGCCAAACAGATACCAGAGGACAATTTCATTCCAGATATCAGGAAGTCCAGGTAGACACCAATGGCTACAATCAGATAGAGAGGGACGGTCGCTCCAGGTACCCACGTGGGCATCACTGCGATAAGCTGACATGGGAGTTATATGAACAACGGTAACAGGGACTGTCATGTTATGCACCACATCCAGTACGGTATCCGAATATTCACTAAATTCATTTCCTTCGATTCTTGTAAGGGGTGATTTGGTCACATTGCATTGCCGCAGGGTCAGATTCCTGATCAGGACACAAACAGGTTCTTACAGGTAAAATATTGTCGGGAAATACTACAAGCTCTTTTAATTTCATTGGTCAGATAGAGACACATCCAATTACGACATACCTCCAGTGGGAGGGCTCAAAAGTTCGGAAGAAGATGCGTGTTCTCTCGGGATTGACTGCACTTTCGACCCAAGATGCCCAAGTCTGCAGCGCAGTTCTGTAGCCCTCGGCAATAGTCATTCCAAGTTCTACTGATGTACCAACCTCGAAATAGCATCCCCTGTCAATCAGAAACATTTTCCACGATGTGACCTCATAGTATGACACTACGAATGCACAATAACGTATTCAGAGAACATGATCTATACAATATCCATCAACATAAAAGAGGTTCCAACAGATAACATTAACCATTGACCAAACATTTTAGTTCATGCTGTTCAACAATCATAATCACACAAAAATACACTCTGAAAGTAACAAACTCCGGCCAAGAAAGTAACAAGATTCGACGCTTTACATACAAGTAATGCACATACAGCTGGAAATGAATGCCAAAGAATAATGCAAAAAAATCAACGCAAAGCACTAAACTTTTCTATAAAACCATAGAGATTATAATGGGACATACATTACTAGAGAGATATACACAACTTACGTTCCAAAAAGCTTCCCCAGAACCCACCACTGACCAGAATTAAATATCAAAACATCCGAATCGATCCACTCATTACTTATATCATCCAATTTATCCAATCTCAAAGTCGACCTGACTCTTTTAGGTGCATTTCTAGGAGACCAGTTATGCTGGACAAGGAAAACAGATCGATAAAACTCAATGGTGAAATTAAATGTCTCAAACCTTACACCTAAGAACCTAATCTGCTTTGTTATGGTGTTTCCATTCACTTCATAAACACTTCTCTGATCTTCCACACCTGTCATAAGCAAACATATCAAAGATTCCCACTGAGTCCTGCTCATCGAATCACCAACAAAAACAATTCTCTTATTCCGGAATGCTTCCAAAACACGATACACATCGACTCTAGGAAGATTGCAGCCCTTCGGCTTCCACCTCCACTTAAGATAATCATCATCTGTTCGACCATTAGCCAAGCAATTAAAGCCTTGCTCTACAAAAGGACAATGTGAAGCATTATACAAAGGGTAACTATCATCATCTAACACCCATTCTCCATCGAACACATCACAAACATTCTTGGCACCATCAGAAAGTATAAATCCAAACTCATGGTCATGGAAAGCGTGTGTGAGATTGGGCAGAACATACAAGTAAGCACAACCGATTGCTAAAAGGAATGAAATGAACGATCCTATGGCAATTAGAACCTGAAACGAACGCGACACCCATGTCTTCCTACTTAACCTCGGGCTGCCTGCGTTTGCAGCCCTTTGTTTGAAGGAAACACTTCTACCGAAACCACTCATCGTTTCAGCAGCACGACGGTTTGCCCCAATCCAAAGAAAACCGCACCGCCATAACCAGACGAAGAACAACCAAACCAAATCTAAAACAGTAAGTAATTAGTTTTTTTTTTCCTTTTTCAAAGCAGCATCCAATCGAATTGCATAATAAAAATCTCACAAAATCTCCCCCAAAATACCATCAGTTTGATTGTCATCCAAAAGCCTACTGAATCCATCTCATCCTCGCCGCAGAAACACTTCAAAAACGACAAATGGATATCCAATGTGTTCCCCCAAACACGCGGAACCACGTGCAGAACGATGCTTTCTTCAATCATGAATCAAAGTCGGAGAAATACCGAGATCGAGAACACATGCATGGTAAACATTTCTCAGACACAAGACATGAACTAAATCCGAGATCAGCCGAAGAAACGTATCGATTCCAGCAGTCCCTACGCCGCATAAAGTGGAGATTCGAGAAATCGCAAAAACTTTGGCTACAGAACAGTGGGCGCCTGCAGATCCAGCGAGTGGATTCGAAATGGGAAGCAAGCATTAAAAAATTTCCAGATTGCAGAGCGAGGAAGACGTGGAATGCAGATTGCAGAGCGGTGGTTTAATTTAGCCAATTATTATTATTATTATTATTATTATTATTATTAATAATAAATATGTTTGGAGCGGTTAGGATAGTGTCGCCTATGGTACAACCGAACGAGCCTTGTGTACAATAACTCAATGCATCTCCTGTAAAATCTAGAGAGTTCTTTCAGTTGTAGATTAATCTTATTATATATCCGTGTTTTGTTACATTGTCTTGATTTATTTAATTATATTTGAAAAACTGGTAATCTAATTAATGACGTAGTAAAAATTCGAGGCCCATACTAAATATATATATGTATATATTGTATTTACTATAATGAGGTGTTTTTGAATCGTGTCGAGAAGTTGAACTAAGCCTGGCCTAAATAGCAACTTGACTTGGTTGTGTTTCTTAAGTGTTTTAATATTTTTATATTTTTACTTTTAGTTATTTAAAATTGTAAAGGTATTTAATTTTGTTTAAATAAAATCAGTGTTATTATTATTTTATATATATCTAGAAGTAAGTTACCATATATCCAGTTACTAGTTAGGCCGCCAAACTGAACCGGACCAGGCATGCAAGTCACGGGCTGATCCAAACTACTTTTCTATATTTTCGGCCCGGTTTAGACTAACTCGCTTTAATTTCAATTTGACCCTAACTCGAGCTAAAATAGGCCGGACGGCCCAGCCTAATCTACTTTGTTTGGTCACACCTTAAATTAATTTAATGAAATCGCATTTATAAAAAAAACTGTATTTTATTATTATTGTTTATATATATGCATGGACTTCATATTGGTATTTAGTAAATAGCAAAGGGAATTCTTGTGTAAAAATAAAATAAAATTATGTAATTCTTGTGATCTTGTAAAAATATAATACTTCCTCGGCTTGGCATATTTAGTTGAATTGGATTTGGCAGTACTAAGATTTTTAAAAAAATTAAATATTTTATTGAAAATGGTAAAATTAAAAAGATAGTTTAGAGTATTTTTGAAAATATACTTTGAAATTGAAAGGTACCTAACAATAAGAAATGTAATAAAATTAGTGATCTTTGTTATAAATAAATATTAAATAGAAAATAATAGTTAAATATTATTTTTTTTAAAAAAAATATAGTAATAAGGTAAATTTAACAAATGAACAAAACAAATAAAAATAAATTTGACGGACGGAGAAAATATATAGATATATAGATGTAATGTGGATGGAAGGTGTCTTAACTACTGTTGGTTAAGATCATGAATCCCCAAGTCCCTACAACACTACACAAATTACATTTTATATATTGTCATTGTAAATTTAATATTAGGTGAAGTGTTTACTTGTATTTGTATTTTCATTTTTGCATCCATCACTTAAATAATAGCAACAATTTTATTTATTTATTTTATTTTTTATCACAAAAAATTATTGTAATAAAAGTAACCATTTTTTCAGTATCACTTGCTGCATAAAATCACAAAGGCATGCAATTCAATATATATATATATATAAATTTGTTTACTTGATCAAACATAGTATCCTCAAAAATTTTATTCACTCATATAGGGTTTAAAAAACAAACATACAAGTGACATAAATATGTGCATCATGGCTTGATCAAAAGCAAGAGTTGTAAAATAAATTAATAATGGATTAGAGATGCAAGAATCATTCCTATTTTTCAATATGAATTATCAATCCAATTATTTGACTTCTATGATCGATCATATATATTGAAATTCATATATAGTATCTTTGCAAAATTAGCTCCCTTAAAGTTAACAGTAATTAGATGGTAAATTAAACACATGCCCTTGATTTTCAATCGAAAAATGTTTATATGTCAGACAACTTATTGATTAGCAGTAAATAATATATATAGCCATAATTTGGGGCCTAGCTCAGTAATAATCATATTCTTACACAAGTTAATTAGCTCAACATAACAATAAGAATTTGTCTACAGTTAGGTCTCTCTCTCTCTCTCTCTCTCTCTATATATATATATATATATGTATATATATATAAATCTAACCAAATGAGTCTTGAAGCCTCCTTCTTGAAAGGAACTTTCTCAGAGCAGCTGATATGGTCTTGAACTGCCCCTTAAATTTAATGTCTCTAAATCTGCAGCATGTAGCAACACGATTATACATTATGTTAATGCATCTTAATTTAGCCTAAGTGAAATTCCTAAATCCAAAGACACATAATGTATGATCGATCATGATGAATCCAATTGAAGAAAGGGCAAAATTTTAGATTTTAGGGTTTGGTTTAGGGACAATAACTAAGTTCCTGAACATTGCAGAAATGGCTGAAGCCACAATTTAAGCACTTGCTAAACCTTAAATTTCCAATTTTTGAGTAAGCAAGAATCTGCAAACAGTGAATGTCAAGCATCTGATATTTGGGGTTTCAGATTTCCTAAAACCCCTCAACCTCCACTTCGAATAAACCCCATAATTCTTTTCAAAATGGTCAAGAATTTATCAAAAAAATAGAAAAAATAAATAAATTCTAATATTATATATATATATATGCATAAAGTAGTACTGCTTTACATATCAAATGCAGAAGATGAGAAATAAGGGTTGGAGTATCTGTTTGTTCTCATTGGGGAAGAAGAAACTCATTCTCTCTCTCTCTATCCCTCTCTCTCTCTCTATGTCTGAAATGTGTGCAGCTGCTAACGAAGAGGCTTAGCAATATTAGCATAAATAAAACATCTCTCGATCGGATCCACTGCAAAAAGGAAAAACCATTTTCTTGGTCTGGTGGGCCTTCACATACACAGACATGAATATATGATACGATAATTTCTCAAACCTTTTTCTACTCATCATTAACCCCCCATATATGTATGTGTGTATTGCAGACAGATACGTGTGCGTGTTTGTATATATATATATATATATATAGATACAGATATATGCAGTAATGTTGAAATTCAAAGGGTTCTTACATCACTGTTTTATTCCAGGGAAAGAATGGGAATTAGGCCGAGGGAACTTTCTGAGGACGACCAAATGTTGTGCGTATTATTCACATATATCTATATGTATATATACACACGGACACACAGAATAATTTAATTAATTAAATTAATAGTAAATTTTAGTCTGGATGGCTAACCGTTTTGTGATTATTCCAATGCTCCCCTTAGTCAACAAAATCCTAACAAACCTTTTTCTTCTTATCATCACATGATATAATATATATATATATATATATTTTATATATGTCGAAATTAGTTCAATACACAAAAACCCTTATAATTTATGCAATTAATTAATTATGAGTCACAAATAATTAAACTTATGATCACTGAAACATATCGAATGTTCATCACCTGCATTATTGCCTCCTCCAAACAAGTACGGCGACGACGACGGCGTCGCGACAGCCCAATCCTCCGACGGAGCTGCAGCAGCGGCGGCGACAGCTACGCAGGGCGGGTGGGCGGCGCCGCCGCCGCCGTTGGCCTGGAGGATTCGGATTTGTCGCTTGAGGAACTTAACATAACGAATTGCCTCATCGAGCATGGAAGCTGTGTCCATCTTTGTCCCGCCGGGGACGAGGCGCTGAAGGATTCTGATCTTCTCGCTGATCCTCTCGCGGCGGTGGCGGGCGGCGACGCTTTGGGGGTCGTCGCTGATCCGGACGTTGCGGCGGCGGGGCTTCCGGATGGTGGCGGGATCGATGTCGACGGGCTGCATTGCGGCGATTTTGAACATCATCTCTTTCATGGCGCCGAGCTCCTCTTCTTCGTGGTCGTCTGCTGCAACTTCTTGCAGAAGCTCGTTTGCCTCCGCCGCCTCCGCCGCCGCTTCTTTGGAGTTAGGGTCTTCTTCTAGCGGGATCAGGCTGGATGGGTCGCCGGAATTGTAGTGATGGAGCCATTGGTGGTGGTGGTGATCGTAAGGGCCCTGATTGTAGTGATGATGATGATGATGATCTTCCATTAAACCCATTGGGTAAGGATGATTCGTGAAACTTTCGTGGGAGATGTGATCCATGTTTATTCAAGCAGATCACAACGAAACAACAATAATATATTTATATATGTTGATGATGATGATTTTGAAAAATAGGGTTTGATTTCAATTTGGGGGTGGTGTGAAGCTGCAAAGATTTAACTTAAATCAAGCAAAAGAGGAGAGAGAGAGAGAGACAGGGAAGATTTGGGGAATTGAATAGTAGTGAGAGGAGAGGGAGAAAAGGTATATAGAGAGAGAGGGGGAATTGCAGGCAATGAATTAAAGGCGTGAGGGGAATTGATTAATGGCATTAATGGGGATTGGGGGATCGGCCCGGGCCGGTCCGGGCCGGGCTGGGTTGGGCAAATGGTTTCCTTTTTGGTACATTGTGAAATGATGAAAGTAAAGGTCTTTTGAGGTTTCTTTATTCAGATTATTACAACCCTTTCTAGGGTTTGTTTCTTTTCCCATTACAGCTTTTTCTTTGCATTTACGGTTTTTAATTTGCACTTTCTCTCTCTCTCACACACATAAATGTAGACTTATACGCGTGAAATTTTGGGTTCAAATTTCTGATCTTTCAAGTTACTTGTCACATATGGTTCTTTTAGTGTGACTTGTCTTGTCGAGCCTAAATTGCAGTGTATTAGACTTAGCCGAGGTTTATCCAGTGCATACTTTCAAATAGTAACGGCAAATTCTCACGTTATATGTATAAAAAAAATGTAATAATATAAAGAAAGCTAAATCTGCTGGGGTTTCCTAAAAAATGATGTGATGGTATAAAAGTAGACTCATAATTTGAGATTATGAGTTCAAACTTTCGATGCTCAGACCAAATGAATAATATTTATATATATATATATTAATGAAATTAAACTCTAATTCCTTATTATAGATTATCATTAGTACATTTAGTTTTTCTCATCATCTAATTTGTTGGGATGCAAATCCGAGTCCCACATTGAAAGTGGTGAAGAAAATTACACATCCCAAGTAAACTCCACTAGTACGAGGCCTTTTTGGAGGATATCAAAAATAAATCTGTGCAATCAATTATCACACAACAATATATTGTAAGAACTTCATATACATGTATGTGTGTGTAGAAATGCACGCATGCATGAGTGTGCGTGTATCTAAATAATTATACACATTTATTTATGTGGACAATATGTGTGTATATATGTATGTATATGTATATATATATATATATTTAGAGAGAGAGAGAGAGAGAGAGAGAGATACACACATGTGTGGATTGCAGAGAGACAAATAGGGTGATGACATACGCATAGTACAAATGGGATGAGCATTGAAAGCCCCCACAGAGTATTCAACGCATCATCCTAACAATACCATTTTCTTATTTTAGCAAAAATACAAACAATACAAAAAAATTCTTAATAATAATAAAATCATTTAAATTGCAAATTAATAAAAATAAAAAATAACACACATACCAATGTGTCTTTGAATTATATATTTGTGTATATATAGAAAATTATGTATCGCTATAACTGCTCCAATCATATTTATTTTCCAAATAATTGATTATTTATAAATTATGATAGACATAGATGCATGCAGTCAATATATATATATATACATACATACGTTTGTGTGTAACTGTGTGTAATTAAATTTGTAGTATATGCTAGGTAAATTATTATGAGTGTGTTTTTCTAATTTTTATAATATTAAATATTTTTGTTGTGATATACTTCTTTAACTACAAAAAAAAATAATATATTTGTAACGGAATTCCGTCCCTAAAGTTCACGTAGCTAACGTAATTTCATTCCTAATTTCGTCTCTAATGTCATTAGTAACGGAAAAAATAGATTTAGAGACAAAAAAATTTTGTTACAAAATTGATTTTTTCTTGTAATGTTTCATCCTAGTCGTAGATATTCATTTGAATTTTACACGGAGTCTATTAGTATTTTATAGATATATATAGTGTAATAGAGTAGTTTAAAGTCTATTTTATGCTTGATATTAAATACTCCCTCCGTCCCAGATACCTTGTCTGCTACACTGTAGACACGGTATTTTAGGAGGGGTGTAATTAATAGATAATTAAAAATATATTAGTGAAAATAATTATCCTATAATATAAATAATTATAAATTAAAATTAAGATTACTAATTAGTTTAATTAAAATTAAAAAAAAATAAAATTTAAAAATTTAAAATGAGATTAAAGTGTGTAATCATTTTTCAAAAAAGGTAAGTGACATGGTATGTGGGACGGATAGAAACGACAACGTGGACATGGTATTTGGGACGGAGGGAGTAATATTCTTGAGATAAAATATTGCATATGATATAAGGTCTTCTATCCATGAAGTGGGTTGTGCAAAAAATTATTAGGAGAGGGAATATATTTTTTTAAAGAAAAACATAGGTAATATAAAATTAAAATTAAAATTAAAATACAATTTATAAATATAAAAAGTTATAAAATAATATAAAAGAATAATATATTAAGAATATATTTTTTAAAGTCAAAATTGAATTTTTTTCGTTGGAGTAAAATAACCATAGATGCTACTACAAATATAAAATGGGAGTTAAGAGTTGTTGAAAAATAAATATTAAATTAGAGATTTTTGGAAAAAAATAATTAAATAAAAAAATAAATAGAACAAACGTTGCCATTATTATTATTTATATGCATGTAAATTGAATGAAATTGTGTTTGTTCAAATGCCTTCTTTTATCAAATTTTCTCAAATTTTTATTATTTATAAAAAAAAAAATTTCTCTTAAAAAAATAATATTATACTAAAAATAAATTTTGCATTCAAAATATCACATCAACACTCATTTATATCACATCATACGACTATACTAATTCAAAAATGTTACTATTCAAATCCCAATAAATAATTCCAACTCTCAAACAAACACACCCTAATTACTAAAAAAATATATATATAATAAAGACACGTATTAACCCAATATATTTAATATAAAAAAATATAATAAAAACACGTATTAACCCAATATATTTAATATATATTTTATACGGTTAGAAAAAATTAACAATTCAAACATAAAATATTACCTTTTATATTACTAATATAATTTTCACACTTAAGTACTAAAAATGTACTCCCTCCGTCTCAAACACTCTGCAACATTTTTTTTGTATGTCTCAAACACCCCTGCAATATTTTCAAATAGGAAATAATTAATTATACTTAATCTCTACCCCACACTTTATCCTCTCACATCATCCAAATAAAAAAATAAAATATTTATTTCTCTCTCAATCACATCACCTAATTTCTAAATTATCCTACTTAATATTGCCCACCTAAAAATCTGTGCCAAAAATAAATGTTACACATTGTTTGAGACAGAGAGTATTTATCAAAAAATACAAAGTAAACAAACCCTAAGTTACTGCTAGGAATAAGAGCTAATAACCTTGAAAATTTAGCTCATTTTTAACTTTCATAACATTTGAAGTCAAGAAAAACAATTTCATGATAATATTATATAACAATTAAGTAAAAAAAAATTAAAATAATAAAAAATATATATTTAATTAGGACGAAAAAAAGTAATCAAACGACCACAAAACTATATCTAAACACACCACAAAATTAAAAACAAGTAAAATGTTGCCTTGTTCTAATTTTATTTTGTCCAATATTCCTCGAAAGTAGAGTGTGTTTACTTGTAAGATTTTATATCCAGTTTTACTATTTTAATTTTTTTAAAAAAAATATCAAATTAAATATCTAATTTTTATTTATTATATTACACTAAAATTTAATTATACATTAAAAATATCACATCAATACATATTTATTTCACATCAAACAAATATTACAATTCAAATCTTCACTATTCAATTTTATCTTAGTTAATAATCCATCATAAAAATATGTTCATTTTTTTAATCAATTTTTTAAAAATAATATTCATACAATTTAATATCTGTGATAGAAATAAAATAAAGAAAAAAAAATGGCAAATAACTTATATGGTTCACCAATGGAACCGTTGACTACAGGCGGATTTAGAAAAATTATTCACGGGTACACAATATATAAATTCTAAAATATAATAAATTAAAATTTTAATTATATTAAAAATATTATATTAATACTTTAATATTTATTTTATATTTATTTTTTTAATAATTAATCAGTTTAATTGAATTGAATTTGAATTATATGGTATTTTAAATTTTAAATTTCAAATAATTTATTTTAAAATTTTTGGATAACAAGGTATTTTAAATTTTTAGTGAGAGCATTGCAATTTTTTTATTTGTAACACAATTAATAAAAGAAAAAAATAATCTAAATTAGATTTCACATATTATGTTTTTTTTTTCCTTTTACTATATTGTTATATTTTTATTATGGATTGTTCAGTTACAATATAATTATTTTTTTTTAAAAGTAAATATAAATTTATTTTTTTATAAATATTTTTACTTTATAATTATATCTTTACTTTTATATTAATAAATAAAGATAAAATTATCTTTTCACCTTTATCAATACTGCTCTATAATTAAAATATTATTATTATTTAAAAATTTTAAAAATAAATTCATGTTTTCTATCTAAACTGAAGAGAGTATTTTTTTTATTTTTTAATTTTTATAAAAAGTAAATAGATGGGTAGGTAGAGCAATTAATATAGAGTGGCAGAAAGTACATAATACATACATACATACGTTATATATAAACAAATACCTAAACAAATAAATAAAGCCAGCATCCCCCATATTCATATTATATTATGCACACACACATAAATATATATATATATATATATGTATATTGTTGTTTCTTGTATTAATATTGACATGAGCAAGCAAGTGATCCAAGTAAACCCAAAAGGCTTCTGCAACCGAGATGTGATTTTAATTAAATATATATATATATATATATGAAATTAAATAAGAACGTAAAAATAAGTTAATTTAAAAAATTAATTCAAAACATATTTTGGACTCAATTTGGACACTAACTATCATACTTTTCATTTCTAGAATATATTACATCCAACTTCCACTTTTTATTTAAATTAAAATGCATATCATGAATGTTCTTTATATATATATATATATATATATAACAAATTCAGTTTTTTATTTTTTATTTTATTTTATTTTTTTTTTTGATGATGTGGAAATCCGCAGTCGCTACCCGAAAGTATGCACTGGGTAAACCCCAGCCGAACCTAATACCCTGCAAATCAGGCCCGACGGAAAAGTTACACTAGGTGAACCATGTTTGGCAAGTGACCTAGCCGTCGGGTTCAGTTTTTCATTTTTATTAGTATAAGATAATTGCGATTCCTATGAAATTATATTAATGACTTGTCTTGTTACATAATATTGCATTTAAACCACTATAAAAATAATAATAATAATAATAATAAACTAAACTAAATTATATTCCCTCCGTCTCATATATTTTGGGTCTATTCACGTAGATACGAGAATTTAGGTAAAAT